CGAAATGGCCTGCTTTCGAATCTGATGTATTCCAGCTGTTAAAATGTTTTCACTTCAATAAAATGATATTTTCTCTCCAAACGCACTAAACTTTACATAAAGGCCTTCATACTTTACATTATGGCCCTTGGTTCAACTCCAGGGCGTTCTGAATACGAATGATCACTGAATAATTTTCTTGAAGCTGGGAAGTAAGTCAGAAAGCATATTCATATTTGCTTATAACTTCTGCAGTTTTCGTGCAACAGTTTTACAAATTTTCAGGTTTATTTTGCATGCATTATTGTGTTCTGTGATTATTTTATCCAAATTGAACAGCGAAAATTCTTTCCAGAAGGAATAAATTAATGAAACATCAACTGGTACACTAATGTACTTTTTTTCGAGATGAACCAGGGAGAACTCTTTGAAACCTTTCATATATATGTAGGACACAGACATCCTAATTTTGATGGAGCAGAATTTCCTTTGTTGTCCTGAATAATCGATTACCAGATTTTTGTTCTCCTCTATAGAAATTGTATGCTTAAAAAGAAATATATCATTGTACACATTATTTAATTTTACACCTATACACGCCAAATTCCTATTCCAGCAAAATATTTATTAATGATATGGTATTATTAAATGCTATAAAATAAATGAACCTAGCTTCATTGCTATACATCAAGTAGTTTTTTGAGAAACAGTTCATGTGTGTGAAAAAATCTAAACTGCAGAAAGTTGGACTTAAAAGTAGAGGAAGAATCTTTATCAAATAGAGGTAGCTCTAGTATTTAATTTAAGGGAATTTCTGCTCAGAATTCAGCAATTATACTTTCTAATAACATTAATCACGTACACTATGATGCTAAGAACATGCATAGAGGTTATGTAATGAGGTTAGAACTGTCTGAGAGGGATGGAATTTCAGAATCAGGTCTCAGTAGACAGAGGTTGATACAGAGCTCATGTCAGGTGTGTACCAGTGTCTTTAATTGAGTATTCTAATTAACTGCAATGAACAGGATCATCTAGAGCTGTTGATATCTATTCCATCAGTCAAAACTTTCATGTAAAGAAATGAAGCTTCTGCATGAAGTTCACACACAATAGCTTGCCTACTGTGACAAATGGAACCCTTTTCAGCCTATCATAATCTATTTTCATCTTACACAAACTGAATTGGTAATTTTATTGTGTTAGAAAGTGAGACTGTTCTTTTTAATTTGTTTTTTGTTACTGACAGAAAGCATGGGCTACATGAATAAAATGATGCACACATGGATATGTCAAAATCCACTATTTAAAAAGGCTTTTCATCATAATCATAATTCACACATTAAATAAAATAAGTGACTTTCCAGTGTAAATTTCATTGCTTTAATCAGGGCAAGGCACTGTTGGTGTCCATGCTAGATGGCCCTTAAGCCTCGGCATACTAGAATGCTTTATTTCTGCCTGAACCTCAGCTCCACACAGTGAAGAGACCCTGGGTATTGTAGGCGGTGAATCGCTATTCTTCATGAAACACAGAACACATATAAATACTCTGTGGGCAAAATGCAGTTCTTTTAATGCTAAAGCATATGGTACATAAGTTGCCACTACACTGTAGAGGAGTTATTACCACCAAACTGAAATATTTTATGAGCCTGGCATGTTATAAATTTCTTTTTGCCTAAAAAAGATAATGCAATAAAATTATTTATATTTAAAAAAATGTTTTACAACATATGAAATAAGAAACTTACCTTTGGCAGTGATGGTGATGTGTGTACTTCACAAAGTTATGATGACAACATATTGGTACCACTGTTGACAGACTGTTAAACTGTACCGGGACGAGGGGATCTGTGGTGCCATGTTGTGGATGCATGCCAACAGCATTGTATTGAAAAAAGGCAGTTTCTTTATAAATCCAAATTACATTCAAAGTACATCACAAAATTTTTACATTTTATTCCTAACATCCTTGTGAAGAAAAAGAGAAGTTAAAATGGTCGTACTGTCTCTATTTCTGTGACACATATACATGTGAGTCGCAATATATGCGGGGATTTTGCGCTTGAAAATCGCTGTGTATGTTGAAAACTAGTAAAATATATGACTCATTGAACAAAGAAGGAGAAAGATGGAGAAGGAGTAGGAAGCAACATGACACAATAAAAATGGTTGGGATGAGTCAAGGAAACTGTACATGCAGCTCATTGGGCATGTGTGGCAGCTTCTGCTGTGTCCATGGAAACAGAACACTGCTCTTTATTACAGTGAAATAAAATGGCAAATGTCAAAATGTGGATAGCAGAATTGCATATAACAAGAGTCAACTGTGTGTACATCATCCATGCTGAAAGTCATGGGTAGTGAAGAAGGCCAAAATAGTATCCTTGGACAGCAGAGCTATGAGAATTGTCTTTTGGGCTGCTGAGGACTGCTGTTTGGTTGATTCCCTGTGCAAAGTGGAAACCATCCTACAGATCTCTATGGTACAACATTCAAGAAGCGGCAACACACATTTCATGAGAAGCAATTACTTTTCAAGATGGGAGTGCATGATGTACACTGTGACAATCACAAAATAGTAAAAGGCTTCCTCATTTTGCCACTTGTTTGGGCCCTACAAGTATCCTGTAAGATACCAGCACAACAGCAATGAAGAAGCAGTCATTGAAGCTTGTGAGACTTTCCGGAACAAACTTCTATATTGTTGGAATTTATAATCTTCTGTAATCATGGCAGAAGTGTGTGCTCATTCTGAAGATGTCATGGGAAAGCATCTAATAAACTGCTAATTAAAACTATTAAGCCTTAAGTACATGTTACTCATGAATTTTATTTACTTTGTCACAATAAAACAGACAAAATAACTGTATTCAAGCATTATTCCCCTTCCTTTAGCATCATTTCCATCTCACAGAGGCCAATGGATGAAAGCTCGAATCTCTTTTTTCTTCTACAGAACCTTTCTTTTCAATTTCTTGCTAACCATTTTCCAGTACCTTGCTAAACTCTCCTATTCAGGGCTGCCCCATAGGTCACTTTCCTTTAAATTTTAATTGTACTATCCTTCTCAGTATCCCTGTTCTACTCATTCATACAAACCATAGCATTTTATTATTTCCTTTTGACTGTGCTAACAAATTCTAAATTTCACTTTATTTAAAAGCATTATTTACAATTATTGTTTTCCATCAGTACTTTTCCAAAATTCCATATCTATTATCTGCCTCTTGCTTTTGTTTCAATTTAATTATTATTAAATTAATATTTACAACAAAATATAAAGACAAGAACAAACATTTAATATACAAATTATAAAGTAGTTAATCTAATTTAACTGTATTACATAGCTAAATCTTTAATGAAGGAATAACAATCAAATTAATAAATTAAAATTTACTCATGGAATTAAAAGAAAAGATAGGGAATTTTGTTTTAATTTGCTTAGCGGGGGGTGGAGTCCAATTGGGTCCACTTGGCACAGTGGCCACTGATTGGCCTATTGTAGCCTGCCCCGGGTGATTATGATGATGGAGAATAAGACTGGCAGGGGAAACTGAAGTACTCGGAGAAAACCTGCCCCAGTGCCATTTGGTCCACCACAAATCTCACTTGACCAGACCTGGGATCGAACCTGGGCCACCGCGGTGGGAAGCCAGCAACAAACGGCTTGAGCTATGGCGCTGCCTTTCAGTTGTCTAAGTCCAACCTAAGATTCATTCTTGCTGATATCATTAGTGCCTCCGCACAGTATCACTGCATCATTTTTACCTAATGTTTTTATTCCTTTGGTGTTCAATTTTATTATATTTTCAAGCCTAGCAACTGGCATTACTGTTCCCATTATTTCAAAATCCTCACCAAGATAACTTGATATATAACTATCACCAGTGAATAATATTTTACTTCTCTTTCCATTAAGAGCATAGTAATACTTATTTCCTATTTGTAATGGTTTACTTGAAGTTTTTACTTTATTGTTTCGATTTAATGCACAGCTTCGCTTTGTGCTTATGCCTTCCAATTTGACAATGCTCTTTTGCAATTGACCTTGATTCAGTACCACCTGTATAGAATTCAGATCGCTTTGTCTCATACATGTATCAGATTTCCTTACACCTTTAACAACATCTGAGCAGGTAGCAATTAGAAAGGTCCAGGGAAACCAGGTGGGACTGAAATTAAACTGTTGGTCTATGCTGATGACATGAATCTACTGGGTGATAATGTAGATACTGTAAAGACGAAGACACAGACTTCAATTGACGCAGGTAAAGAGGTTGGTCTAGAAGTAAATACAGAGAAAACTAAGTATATGTTGCTATCTCATCACCAAAATGCAGGGCAAAATCATGACATAAAGATAGGAAACAGATGTTTCGAAAATGTGGCACAGTTCAGATATTTGGGCACAACGATAACAGATTGAAACCTGATTGAGGAGGAAATTAAGAGGAGATTGAACTCAGGTAATGCTTGCTACCATTCAGTCCAGAACCTTTTGTCTTCTTGTCTGTTGGCCAAAAACATAAAAATTAGAATATACAAAACTATAATTTTGCCTATGGTTCTGTATGGGTGTGAAACTTGGTCTCTGACATTGAGGGAAGAACATAGACTGAGGGTGTTTGAGAACAGGGTGTTGAGGAGAATATTTGAACCGAAGAGAGATAAAGTGACAGGAGGTTGGAGAAAACTGCATAATGAGGAGCTTCATAACTTGTACTCTTCTTCAAGCATAATTAGAATGATCAAGTCAAGGAGGATGAGGTGGGCAGGTCATGTAGCACGAATGGGGGAGACGAGGAATGTGTATAGGATATTGGTGGGAAAGTCAGAAGGAAAGAGACCACAGGGAAGACCAAGGTGTGGGTGGGTGAGCAATATTAGAATGGATCTTAGAGAGATTAGATTGGATGGAATGGATTGGATAGATCTGGCTCAGGATAGGGACCAGTGGATGGCTCCTGTGAACATGGTGATGAACCTTCGGGCTCCATAAAAATCCTGGGAAATTCTTGAGTAGCTTTAGAATTGGCAGCTCCTCCAGAAGTGCTCAGCTCCATGAGTAAGTAAGTAAGTTCACTAGTTGCTTCACTGACACACTTATCTGAGTTAACTTCCTTCAGTTCAAAATCCTTTAGGAGAAGATTCATGATTAATTTAGCAGAATTTAACTCTTCTCGTACACTATATAGTGGTTTTCCAAAATAACACATTTTTCATTACATTACATTGCATTGCATTCCATGGGTCCAAAGTTAGTCAAAATGACTGTAAGATGTGGAATATGTCATATAAATACAAAACATATGTACAGTCCCAAGAGAAACAAAGAATACACAGTGACTATAATAAATGGCATTTTTAGCATTTATTTGGCACGATAATGCTGAGAGGCACAGTCCTCCTGTTCCCATGTGTCTGCCATCTTGAATCTCAACCCAATGGGACTGAGGTTTTCGGGTACATAGAGTAGGGCAGGGGACATAAATTCTGCCACATTCTATTACATTAGATATTGCAAGCGGTTAATACTGAGTGTGACTACAATATTACTTTGTAAAAGAAATATTATATAGAGTGGAATAACTAAGTTACTGTTACTGTAAGATAGTTTATGATTCACGAAACTCACTTGTACTGTCAAGCTACACTGTAGAAGACAGGATACCCAAGCTTGCTGGTTCCAGCTTGATAGAAAATATTGAGGGATTTGAGTGCCTTGAATTCTTCCTTCTCATGCATGTTGTGTTTCACCATGATTTCCTCAAAGTTGTTACTTGACATGTCCATACAACTCCACCTGACATAACATGAAAACAGCAGACTGCATGGCATTACTAGGAGGTCATGCAAAAAGGCCGAGACTTGCCATTCAACCAATTACATGAGAATCATCATTTAATACTCCTCAATCCATAAGAATGAATTAGATCACCGTGATATGAATCCTTCAAAATCAAATTGACAATATTTTGATAGACAGTAAATGGCATTCAAATATATTTGATGTCCAACTGTTCAGGGCAGCAGATTGTGATACTGACCACTATCTGCGAGGTACCGACAAGAAACTTCTTTGCGCCCCTTAGGGCATCAGGAATGGAAGTCATGGAAAAGATGACTGACAAGTCACACAAAGAACAGCAGCAGCCATCATCCAGCCAGCCAGGTTCCCAATGTGCTAACCTCTATGACTAACCTGATGCAGTTGCAGAGGCATATCTATGACATTGTCACAGGCAGTGTTGAGTTCCACAACACCAGGATCGGGACCAGAACTGTCATGAAAGAAACAGCAGACTTTTCACCATCACAAGGTACCTAGAGAATAGCAATCTGTCATGCTTTTCATGACAGTCATTTGTCACGCTAACCCCCTATATGTGACAACATACTTGCACTGAAGTTATTCACAGAGTAATTGTGAATGTGACCAAACCATTGGCTTAGTTTTGGAGAAAATTATATTTTATTTCTTATTAATAAAGACACATGGGTAAGATTTTGCTTTCGTTGAAAATTTTACAATGCCATATAAAACTACTCTCTCTCTCTTTCACACACACACACACACACACACAAAACACTCGCGTGCTCACAAATTTACACAGCTTAGTTCGTGCATCACATAATATCTTACTCATGACAAATAGCAGAGGGAATTTGGGTACTTAAAAGTATCTATTTATATAATACAAACACCTAAAGCATACTCAGATTCAGTCCTCATGCACAGTTGTTCTTTTATTCTGCTGAATTGTTGTTGCTGTTACATTTGTTCTTCCATGTGTTGACGTTGTTTTGGTTGTGACTTCTATTGCTGTGTCTGTTGTGTTTTGTTCTGAAGCATGTTTCTCTTCCATGTTGTTTCTATCATTAGATTTTTTTGGTATTTGTGACAGCTCAAAAAATTCCTCTATTTCTTTTAATGATCTGCCTTTTGTTTCTGGGACAAGAAAGTATACAAAGAAGCAACTACAGAGACACAGTGTAGAATACAACCAGAAAGCTCCAGCCTCCCCTACTGAGTTCTTAAGATCATGGTATGTCTTTATAACAATAAACATTATTCCAAGATTCAGGGAACCAGCAACAGAACTGAGGAAGCTCCTTTGTTTCTCTGGAATAAGTTCTCCCATGAGAAGGAAAGGAATGCTGCAGTAGCCAATGGAGAAGCCGATCATGAATATCATAAGGCTGATGAGGGGCAACAATCCCAGACCTTCAGCCATGCCATGTTTCTGGAGATGGAAGTGTGTGCCCAACGCTGCAAGAGCCACACACATTATTGCTCCTGAGGCAATTAACAGTGGCCTCCTTCCAGCTCTGTCTATGAGGAAGAGTGACAAAATGTTAGCAAGTAACTGAACCAACCCAACAAGTACAGTAGCCAAGTGGTCATTTATTTGACTGCCAGCTGAGTGGAAGATAGAGACTGTGTAGAAAATAATAGCATCAATCCCACTAATCTGCTGGAAGATTAGTAATGTAAATGTGAGTGAAAAGGGTATAAGAATGGGAAGATGGAAAAGTTCTTTGATGCTGAACCCACTCCTTGAGTTTTCATTTGAAGAAACTTGATGTTGTGTAGACTCTGATGTAAAAACTGGCATCTCTTTCAATTCAACAGGTATGTTTTCCTTTGGTGTGTGTGGTTGGTGATGTAGCCACTTGAGAGACTTATCTGCATCAGCAGTGTGACCTCTTGAGAGCAGCCAGGCAGGTGACTCCGGTAGAGGTATCATAACAACAAGCAGCAGGGCCGGGAAACCTGCTGATGCCCATGCCAACTGGTCCCATGGTAACCAAGCTCCCATCAGGTAAGAGATCAGGATACCACCTGCCATGAAGAGCGCTGGTAATGAACCGAGGACTCCACGGATCCCAGCATATGAACATTCACTGACCTGAAAATAAATTTTTGTTATTGTAGTTTAATTTTTGTTGGCTAAGAGTAATATATAGAGGCTGGTTTCTACAGTTCAAACTGTTATACTGATGTGCAATGCAATTATAAACTCTTATAAATTTCTTTCTTCAAGAACAGAATTTACCCTCTACGTACACTGAAGCGAGGCTTATGTCACCCAGTTGTTGGGATCAGTAAAATTAATCTTTGAAACAGTTGTTAACAAGAAGAATGCAGCTATATAATTACGATATTGTCAGAAGAATAAGACTAAGCATGATGCTTAACTGAAATTATTTTAGTGATTCCATTGGTCCTGCCATTTGTTACAGCATATCTGTTATTCACCTTTCAGGATGGCAATCAACCCCAAGAAAATACTTTTCAAAATTGTTAACACTTCTCAAAGCCTTTCCTCATTTATGGAGCTTCTCAGTTTGTGGACAGAAAGAGGTAAAGGAAAGGGTACTGAAAACCAGTGGAATATTGTGTTGGGCCAAAAGTTCTCTTACAAAGATAACTGAGTGAGATGACACTGCGAATTCTTGAACTGTGACCCACAGTATGTGAAGTTTTACAACATCACACATCAAATTATAAGGTATATAAGGCTGTATATTTAACACTGTTCAAGTGATTCGAGGCTGGCGAAGTTGCAAAGAGTGCAAAGATATAGGCTAGGGCATTGTTTCTCAACCAGCGATCTGCGAGTGTTGCCCAAGCGTGTCCTGCAGTTGAGTGAATTATGCTCAGTAGACTTTCCTCTTGTTACAGTTAGTTTCAGAATACTACAATGGACACCTAGCATGACAAGTATCTGAAGGTCCAAACTGATCAAGCAGAAACAGTGTCCTCTGTACTTGCAAAAGTGGGATATATCACAGTAAATTTTACGAGTACAGCAATTTCCAGTCAGAGAAATTATACTCATATATTTGTACTGGCATTGTAAATGTACAGTATTTTCATTAAAGTGTTTGACGCAACAACAATGTTTGGCTGAATGGTGCTGACACAAGTTCCACATATAAAAAATTTTTTTGATTCATACATCCGTATAAAGATGTAATTGTTGCGGATCGTCAGTATGGGTTTCAACGTAACAGATCAACTACAGATCAGATCTTTTGCATTAGTCGGATACTGGAGAAAAAAATGGGATTACAATGAGTCAGTACATCAGCTATTCGTAGACTTCAGGATAGCCTATCATTCAGTTAGGAGGGAAGTATTGTACAATATTTTGATAGAGTTTGGGATACCCATGAAACTAGTCAGGCTGATTAAAATGTGTTTAAACGAAACGTATAGTAAAGTCCGTATAGGTAAACATTTGTCTGATAAATTTCCTATCCAGAATGGTCTACAACAAGGAGATGCTTTATCGCCACACCTTTTCAACTTTGCTTTAGAATATGCCATTAGGAAGGTCCAGGAAAACCAGGTGGGACTGAAATTAAACGAGACACATCAGGTGTTAGTCTATGCCGATGATGTAAATCTACTGGGTGGTAATATAGATACCATAAAGAAAAACACACAAACTTTAATTGACGCAAGTAAGGAGGTTGGTCTAGAAGTAAACACAGAGAAAACTAAGTACTCACATATGTTGCTGTCTCCTCAACAAAATGCAGGGCAAAATCATGGTATAAATATAGGTAACAGATGTTTTGAAAATGTGGCACAGTTCAGATATTTGGGAACGATAACAAATCAAAACCTAATTCAGGAGGAAATTAAGAGGAGAACTCGGGTAATGCTTGTTACCGTTCAATCCAGAAACTTTTGTCTTCTCATCTGCTCTCCAAAAATATAAAAGTTAGAATATACAAAACTATAATTTTGCCTGTGGTTCTGTATGGGTGTGAAACTTAGTCTCTGACATTAAGGGAAGAACATATATTGAGGGTGTTTGAGAAGAGGGTGTTGAGGTGAATATTTAGACCGAAGAGAGACGAAGTGATGGGAGGTTGGAGAAAACTGCATAAAGAGGAGCTTCATAACTTGTACTCTTCTCCAAGTATAATTAGAATAATCAAGTCAACGAGTATGAGGTGAGCAGACCATGTAGCACGAATGGGAAAGAAGAGAAATGCATATAGGGTATTGGTGGGAAGAAAAGAGACCACAGGGAAGACCAAGGAGTAGGTGGGTGGACAATGTTAAAATGGATCGTAGAGAGCTAGGATGGGATGGTATGGATTGGATTGATCTGACTCAGGATAGGGACCAGTGGATGGCTCTTTTGAACACTGTAATGAACCTTCGGGTTCCATAAATTGTTGGGAAATTCTTGAGTAGCTACAGATTTGACTTCTCCTCAAGAAGGGCTCAGCTCCATAAGTAAGTAAGTAACTTTCATATGTATCTCATGTCATGTCATAACCGCACCAGTTGATAAATATCATACTGTAACTGAATAAATATCTACAACATTGGAACTCACATATACAGCGACTGACGGTGTGACAAGACCGACGCAGAATCCTGTAAGGATTCTTGCCAAGAGTATCATCTCATAAGTCTGTGCAAGAGCAATGAGGCACCAGCCCAAGACCCACAGAGGTGAACTGAGCATCAGCGTCCGTCTACGGCCCACCCACTGCATTAGTGGGCCTGCACAGAGACTCCCCACGAAAGCTCCAGATGGAGGAACAGAGCCTGTAACATATAAGCATAATAACTGTGCGAGCTGCCTTGGTGGAGCTGCTCAGACAACACACGGAATAGCTTTGGGAGTCCATTTTCTGTTCGTCATGTCTGGGAAAGACATTTATTACGTAATTTAAATAGTGTCTTTAAAAAGAGTTCTGAAACTAATCACTCAGTCATAACTATGCCTATATTTCCTTTTCTAAGCCTAGTGACCAGGTTCAATTCCAGAATAATCTATGTGTGAATACAAAGCAGCACCCTGGCAGAATTTCTTCTTGTTATTACTTTGATCTTCCTCCGCCTGTCACCATTCTGCAAATTCTGTACTCATCTACCTTCATCATTACAGGCTGCTCCAGTGCGTCCATTCTCACAGCAGCGAAAATTAAGATTATTCTTTTCTTGAATGTGACGCCATGTAGAGAAAATGTTGGCATGTTTAGAGAAATACATTGCATCCATATTCTGGGTATCTGAAGTGTAAAGCTGAGGGCGAAATGTTTCCCCGAATGTTTGCATGTTCCTATCAGAGAGGAGGGCGCAGAACTTCAGAAGACAGTCTTTGCCACTTATGAACAGGCAATAAGAATATGGTCCAGACCTGGAGAGCGGAGCTAATAAGGAGATGCCTTGCAGACTAAATGATCGCATTTCGGTTCCTGCACATTCAGACTGTCTGGGTGCACACTCAGCCTCACATTCAATGGATATGGATAAAATGCCCAAAGCATGCAACTCACTGCTCGCCCCCTTTCAAATCCCGAGCGTAAACATGAAGCTTTACTCCCCTGCAAGAGACAAGTTTGCATTTACGTTGAAAAATATGCCAGAATCTACTTTAAAACTTCTCTGTATTCATATGATAAGATTTTTCCACGATTTCCGAATTCGATTATGACGTCTGCCACTAATCTTGGAAATGTATGACCACTCATACGCACGACTTGTAAACATAAGTAATTACAGCACCAAGTCTGATCTCCACATTTTTACAGTTAACTGTTACACACACTAGTGTTTTCAGTCTGTTACATTCTGCATCAGTTGTTTCATGGGAAGGGCTTCTAACAGTATAAAATTCTTCAGCTTTCGCTCTGACGCTGTGGCCCGCTGGCCAGTACTCACTGACTGAACTATTAACTCCCAGGCTGCCGGCCATCTCACATCAACCTTCTAGTCTTCGCTTCACAGACCAACAACTGAGCTCATTGCTCCAAACCGTCCCGGATATAACATCTGGGCATGAACCGCATAGAAAACACCGTTTCTAAGGGTTACTCTATTGTTTCATGTGCGTTCATTGCCGTGGGAACATGTTTGTTTAGCGATCGTTACCTACTAATGGGTCTACACGCTACAATGTATGTCTTTCCGAGATTAGTGGCAGGCGTCCTAAGTGAGCCAAGCTAGGAAAGTGGTCTGTTCTTCTGCTCCTAAGCTGACTGTCCTCTGTATGGAGGAGAAGCCAATTCTGCAGCTACTCAAGAATTTCTCGGCATTTTATGGAAGCTGAAGGTTCATTACCGTGTTCAGAAGAGCCCTCCACTGGTCCCTATCCTGAGCCAGATCAATCCAATCCATCCCATCCTTCTAAGATCCATTTTAATATTGTCCACCCACCTACGTCTTGGTCTTCCCAGTTGTTTCTTTCCTTCTGGCTTTCCCACCAATATCCTATATGCATTCCTCGTCTCCCCCATTCGTGCTACATTCCCTGCCCACCTCATCCTCTTGACTTGATCATTCTAATTATACTTGGAGAAGCGTACAAGTTATGAAGCTCCTCATTATGCAGTTTTCTCCAGCCTCCTGTCACTTCATCCCATTTCGATCCAAATATTCTCCTCAACACCCTGTTCTCAAATACCCTCAGTCTATGTTCCTCCCTTAATGTCAGAGACCAAGTTTAACACCCATACAGAACCACAGGAGAAATTATAGTTTTGTATATTCTAATTTTTATGTTTACGGACAGCAGACGAGAAGACAAAAGGTTCTGGACTGAATGGTAGCAAGCATTACCCGAGTTCAGTCGCCTCTTAATTTCCTCCTGAATTAGGTTTTGATTTGTTACCGTTGCTCTCAAATATCTGAACTGTGCGACACTTTCGAAACATCTGTTACCTATATTTATACCATGATTTTGCCCTGCATTTTGTTGAGGAGACTGCTCCATATACTTAGTTTTCTCTGTGTTTACTTCTAGACCAACCTCCTTACTTGCGTCAATTGAAGTCTGTGTCGGTATAGTTCGCTTGCGGACTAAAGCTACGGAGTTTGTTTGTGTTGCTTTTGTGTTTTCCTTTATGGTATCTACATTATCACCCAGTAGATTCACATCATCGGCATAGGCCAACAGCTGATGTGTCCCGTTTAATTTCATTCCCACCTGATTTTCCTGGAACTTCCTAATGGCATATTACATATAATACGTATACGAAGGGGGACCCAAAAATAACCGGAAACGACCTGTTGCGCGCGCATGCTTTGTAGTTACGAGTTGTGCTGCTAGGTGATGTTAGCTGGGGGTCTCCCGCGACTGTTAGTGAGCTGGCGTCAGTCTGAGTTAAGTGGTTTGTCTGTGGTGCTCTGTTGTGTGCGTTTCTGTTTCAACCCTTTGGCGATTAGTGAGATGGCCGACCAGAAGGAACAAAGAGTGTGCGTGAAATTGATGACGATCGTCGAAAGACCATTGACCAACTTTCTGAGGAAACGAACATCTCATGGAGCACGGTCCAGCGAATTTTAACTGAAGGTTTGCACATGAGACGGGTGTCTGCAAAATTTGTTCCTCGCTTGCTCGGAAATGACCAAAGAGAAAACCGCGTGAATGTTTGCCGCGACTTGAAGAGTGAAGTGCAGTTTTCCCTAACAGAAAGCAAAATTTCACGCACACTCTTTGTTCCTTCTGGTCGGCCATCTCACTAATCGCCAAAGGGTTGAAACAGGAACGCACACAACAGAGCACCACAGACAAACCACTTAACTCAGACTGACGCCAGCTCACTAACAGTCGCGGGAGACCCCCAGCTAACACCACCTAGCAGCACAACTCGTAACTACAAAGCATGCGCGCGCAACAGGTCGTTTCCGGTTATTTTTGGGTCCCCCTTCATATATAGTATATTTATATATGCATGTGCTATAACAAGAAGTTAGCTTAAGGGTAGAAGAACCGGCCACTTCTACCCAGAAGATAAAATGAATATGTCCCTCTGAAACTTCGGTACATATCCAACAGACCAGACTGAATTTCGCGATACGCATTTTCACCGCTCTAAAGAACTGCTCTTATAAATTTCCTAAAGACGGGAGTAGAGCTGATTTCTGACACGACGTTTAGTGTACCAGAAAATTAGCTACTTCGGAATTAATTTCCTTGTGCTTAATTAACTAGTTAAGTACTAAGCCGTGGAGACATGGGGGCGTGCAGGAATAGCTTCGCCATTCTTGACCTCGGAAGTGGACGGAGGTGAGTGGCCAGGTCACACCCCGGCCTCATTACCATCGAGGAAATCGTCCCCGGTACCCGTTAGATGGGAGGATGGGTGTGCCCCAAATTTGGTCTGGACGCTATGGAAAAGAGAAAACTTTTGTCCCTGCTGGAAACCGAACCCCAGCCGTCCAGCTCGTAGCCCATCACAATACCGACTGAACGACCCAACTCCCTACTTAATTTCATTGAAACTCTTTAAAGCTATATACCAAAGCCTTGTTAAACTGCCTTGTTCCAACTGCAGATTAGAATTTTTTTTTCTTGGCACTACAGCCCCAGTGGGCCTAGGCCTACCTCCATGAACTCCGTTCACTTCGATTTTTCTAGATCTTACACATTCGGTAGGACTCCTTGGGCGAGTGATCAGCTCGTCGCAAGGCCTCTAACTACAGACAAACACAGAAAAACGCACACAAACATCCATGCCCTGAGTGGGATTCGAACCCACGATCCCGGCTTCCGAGAGAGTGAAGACAGTGCATGCCTTAGACCGCTCGGCTACCGTGACCGGCGATTAGAATTTTAGTCACTCAAAATCCATGTTATAAATGTCGAGGAAGGAGCACTGAACTGAGCGTAAACCTTTGAAAAGTTTTCTTTAAATCTTGCAATTACAATTCGTACTTGCAGAGGCCTAAGACGGAAATGGGCTTCATGTATTCCTTAAACCATTTCATGGATTTTATTGTAATTCGATAACATACGTGTACCTTATTGTTCGGTTGAAAAGTGAATTTTGTTCGTTTCATCTAAGGCTACTTCTGACTTTTATTAACCGGCAGCAAGGAAGCTTAATCAACTGCAAAGAATGCCGCTGGGAATTGTGTGCATTATGCAGAAGTACACTCTGGTCAGTCTTGTTACACAAGCGTCCTATATACCAAACTGCAGGCAAGTAAACCCACATACATAGGCCGCGCCATAGCTCAAGCGGTTAGTCCCGGGTCTGGTCAAGTGGGATTTGTGGTGGACAAAGTGGCGCTGAGGCGGGGTTTCTCCGAGTACTTCGGTTTCCCCTGCCAATCTTCATTCCACCAAATTCTCCACAATCACCCTCACCTATCATCTGGGGCTGGGACAATAGGCCAGAAGTGGGCGCAGAACAAGGGACTTTGTCCCACCCCACTAGCAATAAAAAGAAACCGCTCCTCACCTTCAGATCAATCGGACTTACTCGACGGGAAAATGTACTTACTGAGCCATGAAACGGCACTCTCATTGGGCACGAGGTGGGGTGCTTTCTGCTGCATGGAGGGAATTCCGGGCGAAGAGAACCCACGCACAAGTCCTGTGGTCATGTAGCCCAGTGAGGCCGCCATTGCTAGTAGCAGCTGCAAGAGAGAACAAGTCAGTACTGCTTCCTGGGAGCTCTTGGTCCTTGCATGAGGTCGTCCCACACCAAGGAAGGCAGGGAGATAATAATGGTAAAGGAAGTCATACTCCAGAAGTGGGCTCAAAGGGCATGCAATTACAAATAGTTTAAAAGTGACGAAGCCGTAACACAGAGCAGACAGGTCGATGTAGCGGCTGGGCTACAGAGTAGACGATTTAGAAACCGGAGTTCGATTCCCGGTATTGTCAACAGATTTTTACCTTCTCCACAACTTTCAAACCCGCTCTGGGACTCATCAAACCTCATATACAATGCTTACAGGGGTTGTTTCTCCGGGGACAAAGCGGCACGGACGTGAAGCTGACCACTCGCCTCCATCTAGTGTTATATGTCCACTTCCAGTTACGTCATCATGACGTGTTGTAATAAATAATTAACCCTATGGATAACTTAATGTTTTGCCTTAACGAGGCCGCGATATGCTCGGTGGGCCGTAAAGTATGAATAAGTGTAATCGCTGATCTTGGTGTAGTTTAAAATCTGTAATACGGTTACATGGTTTAAGGGCTTAAAGGAGTAAGATAAATGATCATGTACGACTGAATGAGAACATATCAGTCACGCAAAGATGCGGGTTTGAACGAAAAATGCATATACCAATCGGGGCGACCCGCCAGAAGTGAATAAAGCAGAGAAAATGGTCAACACAAAAAAATAAAATTATAAGAATCTCCACCCTCGGTCCCCAATCACCAAACTTTTCGTGCAGCCGACCGACTCGAAGCCTACATCCGGTCTGCAGTTCGGCCGGATCGTGAAGGCAGCAGACAGCAGAGATGAGGGACAGGTCAGGATGGACACAGGAAGGCAGCTACAGGCTGCAGAACAAGGCACCGACAAAACAAACTCCGTGGTTCTAGTCCGCAAGCGAACTATACCGATAGAGCGACCGCCGCTTGTCGGCTAAGTTAGTGCCAACTTTAGCTGAACAAGGCACCGCTCAACTTTATGTAGTTGCAGGTTAAATTACGTTATGTGACCACTTCTGTATTACCTAAACTACTGAGTCAAACTTGTGCAACAGGATTCCCGACACACTGTCGTCACACCGCATTGGCACTGTCCGTTCATTACGGGTTCCAGTCTATAAGTGAACACTGATTACTGCATTGTCATGCGTGTTGTTTTCATCTGGTTACAACGTAACAAACGCATGGAATCCGCTGTCCCGCAGGTGCTCATGTCGTAGTGCTCAATTATGCAGGGAGAATTTGCCCCGTTTCACAAGAATACGCTCCAGAGGTCAATACATCAATCGGTCGACTAGACAGCCAAGTGTAATAGGGTTCGATTTTAGGCAGGGGCAAAATATTTTACTTCTCCACAGTGGCCATACAAGCTCTGGGACATTCGGCCCCTACCCAGTCTTCTTTCCCGCGGGATAGGGAGGTAGTGAGGTTAAGAAGGTGTGGAGTAAGGCCGCCACTGCCCCACACGACTTCAGCACGTAGTGCATAATTAATCAAATGTAGGGAAAACTACATTTTTCTGCATCAAATCGAAGTAAGGCAGGCGTCATTGCTTCGTTCCACGTGGAGAAGAGGATTTCTGGAGATCATAATTTTATAACTGTGCGCGTTTGTTACTGAGATGATTAACAAGGCACTTTTTTATCTCAAGAGTTTTGAAAGCTTCTGAACACTGATTTATCCATAGAAGAATTTCGTTGAGTGGCACTGCACATTCTACTCTTCAGCAGCCTCGAGAAGGTAAAGCGTGACTGAATCAAATGCAAGAAGAGAGTAGCCTGTTGCTTTGAACGCTGCAAAGTGACGCAACCAATTTACAAAATGTCACTTGTACTTCATCTGTGTGTTGTTTGGGGCACAGAGCGTGGTGCTAATTTGCCCAGGATTCAGTCTTCGTTGCTTGCGTTCCAATGACACTGCCACATGGCGCGACTGTCACGTTCTCAGTATGTTCAGGCGCCACCAGATGAACATTGCGAGAACGAACTGCTGCTGACGAAACGTCAATCTGGAGCCCTTTCCGTTCATTCAAAATATTCCATCTTATTTATTTGTAGCTGAAGATGTGTCAACATTTTGTCTGTCTTGTTGAAATAATGAGCAACAGCAAATTTATTCGCCTTTTATACTCTGGATGGGCTAACATTTTGTGTTTTCATGAGAACAATATCTTCATTTCAAGAGAGGAAACCTTCAAGAGACCGCAAACCAACCCACAGCCCTAAGAGAAGTGACGAATAGTGACCTGTTTCCGCAGAAAGTATACACATCTATATATTGCTCTGTCCTTGAGGGAAATCCTTCCCCTGCCAAGCGGATAGTCTGTTGGGAATGTTGAAGTTCCTGGTGTTCAGAAAGAACATTTTCGCGGACTATTTTGCTTTCGGTGAAAATTTTCGGCGAGAACTGGTCTTCTAGCGTGAGGAGTGGAATACCGTGCCCCTTACTGTCTTTGTTCACAGACTTGCCTACATTTACAGATTTCAGTTCATTTTCTAAAGTCTCAGAAGTCCAAGTTGCTCTGAGTTTCCTATTACGTTATGTGGGTCTACGCATCCTCCAAAGTAAAATGAATCCACACAGCTTCATCAGAAAATATACATGGAAATCTCTATTGTCACATACATTAAATAATTCCAGAGGTGAATTCTTACGCCACCAATATCGCCAAGGTTATCGTTGTTGGGCACACTACAAACTTCGGCCTCGTAGAAAGAAAATAACCTGTTCCTTTTGTACAAAGATAAGCATGGCATACTCCAAGAAAACTAAATAACTGTGTTACCGAACTGTGATACCAGTTCGTCATGAAGAACACTAAACAATTACCCGGTTCAAATTTGAGTACGCCAGCCACACGCAGGGCGCAAAGAAAAACGGCTAATCCGACATGAAAGTAGCTTTTCAGGCCTGCCAACCATGCCATACAAGGGAAAAAAAATCCTGTCATAATCTTCCGGCTTATGTCAAAAACACCTTCAGAGGCAGGTCAGGTCATGTTACAACTGACGGTCAGTCAGTCTGTCGGTCTTGGTGTCGAGCCCCAGCTGGGGCTCATGACCAGATATTTCTTTTGAATGAAAGTTACTGTCCTGTCTATGTGTAGCGCCCTCTCTGACGAGAGGTCGGGTCTGTCATTTGTTAGTCAGTCTGTAGTAATTTGTCCATTGTCTGTATTTACACATATTTACAATACACACTTATTTCTTATATAAATGTACAATATTTACACGGCCTCTGTCAATCCAGGCTAGGTACAACAGATTATGCCCTTTTATATATATAAATAAATATCCTAGTAGTATTAGCTACCACGGCAGTCTAGTCACTTGAACGGTCGTATGCCTGACCGCCGCCAAGTTTAAGCCTCTTATACTTTCTGTGTCGGGCTTCGCCTTGTCCGATGTTGCGAACATTCTCATTATCATGATTTTGTATGACTTCTGCTTGTTGCCTGCATAATTTTGTTATGTAATCATATACGTACGGGATTTTGAATGCCATGTGCAAATCGCGGACCGGTGTGCGCCTTGGAAAATTGCCAATCGTGCGGAGAACCTTGTTTTGCAGGCGCTGCAATTTCACTAGATGAGTGTCTGCCGCAAACTCCCAGGCGGGACTAGCATAAGTCATTACGGATCTAATAAGAGCTTTATGGAGGGTCAGTTTAATGTTAGCGCTCAATCGCTCACTTTTGAATAGGGAATACACTCTAATGAATGTTCTGAAGGCCTTGGCTTCGATCATTTCTATGTGTAATCTCCAAGTCACTCTCTTATCGAAGATTACACCTAGATATTTTGCACTATTTACAAATGGAATGTTTCTTCCATTTAGAGTAAGACAAGACTCAGGCGGTCGACGACCACGAGAGAAGTAGACCCCCCGAGTCTTATCTTCATTAATTTTTATATTCCAGCGCTCACACCAGGTCTCCATTGAGCTGAGACCGCGCTGGAGTTTTCTAACAATAAAACCCTCTTTGCGATCTGTCGCATACAGACAGGTGTCGTCTGCAAAGAGGGCCAGGTGAACGCCCTGTGTATGGGGGGCATCATTTATATACAAATTAAAGAGAGTAGGGGAAAGAACAGAACCTTGTGGCACCCCTGCTTGCATTTCCCTTGGCGTTGACATTTCGCCTTCAACAGAGACCCTGAATTTACGTTTAGAGAGAAAGGACCCAATAAGCTTGGTCAAAGAGTTGGGGAATTCCAATTTTGATAATTTAAACAGCAAGCCTGAGTGCCACGTGGTATCAAAGGCTTTTTCGATGTCCAAGAACACTGCAGCCGTAGACATTTTATTGTTGAAATTAAGGGTCACGTGATCCGCCAGCCTCATACATTGCAATGTCGTGCTGTGACGTGCACGAAAACCAAACTGACTTGCGTTGAGCAGGTCTCTTTCTTCAATATGTTTATGGAGGAATTTCAAAATTGCTTTTTCGAATAGTTTTCCTGTCGTGGACAGGAGGCTGATCGGACGTAAATTTTGAGGAAATTTCGGGTCTTTACCCGGTTTAGGTAAAGTTATTATTTTTGCTTCCTTCCAAGTATTTGGAAAGTGAGAGAGCCGAAAACAGTGATTGAATAAGTGAGTTAGGTGAACCAATGGTCTCCTTGGAAGGTGCCTGAGGCATTCATTTGGGATGCCGTCAATTCCACAGGCCTTTTTTAATTTCAGGGATTTTATTAATTTCTGAACGTCACATGGTCTGATCCTTAGAGGGGGGTTTTCATCCACGGCTTCCAGCAGAGCTTGAACTCTAGCCTCCACCCGCTGTTCATGGTTTTCGTCGCACAGGTCATGTGGCGTGAATTGAGTTTCCAAACAGTCGGCAATTTCATTGGCTTTTTCAGAAGGATGAAATTTTAGGCCAGAAGAACCATGAATAGCAGTTGGTGCCCTTGGTCCGTCTCTCTTAAGGAGAGATTTCGCAATGGGCCATATACACTGAGGTGTGACTTCAGCGTTGCTTATTTTTGTTTCCCACCGTTCAAGTGCCTTTTTACGGGTCATTCGCCTGATTGATTTGGTGACCCAATTGACTGCCGTTTTACACGCTGGATCCCTGGTTTCTTGCCACAGTTTTCGTAGCCTCTGTTTATATTTTATCAAACGATCTAGACCAGGAAGATCGTTGTTTATGTCCGAAAGTGTAACTTTACTTGTCGACAGCCTATATGCCGAAGCAATAGAGGCTGCAAAGTCGCGTGCCGCTTTATCGGCTTCTACCCCCGAATTTATTTCTAGTTTAGGTGATATTAGTTCAGAAGCGAGGCTTTGAAACCGCTCCCAATCTGTAAATTTTTCAATGGGTTCCGAAAGGTTGCTAATTTTAACGTGATCCAGTATGTGAAATACTATTGGTAGGTGATCTGAATCCAAAATATCAGAGACGACGACCTCTGACATTCTGATATTTTTGTGAACCACAATGTCTAGCACGTCACCATTTCCCGCAGGGGAATAGTGAGTGGGGCACTGTGGAGCTGAGATTTCGAAATCGCCCATATCAAATAAATCCATAAGTTTCAAACCTGAGGGGTTTGAAACTCTACTATTCCAAAATGGGTTCTTAGCATTCAAATCACCTGCCAAAATAGACTTTCGTCTGAAGCTTAAGAGCTCAGTGATGTCAGCATCACTCCAGGCTTTGCCTGGAGATTTATAAACAGCTGCAAGCAGCACTTCGCTATTACCAATTGGTATGCAGACCCCTGTCGCTTCTACTGAAACAAGGGGTGGTAGGTCTACATGGTTGTGGGGAATGCCTTTTCTTACTGCAACGGCAGTTCCGCCATTTCTCCCGGACTGGCGGTCGATTCTATAAAAGTAGTAATTTGGAATAAAGAACCTCTCGTGAGGTTTCAGATGTGTCTCTGAAAACAGGGCCACATCTACGTGTAGGTCTTGCAGCTGTTTACTGAGCTCATAGCGCTGCCTCCCAATGCCATTCGCATTAAATGCTATGACTTTGAGGGGCCTATGTACTCTAGTGGCCATTTTGTTTCATTAGGCTTAAAACAATTTTGGTAATGGCCATTATTTTTTCCTCTTCGGACACTGCACCACTGACCTCTGTCATAATCTGCTGTACTACAGTCACTACTCTCAACATATTGTCGAGAGATGGACTGTTTACATGACTAGCCTGAGTTGACTGACCTGTTTTTGGTTCCTGTACAAAGACCGGGATGCTCGGTTTCGTGGCTTTTGGTGGGACTGCCACTGGAACTTGGAGAGTCTGAGGTCGCTGCTCCTGCGATGTGCTGCCACGGAGCGCTGCCGCGAAGGAGACTCCAGGGCTAACGATATTCGAGGAGAACACCCTTCCCGTCGTAGTTTTGGGTGCTCTCTGCGATTTCCTCCTCTGCAGTTCCTCCCTCGCGTGTCTGCAGCCCCGGTAGTTGGCGGGATGTGGCTTCTCTCCTTCTTTCAATTCACAATTGCAGCATGCTGGAGTGGAGGCAGCGTTCTGCTTCTCAGGACATTCTTTGTGCAGGTGGCCACCCCCGCACCACATGCAACGTGGAGGTTGTTTGCAATTGGCCCAGACGTGGCCAAACTGTTGGCAGTTGTGACACTGCGTAAGGCCACTCTGTGCTCTATATGCCTCAACCCGAATGGAAATGTGGCAAAGGCTTTGAAGATGGAAAATTTCTTGAGATTTCGCCGTCCGGGTTAGGGTGATAAGGAAGAGCGGGAGGTTTCTTGCTATCCTTTCGTCTGAAGGCGACCCGCGGGTGGTTGTCATCTGCTTCACGCTGACGACATCAAATCCCAGGGTCACCAGTCCATCAGATATATCCTCCGCAGGGGTATTGTGAGGGAGGTGACGGATTACGGCTTTTATGGGTTTTAGGGACTTGGGAAAGAAGGTAAAATATGAAAGACTGTTGTTAGATAGATGGGACTTGACGGCTTCGAAATCCGCCATGTTCTTGGTGAGGACTCTGGTCCCGTTTCTGGTACTGCGGAACTCAAAGTCGCCTTTGACAACATTTTTCAGTTGCTTCTGCAATTGAATTAGGTTTACAGTGGACGTGAGGATTATTGGGGGGGGCCTGCCTGCTTTGCCTGAGGTTTCCTCCTCCAGCGCAGTGGCTTCTACAACAGAAGTTTCAGTTTCCATAGTTGCCTCCCTGAGGGGGGCGAAGTAGTTTTTGGTGGCAACCTCTGGCTTTGTGTTGCTTCCGACTGCTGCAGTTGGTTTTTTCGGAGTCGGTGCGGTTTCAGCGGTACTTTGTCGTTTCCGCCTACGGACTTCTTTGAAGCCTTCCTCCCCGGCTGGAATATTTTTGCCTGATGTGCTGGCCTTTATCAGTGATTTCAGCTCATTTAGCGTGACTGTATAGTTGCCATAGAGCGCACTGAACAGCGTCTTGCCGGAGAGGGACTTACAGTAATTTATCCTATTTTCATCGGCGGTGCTGACTATTGCCGCCCATTCTGCACTTTCTCCAATTGCAGCAGTTGTGATACCGGCCACGTGCTCAATGCTGCACAGGATGTCGAATAAGCGCCTGTACTGGGTTTCGGCCTCGGGATATTGTCGTATGATTTCTTTACATTCGGCCTGAAGAGCGGCACGTTTTTCGGCCCAGAATGCCTGGTACCCCGGCACAGGGACGCCAGCCATTACTGGCTGGACACTTACAGATTATAAACACCCGGCCGAGTACTGACGTATAGAACAAATATTGAGACACAACTCACTACCCGCACTGAATTCACAATGTTGTCCAGACACAAGAATTCAGTCCAAATTTCTCATCCGATATAGAGTTTTGTCGAACAGACTTACTCCTTACTGAATGGTCAATCCCTATGAACTCGATGAATGAATCGAATCTCGATGAATCCCCGAATATCACTCGAATCAATCCTGAATCTATCACCCTATCACCCGAATCGAATCGAATCTATCCACACCTTCACACAGACAAACTGACATTATTACAGAAATTCACATAAATATTTTCCTATTGTACGATTTCAATGCTATCCAATTAGTTGATCGAGAAGCGAACCCGCGACCTTCAGGCTTGTAGCATAGTGTCTCAAACAACTACGCTAACGCGTGCCCCGCGTCTGATTGTAGGATCATTAATAAATGTCGAGGAGTTGGTGGAACGAGAATTGGCAGGGGAAACCGAATTACCAGTGCCAATTTTTCGGAACCGAACTCGGGCCTCAGAAGTGGGAAGTTGGCGACTAACCTACCTGAGTTAAGACACGATACTCTATTTATGTTGTGTGTTTTGAAGTGCTTGTAAGGTCCACAATTCATACTACCTGGTTCTGGATATTATGTGTCACAAGAACTTCTTCCTCCTCCGAGACTGCTGCAGTTTGAAGATCACGAAGAATTGCATCTTTCTCAGTTGGTTCTGCTGCCGCACGACTTCTGCAGAACATTGTATCTCGCACTGAACCACACGACAACTGTTCCACATTACGTACAACAAATTCGGAACTGTAAATGCTTTGGTTATCTATGACTGGGCTGAGCTAAACTGTCACATACTGGCAAATGGGATCCTGTTATAACAGGTGTTCCGCGTGCGTATAATCACATGCCTTAACGCCGTGTTGGTCGGAAAACACAGAGCAGTGTTGGGTGACTTACACTTCTACAAACGCACACGTACTACTTCATAATTAGTAATCTCCCTAAGATATCTATCCAAGCAAAGGATACATTTGGAATTCTCACACCTGTGATTATGAGGAATATTGTGTTATGTGATATGACACCATGTGGTCCGGTAGATGGTTTCCAACACTTCGGAGAAACCTGATGCCTCTATCTTCCGAGTATACAGGTAAAAAATGCCCCTACCCTGAAGATGGAGGCAGGAAGTCTCTCCGACAGTGGCTTCATACCAAAAACAGTTCTGCATTGCCATTTACTTGTGTCACCTATCGCTCACATTCCACTCGCTCGTATAATGGGTCAAACAACCCAATTAAACCTAATTAAAATTCAAAATATTTAATAGCATATAAAAATTGAGTTATAATGTTAACTGCTATTTTACATGGGTGTGGAACTTCGTCTTTCGGTCTGAAAGGGGCAACGTAATGATAAGGACATTCCTGCCGAACAAGGAGAAGGCAGCGGGAGGCCCGCGAAAGCTGTAAGCCTGCACATCGCCAAATACTATTAGGATGGCCAAATCACGGAACACGAAGGGGCGAGATAAGAAATGCAAACAAAATCTTAGTCGGAAAACATGAGAAGAGTACTGGGAGACATTGATATTGACGGAAGGATAATATTAAAGTGCAACTTAAATAAATAGGATATGGGATGTGGGTTCAATTCCTCGGGCTATTGAAAGAGTCCAGTGGTTTCCTCTTGGTAACATGATGATGAACAGGTAGATTCTAACGGATTCTGACTTTGGTTATAACAAAGAATTACTGGGTTTTTGGCCTTGTCTATAATCTGATATTATATAATCTAGAGAACATAACGTTTCGGAAACTGAGTATGTTTTCGTGCTCAGATGTGGGGGGTACACCGACTCTGTTGGGTCCTTTAGAAAGGCGTAACCTCAATGCCTGGTTAGCCCTTTCTAAGGGATGTGAGATTACAAGGTAAAGCATCACTCTCCCCTCTGTATGGCGAATACAGCATCAGTTAAATGAGTATTTTTTCAGAAGCGTTATCGTTAGACCCTTGTATTGGGGAGGTGCCCGGTTTGAATCGCGGTCAGCACACCGACAATCCTACTGAGGATTTTCGTGGGGTTTCTCCCCCTTCTTAAACGTAAATTTCCGAATAGTAAAGTAAATTTGGCAACGACGCCTGCTTCCATACACTTTCCAAACCATTTTACATTATCTTCTAATCATTCGGGACTCTATAACCTGAACTACTATCAGAGTCACAAAATTAACTACAAAGTACGTGCAGTATCCAAGGACAAAGGAGAAGTAAGTCAATAGTACTGTTGTAGTCCACCTGTATGTTCATAAGGTTCAAAATTCAGTATCCCACAGTTCTAAATCTTACTCCTTTAAAATTCAGTTTTCCTACAAATAGTTTAAAAAATCGAAGGTGTTACAAATAACTTTCTCAATTACAAGAGGAGACGCGAAAAGACAAAACAGAAGTAAAACTCTGAAGATGGAGGAACTTTGAGGGACCGGTGGGAGCTAATAACTCCTCCCCGTAAGCAGCCAGTAAGTGAAATACTGTGTCCGACAGCAATACGTATGGAGGGTGTGCAAGACATTGATGCAGAGGATAATTCGTGAAGCCAATAGACAGGAACTATGTACAGGCGATTAAAATAGCCATAATGTCATCAAATATAATGAGGAAGCATGAGGTGGCAGGGCATGTAGCAGGCACGAGGAAGATCAGAAATCCTTCGGCTTACAACATTCTAGACAGAAACGCGGAGGTAATGTTCCACTTCGGAAACCGAGTCGCAGATGTCTCAAAGGCGCAGGACATGAGGAAGTGGAGTGGCTTCATGTGGCTGAGAATAGGATTCAGAAGCGAAGACTTATATACACGGTAATGAACATTGGTCTGTATAAAGATGGGAGAAATCCATAACTATGTGAGGAACTATCAGCTTCTCAAGAAGGGCTCTGCTTCATGGCGACGGTTACGGAAATCCTTTCAGAAAGCACCAATAGATTGAGAGGTCAGGGTCCAGAAACAGGGCCTCCTGTGTAGACACGTAACTTCTTGGGCAGCTCAACAGTTACGTACTGAGGGTTACCAAATGAAACAAAACTGGAAACCACTGCTACAGCCTGAAATAGCCAATCACGTGCCTCGTTAGATCACCAACTCTGCTAAGACATAAAAGAATGGAAGAAATATTAGAGTGAATCCTAAATACGAAATTAATGTATGACCATTTGAATACCCTCGAGAAGTATTTCGCGGCATGATTTTATAATGACGCTTACGAACAAACTTCCATAATCATCAGGGAATGTGTTCACCAGATATGTTTTTATTCGCACATAGCGGTGGTTACACAGCAGACGGGAAGAGACGCGTGGCAGTTGGATTCTAAAATGCATCTTAAGTGGACTGGATGCATCTGGCTCAACAGGGACTAGTGACGGTCTCTTGCGAAAACAGTGCTGACACGCTTTCATAAGAAGCTTTTAGTTCCTTCAGTAGCGGAGTGACTACCATCGTTCGCAGAAAGAGTTAAAAACCGTCTTCCTCAGAGGCCAACGGGGGATAGAAAATGTTGTTTTTGTGTTGGTGACTCATTCTGATCACACGTTTTCCTCCTGCTTCAGATGTGACAGTGCTGATGATGTTCAAGTCTACTTCAGTCCCGGTGTCATTATGTGACGGGGCAGATGCAGTGCTGGCCACAAATTGGGCTGTGACCTCAATAACATACGGAGGGAGGGGCGCTGTACCCATAATAGGGACGTAGTCTTCGCAACTGAGCTGGAGCTGACATTTAGTGGCAACGGGTTTATAAACGGCGTTTGAACAGAACATAAAATGGAGTGGATGAAAGAGCAAATGCATTTTACAGCAGCATACTGATGCACACTGTCCAATTAAAATAAAAATCTGTTGAATTTGATGCCCATCCGTCCAGCCACAACGACCTGGTTAGTTCTGTTCCTGAGTGAATTCAACCTGCTAAGCACGTTCAATCCGTTCCTCTATTTGCATTTTTTTAATTTGCAATCCTGTAGCGTGTATATAATCAACATATACAAATTCCACCGTCAACACAACAACTGTTTATTAGCACGTCTAGCACTACATGTTTCGGCCCAAACGGGCCATCCTCAGGTGCTGCAAGTCTCACTCAACCACTGAACCGTTGCTTTATCCTAAGACCTGGCACACTCGAGACAAATTTTATCCAAGACGCGAGGAGAATATTTACGCCATGGTCACTACAAAATGCAATCCAACTGAAAGACGAAGCCCACAGTAATCTCGTATACTGGCCGCGCCATAGCTCAAACGGTTAGTCCCGGGTCTGGTCAAGTGGGATTTGTGGTGGACAAAGTGGCGCTGGGGCAGGTTTACTCCGAGTACTTCGGTTTCCCCTGCCAATCTTCATTCCACCAATTGCTCCACAATCACCCTCACCTATCATCTGGGGCTGGGACAGTAGGCCAGAAGGGGCTGCAGTACAAGGGGCTTAGTCCCACCCACTGGCAATAAAAAAATCTCATATACTCGTTTCTTGACCAAATCTATCCCAAATACTAACCACTATAGCTGAGGGATATCAGACCAGCAAGACTCCAACCATAATGGTCCTGTCTCTAGCATTACGGCTAGCGTTGCATGAAGTGCAGTAACAAGACAGGAGCGCGCCTGATGTACACAGCACTTGGCGCGACTGAATGTATCTAAAACACTATCACGCGTTAGTGACTAGAAACCGAATTTGGATGGACAATTTGATTTATTGAACCCTTACAAATCATAACCACAAGTAATTATAACACTCTCACTAATTCGCGCAATCCACTTCTCACTGCAGCACTCGCTAAGTCCTTCATGTCTGCACTAGCCGTTGCCTGGTAACGGAACCCAACAATATCCTCTGCTGCCGTGCTCACGTCCAACTAACAATTAACTCATTACTCCAACTGTCGCTTCTCAACTAACTCGTGATAACACTAGCCATCACTGAGTGCTCATTGGTTCTCACTGGTCAGCCCTGACTCTCACTGGCTGTACTGCATGTATTTAAAACTTGTTGAAACCTATTAACTATACATATACTATACTATAAATAAACTTTATTATTATATAAGGACGTATACAAATTTAATATTATTTGTAAATGGACATATAAAGGCAAGCAGTGAAATGGTTGACGGATCGATATACCTGAAGATGGCAGCATACTGTAGTGTAGAAGTGGCAGATGGGATTGTATGCACTTGAAGACTGTTAATATATACACATTATGAATATGAAACAGTGCAACAGGACGCTAAAATACAACATACATTTTACATTACTTCTGCTTGCTACTAGCAGAATGTTGGGATACCCACCAACCGCGAGCGGCTGTGTGCCAGAGGTGCGCTGCAGTTTGAAAAGGTGGGCATCTGACATCAATTCTCAGATTGTGCCAAAATAAATCAAAATGGACCTAATGAATGTTTTACATAAATCGACTTGAAACCATTTGGTACCTCCTTTTGTAACAATTCTTTAGGGGGCGTCAGTACTACATTTGTATGTTAAAACAATTGGAACATTCTTTCGTTTCTTCCGATGAAGCACGCGCCGATCTGAAGTCGCGGTATATTTACTTGCAGTGACAATTGCACATTATGAAGCCGAAAACAGTAAAACGCAGTTCTCAGGCAGCGCACAGAAACTTAAAGGCGCGTCCACATTACTCGTGCTCGTTCTCGTACTCGTGTGACTCGCTATGCTCGCGAGTAATGTGGACGATATGACAGGTCACGAGACAAGGACATTTTAAAATTTTAATTTACAAACTATAGCCAATAAATGAAAATACGACTACAGCCTATACACACTACGAGCAAATATACGGATCCTCACGCGCCGAAGCCTGGCGAGCAACTGAAGTAGTGTGGACGAAGATTTACGAGCACAAGTAAAAGCCAGACGAGTCTCCCGACGAGCACGAGTAATGTGGACGCGCCTTAACACCGAATATGCTGACGGTTTGAAAGACGGCATGAAAAGTGATCACAGGGGAAAATAAGTGAAAGCTGTGCTGTATATGCACAGTTAATATTATCTTTCAGAAATCACGTTCATTTTCATAAAGTAATGAGCAGGGCCCGGATTTTGATGACATGTCATCTTTCTTTCCTTGTATCCTATGCGATGCTCTTAAATATATAAATCTCGGATATGAGCTGCTGGTTACAGAAATGTAAATTTTATAGGTAATTTTTTTGACATTTTTATGTTTAAGGTCATTTTTTCATTTTGGGGGTAATTTTTTGGACTTTTAAGGGTATTTCTTGTCATTTTTGGCCATTTTAGGGAATTTTTCTTCATATGTTTTCTGAAATGTGAATAACATGGAAGCAAAGTGTTCTTTCTTTTCTCCTTTAGGTCATTTTTCTGGATTTTTTCGGTCATTTTATAGATCTTTTTTTTTTTAATATTTCCAGGTCATCAAAATCCGGGCCCTGGTAATGAGCAACTTGACAAGTGTCATCTGTTATTGCTTGTCCTTGTCATATTTGGAGCAGAAAGTCCTGCACTTTCTCTAGACTGCAGACAGAGCAGAGAGAAGAAACGCCCCTGAAGCTATGGTAGAATATTCAAGGTTATACGTCAATATTGGTCGAAAATATGAGTTCCGGTCAATGGATAGAGATATGCAGGCCTCTATGGTGCCTTCCTTTCTAGTCCTACATCGATTCTGCTTTAAAATGAATTGTTAGAACCCACGCATGTAATGACTATTTAATAGAATAATTTTTCACCAAATTTTGTATTGCAATTTAACCTGCTCCAGCACTTCCTGCATACCAGAACATGCTGTAAAGGGGGAGTACGGCGGGGGGGGGGCCCTCACAGGTTGAGGAAAATATCTAGACCAAAAGGAAATTAAGTACACAAAAGTATTGCTGAGGGGTTTCCTAATTTGTCCTCTTCACCAGTATTATTGAAATTAGCCAATCAAGGAGGATGCCATGGGCGAGGACTGTAGCACGCATGGGTGATGAGTTATGTACGCAGAATCCTAAAAGGAAGATCACTTGGCTTGGACATTTAAATAAGCCTTTTTGCAAGTTATTAAAATAAGAGGTCCGGTCTAGAAAACCGAAATTGGCGGCCGTGGGGAATCGTTACGCTGACCACGTGACACCCTCTATCCGCTAAAGTTAACACTAACTTCGCCGACAAGTGACGGTCGCTCGGTCGGTATAGTTCGCTTGCGGACTAAAGCCACGGGGTTGTTTTTTAAGAAAAGAGGAGGTTCATTCGCCTTTAGACCCGAACTATGCAACTGGAACAAACACGTATCATTTTAAGGAAACCCGTTTCTCCTCTTTTGCGTCATTATTTTCAGAACTACTGATAAACGACAAATCTAGCATTATCAATTTTTTCGTCGAACCCCCATAAAAATTTGAGTATAGCCTGGAGGTTTGCGATCCACAGTTTATTAAACTAACCTGCTTTAAAAATGCTATGCTGTAGAGACGAAAGGCGTAAGTAGGCGGTGGTGGCATTTTTTTCTCCACTGCACGCGGCCTTATCTGAATGTCACACCACAATAAGCACCCGTGAGAAACTGGCGTGCGGTAAACCGGTTCTGAACGTTCTGAAGTTCTGTCCAGCAGGTATCCTCTTCTTCACGCTGTGGTGGGAGACTTCCCCCTCCCCCTACACAAGTAAAACTCCTAATCCCCTCACTCACGAGCCTGTCCATAAAAAACTTGGCTTTTTTTTAAATTGCTCCCAATGCCAAAAAATCTATTCATTTCCTCTTCTCACTTACTACAAACATGCCTGAATTGGGTACGACTTTCTGAGCATAGTTTACTACTTTCTACTTTTGGATTATCCTGCTCCTTCCGTCTTCTGCCCTGAAGAAGCAGACAGCAGATTTCTGGGAAACGTTGTACATAACTACCAAATTGTACGCGACACATACCACAAAATCTTATTTTCACCGCTATGAGATAATTGGTGCACAATGGCCATGTGAGAGTAAGGATCTTGAGTGCTCCTTCCTTGGTAGGAATTCGAGATTCTCACATGATCCTTGTTCACTTCATTCCAAAGAGCGTCCTTTATGTAGTATAGCTTTTTCAGTGGTACCAGCCCATCCCGGAAAACAACAATAAAAATATGTAAACAATACTCACTTCCTAAACACATTATATGCGGGGCAGTCAAATGAAAACAGGTCAGAAACCAAAACATATTAAAGAACATTTCTTACCTCAAAAGTAATCTCCAAAACTGTTAATACATTTATCCCACTGGGAGATAAGGCGGTCAATCCCATCCTTGAAAAAGCTTGTGGGCTGTCTACGGGACCACATCTTTACCCAGCCACACGCGTCTTCGTCCGATGCAAACCGATGTCCACGAGTGTGTCTCTTCAGTCTCCAAAAATGTGAAAATCACATGGGGAGAGATCTGGGCTGTAGGGGGAATGTTGAAGCACTTCCCAACCAAATCTCTGTTGCGTACTCCTCACAGAGTTGGCAGTGGGGGGGCGCGCATTATCATGAAGAAGGATAATGCCGTTCGGTAGCATTCCAGGGCGTTTTGACTTTATGCCACGTCTCAGTCTCAGTCTTCATAGCGCTGTGCACTGACTGTGGCCCCATGCCTGAGAAACTCGACAAGCAGAGGGCCCTTCAAGTCGAAGAAGGTCAGCATCACTTTACAGGAACTTTTGTGTATGGCTTTGGATTTCTTCGGTGGGGGAGCATTCACATGTTTGCACTGTTGGCTCTGCAGTTTGCTCTCGGGTTCAAAATGGTGGCACCAAGTTTCATCCCCAGTGGCAATACGGGACAGAAAAGCATACGCTTCCTCATGGTATCCTTGCAAGTGACTCAGTGATGCAGGCATTCTCCGAGTCTTCTGTTCTTCCGTGAGTTGATGCGGAACCCACTGCGCGCAGATTTTGCGGTACAGCAGGTGTTTTGTCACAATGGCGTGTACGGAACCGTGACTTATTCCCACCAAAAGACTAATTTCTTCCACAGTGATCCGTCGGTTTGCCCGGATATGATCACCCAACGCAGCAATAACATCAGGAGTGATCAGACGATGAGCCTGTCCTGGGCGAGCATCATCTTGCAGTGACACACGTCCCTCTCGGAATTCGTTATGCCACGCCAGCACACGCGAACGTGACATGCTGTGTTCGCCGTAGACAACAGACATGCGACGGTGAATTTCTCCTTCTCCTACTCCTTCAGCATTCAAAAAGCGCACCACACTTCGCTGTTCTTTACCCGCCTCCATTACTGATGTTGGACGACCACACGTAGCGCTAACCTTACTTCCAACACAATAAACAAACGACTAGTGTGCAAGGGCACGTTGTCTGTTTTCCCGAGTCCGCACCAGATGTTCATACCGTAAGCAAGTTCCAGTGGTACCAACTTGCGCGCCGTGAGTTATGCATGGAGACCCGTTTTCATTTGTAAGATTTGAGGCTTTCACGGCGGTGACTATGAAGAAAGCAGTCTTCTGGGCTTTGGCGCCGTGTATATGTGGTGTTAACCGACGTTTCGGAGGAACGTATCGCCCCCATCTTCAGGGTTGAAGAAAAAGTATAGGTAAATCTGCAAGCGACAACACGGTGTTGTCGCTTGCAGATTTACCTATACTTTTTCTTCAACCCTGAAGATGGGGGCGATACGTTCCTCCGAAACGTCGGTTAACACCACATATACACGGCGCCAAAGCCCAGAAGACTGCTTTCTTCGTTTTCATTTGACTACCCCATATATTTACTATCAATGACAGCATTGCTTACTCTACACTAGACAGCCGATTAACTTTAACCCATTTGATGCGAATGAATTATCAAAAGCGAGTATCCATACAGGACCTCCTTGTTCATCATCATACACTGTAATTCTCCAAAGCGATGCCATGTAAACAGCGGGTACAAAACTAGAAGATGACTTTCAACTGCTTCCCTTACACTAAAGTGCCCTAACTATTACAGAGTGCAAAAACAAGCTGTTAAATTTCTTTTGCGTGAAGGTACCCTATTGAAGTTCTTCCTGCACAGTAATGTACTGCCGACACTACACTCTGAAACCTTATACATATGACAAGTCCACAAAATAGCATTCATATACGGTGAAGCAAAGACGTCTGTACTATCCTAGTTCTAATCACTTGTAAACGTATATTTCAAGAATAATTAACTTGTAGATGTTAATATTAGTAATGTTATAGGAATGCCTACTGTCCTACTCTGTATTTCTTTCTTACAGGAACGAGATCGAGGTTACCAGGATATTTTGTGCCGGGATAGAAGGATCGGCTCTTGAGGCGTACAGCGGTGTCGTGTGTTAAACGATTATATTAGTTATATTATTAAAATCATCATTGTATTATCTTAGTATATTATTATAACATTATATTATTATTTTATTATCATTCTTATTTATTATTGTAAAGTATTTGACTTGTCCTACATCATGTATAATGACCCATGGATATGAAGTAAATAAATAAATATCGAAGTTTAAATAATTCCTCATGCAAATATCAACGCTTACTTACCTGCAAACTATTACTTGATACTCTCTGGGCTTATCCATTTTATTATTAACAGCAGAGAACTTAATTATTCCTATTATTTTATATTTCTATGTACCCTACACATTCCTCCTCCTGTTCAAACTGGTCATACTTGGTGAAAATTGTAACCAATCAAATCACACGCCTTCAATCACGTGAACCAACGTATATGTCATGTATGTAAGAGATGAGGTTTTCACGGCGGTGACTATGAAGAAAGCAGTCNGTGTGCAGGCTGTTGGCTGCCTTTGCTAAAGTGTGTTGTGGTAACCATGGTCCCCATCGTCCCCATGGTGATATGTTTTCGTTAAAGTGCTTGCTGAAGATGACTGTTATTACCGGTTGTGAGAGCTAGAGTACTAAAGAAGTTTAGTTTTGAAATGTTGATATCATCAACAAAACAGGAATTTCGAACATTGCCAGTGTATAATTAAATCAAGACCTAACTATTTAAAGAAATGTGGTTTCTGTATATGTTGAGTTGGGTGGCAATAATTGTGCAAGTATCTTTCGTTACAGTGGCAGTAGGTAAGATAATGAAGATAATGAGATAGTGCTGAAGCTTGAATAAGGTGTTCTGTGATTGAGATGTGTGTGAGTGTGTGTATATGCCTTGTATTAAATAAAAGTTACCAATCTGCATTTCAGCTAGTATTAAATGAAGGTAATTAAATGTTAAAACATTTGTTTCAGCTGCTGGTTTATATTACCTAGCAGAGTTAGTAGAAGAATACACTGTAATGACAAAGAGAATTATATGGTGGATGACTGTGGTAAGTAAGTATGTCATTAACATCTTTAAGCAAAGTAGAATATCAGAATTTTTATTTATTTGAAAGGTTCCACAAAGGAGGTTAAGTTGTTGTACATCACCAAGAGGTACATAATTTATGGCAGACAAGAGGAGTAGTTCATTGTTGTCATCAGCCTTTATAGGAATCCTAGTCCCCATAACCCATCAGTAGCCTTGAAGTGGAAGAAACCAAGCCTTATAATTTATTTAATTATTCTTATGGAGAAAATATTAGTGTTTTTATAGATGGAGAGTAGCTTTGTCACAAAAGTGAGACATTCTGTGTACATCTCTCTTACGAATTATGTTCAGTTTGGAATGCTAAGAGTGTGTTTCAGTGCTGTGAGTATGGCGTGCTGATCTTTTATTGTCTTATCCTTCCTGCATATTCATTAAACATTTAATTTACTCATTCCAAAAACTAATTTTGGACCTTTGATAAATTAGGTTTGTTTTTTTTTCACACACAGAGGGAGGGAGATTTTTTTCTAAATCTATTATGCTGACTGAATGTTATGGTATGAACCTGACTGAAGTTCGCCTGATGTAGGAACATGTCATCTATTAGTGACATACACCGTTAAATCATGATTGTAAAGTTCCAAGTTTACTTCTAGTATTTATATGCTGGTAGAAAATAAAACATACATATGCAGGACTGATCTTCTGTGTAAGATTGCCTACATGAGGTGCGACCTACACTGGCTTATAGAGTAGATGGACATTTCAAATGACTTTATGAGTATAACCTCCAGTGGCACAACCGATGCTTCAATTTGGCTTCCCAAAAACATCTTTTTTGACAAATGTTGCAAACTATTAACTGATCCAGTCCTTAAAACCAGACGTCACTATAACAACTGATGTTTCAGAAGGGCAGAAAAATGATTAGGGCACAGGTTATTCACCTAACAAACACATACACTGAGTCACTGTTATGCAGTGCTGCATTGAGTCATAATTTTATGATCTGATTTCCATTCACGATTCTTTCATGCTACATGTCCTGCTCACCTCAGCCTCCTTGACTTGATCATTCTGTTTATACTTGGAGAAGAGTACAGGTTATGAAGCTCCTCATTATGCAGTTTTCTCCAACCTCCTGTCATTTCATCTCTCTTTGGTCCAAATATTCTCAACACCCTGTTCTCAAACACCCTCAGTCTATGTTCCTCCCTTAATATTAGAGACCAAGTTTCACACCCATACAGAACCACAGGCAAAATTATAGTTTTGTATATTCTAATTTTTATGTTTTTGGACAGCAAATGAGAAGACAAAAGGTTATGGACTGAATGATAGCAAGCATTACCCGAGTTCAGTCTCCTCTTAATTTCCTCCTCAATCAGGTTTTGATTTGTTATCGTTGTTCCCAAATATCTTAACTGTTCTGATGTATGCTACACAAAACTTGATTTTATAGCTCTCTTTTTTTTTTCCAGATAACCCTGTTGTTTTACATAGGGTTTCTCTTGTTTGAAGACTTTCCTGCTTCAGTCATCATCTGTGGCGTCATTAGTCAAGTAGCGCACTTGTTCATTCTCAAGACATTTCCATTTGTTATGATTGCTTCACCTGCATTCATTGTAGCAATCATAATGCTAATTATAAATCATTATTTGGCATTTCAGTACTTCTCAGCTGTGTATTATTCTTTTTCAGAGGTATGTTCATTATTTACTTCCATTTATTTTATTAGGAAGTCTTGATGTTCTAACTTACAGTTCTGGCTGTACATTATACCTAAGTTAGATGAAAATCTGCAGTCATTGACATATTTTCTTAGTTCCAAGATTATAAAGTAAAAACTTGTGTAATGTAATATTACCTCTTACTGATAAAAGCAGAAAGGAAAATCAAGAATTAAATGGAAAACAGTCTGCTACATTGTTGTATATTCCCCGCTTGAAATTAATCTGAGACAGAAATGTGTCACAAATGGGAAAGAATTAAGCCTGAATATCAACAAAATATGTATAGAACAATTTACCGACCTGCTGGGAAAAGTAAATTTATAAATTATAATTCAGGTGACGTGTCAGTGTGAAACACTGTCATATTTCCCCAGGCCGGAATGAGACCATAGTTTCGAACATTCGCAGAAAAATTAAAAACAGTAGAATATTTTTCTAAATTGTTTTATTATAGTTGATTGGCTTGAATTGATGTGGAGGCTTACTGCAATATCTGATGATTAAAATAAAACTTACTTCCTATAAGATATGATGCATCTATTTTATAATTCTGACATTCAATTTTCAGGTAATTTCATACTTCACCCTCTGCCTTTGGCTTGTTCCATTTGCCCTCTTTGTGTCTCTCTCAGCTAATGAGAACATTTTGCCAACAGTTGCAGAAAGAAAGCCATTATTAGGTAAGTCAGTACAGTTAGTATTCAAACCTTTCATTGATACAGATGGAACAATTCAACATTCAAGAAAATTATGCTGTATATTGTGTGGGTAGACCTTTTCCACCAAATGTTCAAAGATTTAATCTATTTATTATTTTCCAGTATCTATAGCCCATATCCTGAAAGTATTTCATACAGTGTAAGCCAAAAACTAAATAAAAACATTGACATGTTACATTCAGACACACTGCCATTTGATATATTCTTCTTCACTAACAGTGAAAGATTTGTGCAGTTGGAAATTATATATTTTATATTGTATATAAATTAGCTAGTATGTGAACTTGATGAATAATACATTGAAGAAGTTCATGTAACATGTCATAATCTTGTATCAGTATAATAATAGTGACACTTAAAACAGTCTAACATACTATATTTTAATTCAGACATTTTGCACTAATAATGGTAATTCTTTCATTACAGATGACAACGATGTTGTCAGCAATTACTTTTCTAGGAAAGGCAAAAAATATGGATTGCTGTCGCTGTTCAACTATGCTAAAGACTCTATTCTTCCGCAGCGTAATAAAAAATCTTTCTGAACAGTGGACATGAATATCAGTAAACCAATAACATACAGCCATGATATAAATGGACTACATCATTACATCACTGAGTGAACTGGACAAACTTTACATCATAAGCCTTACTTTCAAATGTGCACTTCAAGTGTACATCAGTTAGTTGCCAAGAAATTTAAGTGCAAAATTTTATTTCTCTGTATTTTGAAACAAAATACTTTTGTAAACATACATTTCAGTTTTTTTAACAGTGTTGTCAGTAGTAAGGACATAGCATAGCGCACTGGAAATATTATTCTTATTAACCAAAGACAGTGTGCTTCATTCAGTAAAGATGAAGGAACACATTTAAGGATTAGAGATGTACATTGGTATGTTTGTGTGTGTGTGTAACTGAGTATGCATTCCTGCTTCTAATAAAATAGCAGTTTGGAAATACTGTAAGTATGTATATTTATTTAATCAGTTTACTAATTAAAGTCAGTTATGGACTCAAAATGTTGCATCCTCAAATGTTATATTTTTAAAACCTGAAAGAGAATTCTCTTCTTTACCAAACCAGACAGTATGGTGTTATACCCCATCCTATTTCTCTAAGATTCATATTAATATTATCCCACCCACCTACATCTAAGTCTTCCTAGTGTTCTCTTTCCTTCTGGCTTTCCCACCAGAAACCTTTATGCATGCTTCCTCTCATGAATGTTACATACACCCTGCCCATCCTGTCCTTGACTTGATCATTTTAATTACATTTGATAAGGAGTACAAGTTATGAAGCTTGTACAGAGCGTTGAACCATCAACAAAACCTGTGAGCAGCGCACAGACACAACATTTCTCACAGATTGCTGCTGTAACAGCCGATAACAGAAGGAGTCATTGGTGCTGATAAACACGCACCGTCATGTGGTTTGATCTTGTCACTGCAGTAAGTAACATTAATAGTCAGTCTTTGTTAGAGGTGTCGAGAGGCAGTCAACACTTATACTGAAATGAAGTTCACTACTGAACAGCACGTTTATTGTCGAAACTTTTGCAAAGAAAGATCTTACAGAAAATGTATCCACAAGTTTTGTCGTAAATATCCTGACTCACCAGTTCCCACAAAGCCGTGTGTATGTCTATAGCGACCATGGTTGCATTAGCCTAAGTGCTGTAGCACTGTCTTGCTGAAAATCCCTATATTGTCTTTCCTCAGCAGTCATCTGATTGAACGGATTCAGTATATATCATTAACATAGCAAACAGAGTTCACAGTTTTGTGAAAAATAAGGGGCCAGTGATATGCCGCGTACTTGCAGCACACCACCACCTTTTCACTATGTAATGGCACTTGCTGTATAGCGTGAGGATTTTCATTGATCCATATTCTTACATTTTGTGCATTGACATGGCCATTAACGTGAAACCCTGCTTCACCAGTCATGAACAGAAGCTGTGGATCCACGATTCCATTGTGCACATTTTGCAGCAACCAGTTGCAAAAACGAATTCTTGCTGCATAATCCGGTTGTCTCAGCTCATGCAAAACTGCTATTTTATATGGGCAAATTTTTATTAATTTTGTGGCTGTGAAAGCAGATCATAGCGAAACACCGGTTTCCTGTGCTAAATGTCTTAACAATTTTCGTGGACTGATCTGTAGTCTTGACTCAATATCCTGAACCTTTTCTTCAGTCAGCACAATCCTCTTCGATTGCCTCTCTACGTCACACACTGAACCTGTGAAAATGGGAAGTCTTCCCATTGGTTGTAATTATCTGCATGTTCATATACTACCACAGTCAATCATTTCGTGGACTGGCCGCAAAGTGTCGTTGCAGTGCACTACAGCAGATAGGTTGAGGCACGATATGATGCCGTCAGTTCATCTCTCGTCACAGCAAGAGGCAGTTGTGTGCAAACAGTGTAAGCAGAACTATGGCCTCTCTTGTGTACTGCAGTTAAATGTGACTGGCGGAAGTAAAAAAGTGGCAGTTTGAACAACGGGCAAACATCAAGTTCTGCCAAAAACTAGGCAAATCCCCTAATGAAACATTCTGCATAGGAAGAATTGGTTCTTGTTACACGACAATGCCCTTGCACATCGCTCTGTTCTTGTCCAAGAGGAACTGGCAAGGCAACAGGTCATAGTTTTGCCACACCCTCTGTACTCACCTGATCTCGCACCATGTGATTTCTTTCTCTTTCACTGCTTGAAAGCAAAGCTGCGTGGTTGTAGATTTCAGTCGTCCAAGGAGGTCGTCAGTGCCACAAGAGACACCATACAGGAATTTCCCGCCAATATGTTTCAGAAATGTTTTCTGCTGCTATATCAACGTTGGCAGACTTGCATAGTGGCCAATGGCAACTATTTTGAGGGCCGATTTGGATCTGTGTAAGCGTATGTGAATACCTTGTAATATGATGTGATAAAACCACAGTCCACGAAATTAACGACTGTACCACATATATATATATATATATATATATATATATCCTGAGTGACAGTATAAGCCCAAATAAAAGGTGACCCTGAATGTATGGTGACCACCTGTTTTTGAAATTACATAACTGAGTATTGGTTCTGAGGGTTGTACTCGTGAGCATAAAGAAGTAAAAATTAAGAAATAATACATTCAAAATTTAATACCTTTGATGTATTTTCACAAATATAATTAGAATTAGCAATTAGAACTTGCACAATAATCTTCATATTTATTCCTAAGGACCCAAAAATAAGACAAGTCCTCTTTTTCATGAAGCAGTATTTGAAAATCCCTTGCCTTATTTTTGAACTAATATGGTGGCTTCACAAACCATTGTCACTAACAGTCCATACGTTTTAATTTTTCTTGGATTATATACTCTTGAACTTTGGCAGCCTCTCCATGGAATTGTGCCTGTATCCAGTGACCAATCTTTGTGGACTGTAAGTTAATCTGAATTTGCAAAGGAAATATTAACAAACAGGCCGAAGGGTTAAGAAGCTGTCCGAGTGATGTGTATGTTGGCTGTTGTCACAGTGCCACACTTGCCAGATGGCCTTAAAAACAGTTTCTACTCATGGTCTGGGGAAAACTGGAGTGCATATTGTGGGATCAGTTGACCAGTAGACTTTCATACTGTCCCGTCTATCCTGAACCATCAGAATTATGAGGCCCATAAGATTTCATTCATGAAGTGGTAATGTTGTAGTACTTCAGTGTTTTAGGTGATATTTTCCATTGGTGAGCATTCTGACTGAGGTAGAGATTACAAGTTCATCACCAATTACATCAGTGACCACTTCAATTCGTACAATATTAGGATTATCAAAAAAGGTTCAGTTCTGTGGTTCTAAGAAACATGTCTTGACTCACTCCATAGTCAGTCTTATACCACACACCTAATTCATCACCAGACTGAATGCAAGCTTTGAATGAAAACTTGTCATCTTCAACTGTATTGTGAGATTCACTGTATTCACAAAAACAGGAAAAGGTTGCATTCATTCACAGGCTGTCTTTATACCTGGCCTCTGCTTGTGCATGGGAAATACTGCAACACGAGGGCACTCACTGAAGCTGCAATGTGGCAGGGCAACACACTGTAACAAAGGCCATGTAGGCAGACCCTACGATCCGTATCTCAGCCCACTATATCACATCCACTGTGCATTCAGTTCAGAATGGTCAGATCTAAAAGCACAAACATTACTTGAAGTGGTGGCAGTTAAATCAGTGTCCAGGGTTTCTCTTCCGGTACTTTCATCGATTACCAAAACACCAAAAAATATCGTCAGCTATAACTTTGCTACCCAAACCCACATACTTCAGAAAATTATAAAGCAACAGAGCAGAATGTATGCACAGTTTTACATTCCTGCATCCAAGGACATGGATTACTGGTGGTTTGTATCTAGCAGGAAGCAGAGCAACAGAAACTAAGCAACCTCAGACACAACTACACTCCATTACTTCAAACTGCATGGTGCAAGAGAAATGACAGACTGAAAGGGTGAACTGTTATGCACAGTAACACTATCTAAAGACACAGGTTATAAGAGGTCCATGTTTATTATTAGGAGACCTGCCAGGTCAGTAACAGCAGCCCCCAGGAGGTGAAGAACAATGCAGCTGACAAAAATATAGATCTATGTGGCCCAGGCGCAAACACAATGCTCAAGAATTTTTAAATAACTTTCAGCATCACCTCTCCACCATGTGTTAACAGCTACTACACTGGCAGCTTTCAGTTCCTCTGCTGCTTTGTAACAAGCCAGGATGCTATGAAAGCACTATTGCTGTACCAAAAGACTGGTGCATTGTCACAGTGGAGCAAATACAGTAAAACTTGGTTATAGCAACATCGGTTTCTGCGACACCTTGTCTATTGCGTCAAATATTCAATGGTACGAACTAATTCCTCATAAAGCAACTGTTTTTATACCTTGCTTAGTACGACATGCACAAATGCATCAACCTCGTATGTAACGTCATTTTCATTCCTGAATTTCTCTAATATCGTGGGAAAGTTCGATGTGTCTGCCCACCCTCACTTTCTCTACTTGCTGACGTGACTGTCCTGGAAGAATACGACCGCGGGCTGCAAGAGGAGCGTGGGTTTTATGCGAAAACAAGGGTGTGGGGTGGGACTGCGTGAATAGTGCAAGAGGACGCGGCAGGTTGTTAACTGCATTCCTTTCCTAGAATCAAGTCTAACAGGACCTCACATTGTCTACTTACCCTATTGTGTTCTTGCCTAAACCAAGAGAAGTGCAGTAGCGAAAACATGGCAATGAAAAGGAAAGTTTTAAGCATTGAAGAGAAAGTTAAAGTGATTCGTGAAATATTGTGTGTATTGTCAGTGAAAAGCGCTGTAATATGTCTTTGATATTACACATTTGGGCAATTCCACGTTAATGTTACGTTAGTCTGTACTTAACTACGTATTTCACTAAAAAATGCAACATTTTAACTCGGTTTTTGGTAGATTTTTACGTGACTAACATAAGGCTACTGTGGAAGTGCCCATTTCGGTTACAACGACATTCGTTTATAACGACACTATTTTTAGGTCCCTTTGATGACGTTATAACCAAGTTCTACTGTAGTTTCTAAATTCCCAAAGATGAGGGCGAGCTTTATGCAAATATTAATGATTTCAGTGATCTCACCAAATGAACATTGACAACAGCAATTCTGTTACAAGCTGTCACTGGTGTTCCCTCTGCAAGTTACACTTCAGTAACTGCTGACCTTTCTTGATGGGCCTAAAGCATTTGTACACTGCAGCCTGACCCACAGCTTCGTTCCAGTATGTACTGCATAGTCATAAACACTCAATGACAGCTTTCTCCAAATTAAGACATTCTGCTGTGCCATGTTCAGAAAATAATTACAGTACGCTGAAATAATCTTTGTCATGCCTTCTCTACGTGTTCATGCTTACTAAGACATGAGGACAAACAGCTTCTAAGTTGTCTCATGGCTGCTGAAACCCTTGCAGATGTTCTGACAGCCAGGTCAGTATAATGGCCAGGCTAGAGGCTCAATGACTGGGGAATCAGGGTTCGACTTCCACCAAGGGCACAGATTTTTCTCGCCGCAGCATACAAGTTTTCTCTGGGGTCCACCCACTTTTCTAATATATACCAGGTGTTCTTTGTCTAGAGAAAAAGCAGCCATTCCTCCATATGTCCTTACAGTAGGGTGTGGAACAGAGGTGACTTATCTTTTTTTGCCACATAGTAATGCATACAAGTCATCAGTAGCAGCAGCAGAAATGTAAACTTTTGCTACAATGGCAAAATATAATCAAATTTATTTTCCATGTATAGCAACTACAACAATCTAAGAAATAACACATGACGTCTGAGGTTCTCGTGGCAATACCAATGAAGAGTACTATCATGTACATTGTGACGCTATGTAGTCTGGCATAAGTTTACTGACCTTTGAGGGTTGTACTAAATCAGTCTTTAAGCCAAAGAGTAAGTCGAGGATGCAGCAAGCAGTGTAGCTGTCACTCTGCTTGTTTGCTTTCATGGCTTACTATTCCACCCCACAGAAAGAGACAGCATCATCCTTTCTTCCACCAGACTACATGACATCACGTCTCACAAGTAATGACATATTAATGATACTGCTTTGCTGCAAAGTAGCTGAACTTGCCCTGAACTTAACAATAATATCATTCACTGCTGCTGTGCTGTGAGGGCCAGCTGCCTTAACTGCTTCAGAACTGTTTCCAAAAGTTTCTTCTTGTCCCGCTCGCTCTTTTTCAGCACTGAGAAAACATTCTTCTTGTCTGCTTCACGTAACCTGAACACAGGACACACATAAGAAAACTCGTATGTTTCTGGGTGACACAAACTACACAAAAGATGGCCCATGTTCTCTACATGAGAACCCTAAGTGGCTCTCTTCTCTTACTGTTTCTTTGTTTATTAAACAGTGCTTTGTCAGTTGGGTAGGTTGCATAGTTCTGAATGGGAGTGCGAAGCATGAATGAATGAAGAAAGTGGGAACAAGTAATATGGTTCAGAAACCTTGAAAATTCTGATTAAACTGACTGACCTTGGGGCTGAGATTTAAATCTGGGACCTTCCAAATGAAAAGCAGAGTACTAACCATTTTGTTGCAACTGTCATGCTTTGCATTTTCCACTGCCTTCTTGGCTTCCAACAACATCTTCAATGCAATGTGACAAAGTGCAATGATTACAGAAAAGGACTTTGTCAGGATTCTTCTAAGGAAGGCCTGTATGCTCACTTGTGCTTAGTCCCTCATTCTGAGAGGGGAATAGAAATTGAAGACATCTATGAACACAGCAATGAGAATCCTGAGACGTAAGAGATATGAGGACAATGGAGAAAACTGCATTTTTATATTTCCATATTTATATTCTACTTCAGCAGGATAAATGGAAAGTTTCACAAGAATGTATGTAAGGGTCAGTGATGGATGCTCTGGTATGACTCTTAGTGTGCTGCCAGATCATTAAAACTGTGGGACGGGGGGCATAAAAAGTTTGTTTCTTTCCATAAAAGATTTAACATTTTGCTTGGAAACATATGTATGCATTGTGTGCCTGACTTCTGTAACATGATTTGCCATTGCTAGGGGGGACAGAACAGTGAACAGTTAAATCCTATGCAAAGATGGGAGTTCAGTAATACATTCGATCTTCAAGAGAGATAGGTTGCAAACTAAGGACAGGGTATAATTTGCTTTTGTGAACCTCCGTATTGCACAAACGCAAGGAACTTCACGAGAATGAAGACGTGTAGCAGTCCACAAGTTTAGAGCTCCACTTGATGCTGAATCTGGATAAGCATGCTCTTGTTGAAACATATTAGCTTTCCCATGAAAAACATAACTGCATGCACTCATGCAGGGTTGGCCCTATAAACAATACATTTAGTGAATCAATTCTATATTTAACATTATTGGCCTTCTGGACCTTCCCACTGTCTGATATGCTGGAGTAAAACACAGTACTTCTGGACATCAAGTATGGGGTGCTTACTCAGCTGGGTCTGTTAGACAAAGTCCTGAGAGTCAGTAATCCTAAATCCTTTTAGCAGTTCCACAAAAATTTTTTCAACACAGATAAATAGCAGACTTACAAGCTGTGGCCAATTTCAGAGATTTCAATAGTTCTTATATGTACCCCCTTAGAGGTACACATAGCAAGAACAATACAATAATACCGTGACCTATATTTAGGATTCCGTATTTGTAGTTTCCTTCAATCCTTCCAAGCAAGTGCCAGGATAATGCCATAAAGAAGCCATTACCACTTTCTGCCATACCTTACTGATTCCTCATGAATTAGCAAAAAACCATAAGCCACTTCACAATGCATATATTGTTGGCACTTGCTACAGCATAATAAAGCAAACAGACTATAATTGTTTTGGGAATTAAAACACAATGTTTGGGTCCTGGCTATAACTCACTTCTCCAGCAATATGATGGCTGTGTTTGGGTTGACCTGCTGGTACTTGCTGTTTTCTTGACCATAATCATGGAAATATGTTGGCCAGTCCCATGTCATAAACAGATCTAGCAACTGACGCAGGTCGGCAAAATAATGCAACAGAGCTCCCTCTTCAAGTCCTGCTACGGGCTCTGACGCTGCAAACTCTGTGTAAGAGTAAACAAAAAAAGTAAGGTGGAATATATACTTGTATTTAAATGACTAGTGAACTAACACATTACATCTATATCGAAGTATAACAAATAGAATTTCGTACAAATGTTGTGACACTGTTAATTCCCAACCATGTCCTCTGGTCTGCACAAAAGCATTGAATTCACGTATCAGTAGGAATGTAATGTCCTCATCTTCATGTAAGTAACCAGCCATCTGCTTCCTGCTGGCTACTTGCTCAGCGTAGTTTTTACCCTGAAGATGGAGCCAGTATGTTCCGCTAAAGCAATGGTAAACTTCTACCATACTACACACCATCTCAGCCAATTATTCTTTCTCATCACTACTGTAAGAACTTGGAAGTGCTTTAAAAGCCAAAACATGTAGCTAAGGTAATGCTGACCTTGACCATTATGTTCCTGTGTTACGATGGACTCCAATAAAGAATTGTATATAATAACACAACAGGATGCACAAAATGAAAAGATAATATTAAAACTGATATTAAAAAGATAGGGTGGAAGGGTGTGGACCGGATTCACCTGGCTTCGAATATGAACCAATTGCACACTCTTGTGAACACAGTAATAAACCTTTGGATTTCATGAAAGGCAAGCAATTTTTTGAGTAGCTGAGCAACTACTGGCTTCTAAAAAAGGACTCTGCTCCATGAAGTTCATTAATGATCTTATGTGAAATGAAAATTGGGCAGACATATCACCCAACTAAACATCTGTAATTAAACATTATGCTTGAAGGTGTATGAATAATTTCAGTTGTGAGACAAATCCATGTGCCAGGAACACAGAGCTTGTAGCACAATCCTGCTCCCAAATTCTAAAGACAGATTCCAGAACCATGTCCTCTATCTCAAATCTCCAAAAAGGGACGGAATAAAAAGGAAACAGTTATCTATGACAAACAAAATTTAGTAGTTAAGAAAATAAGAAAGTCATTACTTTTAGCACAGTAATTTCTATTGTTATGGTGAGAAATTTACAAATGTTTTCTAAAATTTGTAGAATGATATAAATTAAGGTGCAGACCAGTGGCTGGGAGACATTTCTCCAATGAACTTTCATGACAGAGAATGGATATCATGGAGCTGCGCAACATTAATGTTACCTACGTTCACACTGAATGGTATCCAGATTGACTTGTTGCAGTGCTCCCATTGATATCTGCTTCACATCTTCACTAAGCATGAAGCCCAACACTGACTTCGCAATGTGTTCACATGCTGATTTGCAGGCTTCTTGGGCTACTTCTGGCTGCAAGAACATTTAGAGAATTAAATATCATACCGATACCTGCTATAGACTCAAGCAAATGGCTGTAAACTGTCTTACTACAAGACAAACCTGATAAAGGAAAAGAAATATTAAGTGTAAGGTAGGAAAAACCTGCTAAGGAACACAGTGAGACAATGTTCAACATTAAAACTGTGAATCATATTAACACATTCAGTGCCAATTATTTGAGGTTCAGTGCCTGCTCAATGAAGGTGGTCATCAAACAGCTGATGAACTTTTTCTGCAGTTACACGCCAGCAGTTTGAGATCCTTGTCACCACACAAGGAGTCAGGGGGATAACTGAGTTGTCCATATGTCTTGTTCTCTAAGTTTGCATTCAGAGACCCTGTCCACCCGAAAAGCATTCACAGGCAGCCAACGGATTGCCACTTTCAACGTTTTGAACATGACACCAAAAAGGAAAGGCCGAAGAGGTAAATTTAGATCAAGATGCAAACAGAAGCCTAGGAAAGATGTTATGCAAGAGAAAGACAGAACATGTGAGGAATGTGAGGAGGAGATGGAAGAAGAGCTTTGAGAAGACAAGAGATAAATGGAGAGGCTTGTCTCATAACAGTAAAAACATTACAGAAGGAGATATGTGTTAATATTTCCCAATTAAAATAAAAACACTTAAATTGCATTTCCTGCAGGCATAATGTACCTGGTACTGAAAGGGTTAAAGGGCTGTTACTGAACAGTAACCGCAGTAAAGGAGCGTCTATTTCTAAAATAATAAAAGGCGATGTACTCACAGGCAAATTTGTGAATGAAATGAATATGCTCTGGAGAAAAGCAATGAGATCAGTAATGAAGCTGGAAGCGTGCCCTTTCGGCTCCACTAGCAACCAGTCGTAGTTTTCTAGTTCCAAGAACTCATCCAATTTCCATTTCAATTTGTCACATATCTGATGCTCTGCATCATCACGTGCAACACGAAACATTGATGACTGGCCTTGACCACGTGAACCCATGTGACTCTCTTTTGGAGCACTGTAACAGATTCAGAAAATAAGTACAATAGAAACTTCTGTGCATAATAACATGACATAAACTGAAATATGAATATAATTTTACAGCACTGCAATGGTAGAAAAGGGCACACACAGAAATCTGAAGAATCTACTGTATGAAGATGAGTGATTGCAGGATATAAATAATAAATAATTTCAAAATTTAGAGGACTAAAATTTTAAAGTCCTTTGGGATAAAATTAGGTTATAGAGAACACTGTAATACTTGTAGTGATTTGAGTACTAGTTTCTGTTCTGAGATGCGCTGCCAGGAGACGACTAGTAGAGACTGAGAATCCTAGTGCGTTCGCAACGGTGAACTGGAATGTGCGCAAATCAGCAATAGCGCTGTATTGCACGTATTTTAAGTGTAATTGATAGTGTGTAACCAAGCTGCTAATAAATCCAGTCATCTGAACTACAACCCGTTACTTTCGTCACGCGTACCCCCCTACATGTGACAATATATTTTAATTGTTATTTATCTTATGTTAAGACAATCTTGTGTAACATCAATGTACTCTGCTGACAGTTTCTATATCCACTGGTTATGTACCTGAATGGATCAATGAATGATAATAAAAAATAAGTAAGTAAATAAATATCAACAATATAACAAATCTGAACACCTCAGATATATATATATATATACACACACACAAGAAGGATATGCGGAAGGAGATCTGCCTTCGCATGTTTAGTAGGAAGCTTTCTAAAAGCAACACAACCTAGAAAGACACGGAGAGATTTCAACCCGCAGTTACCCACATCACAATATTAACATAAAGAATATCATTATACCTTACAATATGTCATCATCATCATCAGTAATCTGTCAAGACGACAGGTCCACAGCCTCTTTCAAAACAATTCCTCCACTTAATGCGATCTAGAGCTTTCTCCTTCAAATGACAGTATCCTCTTCTGTCCCCAAGGTCATCCAGCATCTTCTTACGTCTTCTTCCTCGTCTTCTTGTCACTTCTATCCGCCCATCTATCTTTCCTTCGATAGCTTCTTTTAGAAGGCAGTTTCTGCGTAAAACATGACCAATCCAATTAGCCTTCCGTTTTCTTATTTCATGTAGGATATTCCTCTGCTCACTGACTCTAATTAACACTTCTTCATTTCTCACATAATCGGTCCAACTGATCTTCTCCATTCTTCTCCAACACCACATTTCGAAACTTTCCAGATGTTTCTGATCTACTGCCCTAAGTGTCCATGTTTCAGCCCCATACAGAGCTATGCTCCAAATGTAGCATTTCACTAGTTTCTTCCTCAAATTTAAGTCCAATTTGCTGGTAAAAAGATTCTTCTTCTTGCTAAATGCAGCTTTTGCCATGGCAATCCTGGATTTAATTTCACAAGTACACCTTCCATCATCTGTTAACAAGCTACCCAAATATTTAAAACATTTCACATTCTCCACTTGTTTTTGGTCTATCTTTATTGTGACTGGGGTTGGTTGTCTCGAAATTTTCATTACTTTTGTTTTCTCCACATTCATTTCCATGCCATAGCACCTTCCAATTTCAATTAGTCTATCAATCATGCCCTGTAGCACAGTTTCTTCCTTAGCCATTAACACAAGGTCATCTGCATATTTCACAGTTTGAATAATTTGCCCTCCTACTTTGAAGTCACCGAGCCCATCCAGAGCTTCCTTGGTAAGGCATTCGCTGTACAAGTTGAACAGAATTGGTGATAAACAGCATCCTTGTCGAACTCCTCTTCCAATCTGCACACTTCCTGTCTCCCCCCTGTCCAGTCGTACTCTAACTTTCTGATCCATGTACAATTTGCTAATCAATCTTCTTTCATGCCAATCGATACCTGTTTACAATATGTAGCAGTTTCAAACACTAGAGGACCCTCTACAAAAATCAAAATTAGTCCACTCAGCAGAAATATTAAGAGATATGTAACAGATGTAAGGTTATTAGAAGACAGATGTGGCTGACAATTAAAACACTTTCATATGTCTGCATAATTAATATCTAATTACAGTTGTTCAACGTCTGATTTTAGTACAAACATTCATTTTCATATTGCAAATAAAAATATTTATACGGTGTAATAATAATTAGATTTGGTCTATACATCGTGAGAAAGCCAGAAAGCTGGATCTCAGAAAACCCACTGATGTGATACTGCTTCATGAATAAGAGAAAGTTAAGATCTGCTGATGATAACATACCCTGTGATGTTGGACACAAACTCCTCCAAGTAGACTGTTGCATTCTCTAGGTAACCAGTGTCAATTATAATCTGTATCACTTGGAGAAGAGCCAGGCTTGGCTTGCGAAACAAAGAGGAGAGACAACCACTGAAAGATCTCGTAAGAAGCAAGTTAGTTGATTTTCTGACCATATCATCCACCGCAGCTTGACTGTAAAGTACAGAAATTATATAAAATATTTCATGAACTTAGTAAAGTATACTAGCAATACATGTGTGGGTACTAAGAATGTCTCCAAAGATATTAAACGCACAAAAGTACCAAAAAATTTCTGATCAATCTGTGAGTATTAAGATAAAACAATAACCAGCTCTTCTAAACATGCATCATCAGCACTTGCCTGCCCTCTTCTAAACCTTTCCATCCATTCAATTATTTTCCTATGACCCATATAGTTATCGCCAAACTGAACGCCCATTCTTCCATAAATGTTAATGGATTTCACATCTCTGACCACAAAAAATCAAAACATCGTATCATTCTCTTTTGGGACATTCTATCAATGAAGCAGCCATGTTAAATGTGTCACAGAATTATCATTACTGAAAGAAGAATTGAAACCAATTAGGTCCCTACTGTTTACATCTGTTGTCTTTTTCAGGTATAGTATCACCGCTGAAGTAAATTAAAATTGCTTTATCGACTCTCTTTTGCATTGTTCATGCAGCTGCACTTCTACGGCATAAATATATTGTTGTGTTGCAGTTATACCCATAAGACATTATACACACAACAGGACACAATTTATAAAGTTTATAAATCACAAAACCTGGAAAAGAATTTTACGGTACATGTAGTTAGTTAGTTAGTTATTGGAGAGGGTGGGTTTGCCCATGCACTTAGACCTGTATTGGTCCATTGTGCTTCCCTCTATGATTTCTACCAGTCTCTATATCCTACTGGTGCTTACCATCAGTCCCGCCCAGCCAGCGAGACCGGCTCTACTAGCTGAAAGGTATCTATAATGCTTCCCCCATCTACCAGAGGTATTAGAGACTGCTGTTGGGCGGGAAATGTCCGCAATTTGGCTCAGTGACCTCCTTTGGAGATATGAGGTTCTTTTACGTGCCGTAAAGCTACGACACGGGACCCACGGCTTAAAGTCCCTCCCGGAGGACTTGTTCCCTGCATTTTTCCGCCCTTAAAAATTCAACGACCTCCGTCGGGTATTTGAACCTGCGTACTACGAGTCATGAGGTGGGAACATTATCTCTAGACTACGGAGGCTGCCTACGGTACATGTAACTACTATCTATACGTGCTATTAGATCACACAATTTTAATTTAAAACAGTGACCTAGCTTTGTGAATGGAAGTTTACAAACAAAATTCAAGATGTATAGCGTTACTAGACGGTTTTGGGTTCGGTGTTGTTTCTTCTTAGGTAAGAAGGCTGTTCAAATGAAACTCATTCTCAGAACTCCCAATACATACGGTTGGTCACAGGGGACCATGAAGCTGTATACATGAAACACCAGCTGGCACATCAATGAGGTGCCTCGACTCTTTCAAACAGAATAGTCCCCACACGGGTTTCATTTGAACAACCTTCATAACAATATATTCTTTAAGCATTGTATTACCTCAGATTGAGATCTTCGGAAAACTTGAGGCAAGCATAGATAAATTCCTTAACCTGCTGGTACACCTTGGGCACTAACGGTGAGAATGGAAATCGCTTCGGAAAAGGTGTAAGTTCCAGAGCTTGATCATGAAATGGAAATGACTCCACGACATTATCATACTCTGCCTGGGAGGACACCTGTAACACGGTTTCATTTTAGAGCTCGAAATACAACTGAATAGAAATATAAAAATACAGCCAAGTTAAAAAATGTAAAAATAAGTTTGTAATGTGTAAATATATCAAATTTCAAAGTCTGCAAACTTGAAGCAAACACAACTGCTTTTAGGTTAAAGCTGCAGGGTTCATTAGATACAAGACGTTCTTACCACTAGGCACAGAAACAGATAAGACACATATTCGCCAAGTGATTCCAGAGAATTACTACATCAACCTGCTGACCTGTGCATGCACCAGCGAGGCATGAACACCTCTGTGGCAGGTTAACCAGAAAGAGTTAAAAGTTAGATTGTGGTGTGGGGGTGGAGGTGGGGGCAGAATATAGCAGGACAATGCAGAAATTATTTTAATAAACAAAACTTATTATGCGGCCTGTGCTGGCAGTGTGTTAACTGGTTTGTATGCAAGTTGTCTTACAAGTCTGCTGTTATGCAGAATGAAAATTGCATTGAAAGGTGAGGTACACAGCAGGCTGTGGTGCTGCCTGCAACAAGTCTTCAACTTAACTTCTGTACAAAACAGTCAACACAGCATTCGGTGAACACCAAGAAAGGTAGTTCATACTAACATAAGAACAATGCTAAGGTTCAAATTATGTGTTTTACTAAACAGGTATAACACCGTTACTTCCTGTGATACAGTAACATACACCTACCGGCATCACTAATTTTTGCATGATGTGGGCTACGTATACAAAATGCTTACAAAATGCTAATGTTACAATGGATGTAACTGAATAAGCACCTCCCCACCCTTTCATCTGATGGTGGAAATGAATCTACTTCCTGAAACATCAGTTTCTTTTTGAATGTTAGACAGTGGCAAAGTCTATACATACTCTTGACAATTAGAATTTTGGATGTGGCAAAGTTTATTGCTCTAACTCCATTATCATTACTAATTTTGTGTAAACTGTCATTCCAAGATAATGATACATTTAAATATTCAAGGAATTCTTTCATAAGTAACTTACCTGTATAGGAAGAAAACTCTCCTCATCAAGTATTTCCCTGAACACCTGAACCCAGCGTTGCATAAGCACCTCATTGTAATGATCTCGAATTTCATGTAACAAGTCGAACAGCTGATTCACCGAGTAACCATAGTTCTGCATAAAATGGATGATATACATACACACATTACAAAGCCTGGCGAACAGTTTAGTATAGCAATAGGAGCTTTTATTTATTGATGCTATTAATGCTGACATTACACAATTTCCAGTGTTGTAAGGCTCAGTGAATGAACTGAAACAGATGTGAAAGCAAGTGGTTCTGGCCTAATTTAAGGCTCTGCCTGAAGGGACCACAGAAGATCAAGAAAAACCTGTCAGAACAGCCACTGTGCCAGCTGAGATTCAAACTGGGCACCTTCCAAACAGAGAACAGAAGTGACGCTCCCTGAGCCAACTAGCTGAGTCATTTCCCAGACCATAAGAAATTCACAAAATTCGTATTGTAAAAGGGCCTTAAGCAGTCTCAGTGCATCACACAGTCCTCCAGCCTCATAATCAATAAAAGTAACTGAGAAATACATGCAACTTTGAAACTTAAGAACCTCATTCAAATTCTCATAAATATTTGAATAATTTAAATACACATTTATCAATATTATTTTTTAAATCATTTCCACCTTGTCAGTCTATTGATCAGCAGAGAATAACCTTAACCGTTATAACCTGGTAAAAGGGGATTTTATATTTTGGCACTATGTGGTTGGTAGCCAGAATTAAACACAGGGGTCATATTTCATCATCTGGACGAGGAATTTAAATCTGAGTAGTATGGGGGTAATGATATGATTAGTTGGACTACAAGAATTTGCCACTGCAATAAGGAAACAAATGGCCACTAAAGTTTAATAATATAAGTTGCATACTGTTACTAACCCTGAGAGTAGTGTTGAATAACATAATCAAATTCTTTATTTTGAGCATAAGAGTTGCATCTGTACAATAGGCCTGAAACAAAGAAACATTAAAATCATTTATTCCATTAACCCTTAATGACCTACTGAGGACTGTTGACTTATGACTGAAATTTTGGAACCAATGTTCTTAACATACTACATACAATTTTAAAACTGAAAACTGGTACTAACTGATCACAAGCGCATCTCACTGTGGAGACTGTGACCTTCTTGACTGACACCGTGTAGTCTTGTAGGTGGAGGAACCTGCTGCCTTCATCTCAGGGTTGAAGTAAGTGTAGTGCTCAGTTACCTTCTCCAGCTCACACGCATGCATCACAGTAACATTAGGCAAAGTCACAATCTTGTACTTTCATAGTATGAATGCTTTTTTTTATGCATCCCATAAGAAAGAAAAAGAAAGTTCAGATCAGGAGAAAGTAGAGGTCAGATGACCAAACCCCATGGCTGAGCCATGTCTTCAAATGGCTGTTGAACCAATCATGAATTTAGAATGAAGTGCCGGGAGGAACCACACAGCCTTGTGAACACTGAGGGGTGTATTTTTTCAATAAATGGGGAAGTGTCCCTTGAAGGAAATCCAACACCATACGCCCACATTACTTACGCACCCACAATTTCAGCCAATACATTGGCATTACTGAAACAAACAGCACTGAAGAGCATGATGATTCCCTAGGGCCCATTCATGTAGGTTTTGGAAAGTGTTTACGCCACTCCTTGGAAATGCTGCCCCATCAGTCCACAATACATGGCTCAGCAAGTCAAGTGCATCTACAAATCTGCATAGAAGCCATCGGCAGAACTGAAGGTTATTGTCCTCCGGCTGTAATTCTTATAAAACTGCACTGAGAGAGCCACAGCTGCTCCTTGTACACTGTGTGCCAAACTATACTCTGGAAAGGCTTGTTTCATAAGCAACCTGACAAGCGTCAGTCACTCGATTAGCATATACGTATAGCATAGGTATCGGTGGGGACCTCTTTCCCTCAGACGGCAGCGTACCACTCAAAACACATCTCGATACTGATGCTGGTATTCCCACAACGCAGCTCCAGTGCTTCCATCGCAAAATGTATATGAGCATTCTCATCGGTGAACAGTGCCATCCCATTCTGCTGTCATCATTATTCTGCCTTCCGGAGTAATGTGAACCTATGCAAATCCAGTATGAGCTATCTCTTGTAACGCTATGAAGGCTCAGAGATATCAAGACTAAAAGTGCAAACAGTCATACCTCTGACAGAGTGATGAAGTGGAAATGGTTCTTTGCATTTTCTGATCCAAATTATCTCAACAACCTCATAAAGTCTGGCCATATAATGAACCAGAAATACTTATCAGGCCAAGAAGCAGACAAAAGGCTACAGGAGGAACCTTTTCTATACCTTTAGGAACACATAACAGCAAAAGGCCATTTTCAGGGCCGATATGAAGAAAAGAGGGCAGATGAAATCAACAGCATCATCCAAAACACTGGTATCCATCTACAGGATTACATGGTGTCACATCCCAGAAGAAAATCTGAAATCTCATCATTGTGAAAACCTCAGATCTTCTGTGTCTGTTTGTTGAACTCTGACACGTCTGCTACCACATGCCGGCAATGCTTATTCCTTGACAGATGTATCCTACCATATTATTCACAATACTCAGAAAAGAATGGCTCATAAATAGAACTTCAAAACTTAATGCTGAATAAGAGACAGTGTTACATACCGAATGTGTTCGTAAGGCATTAACTATTTTAGACAGGGCCATGCTCCAAACTTCATCCAAATAAGTTCGGTTCACCAAGCCATTCCCTGTATTCAATACATGATCTTCAACTACAAAGAAACCCACAATACCATGTATGTAGGCTTGATATCCAGCAATAGTTTCATGCTGAAAAACAAAAGAAGTCATTCTTGAACACAAATTACATGACAACACCCAAATATAAATCTAAGAGGTGCTATTTAAAACCCCAGCACATTAGCTGACGGCCTAGGTACTAAATGCCCTTAAATATCTGAAATGCAGAGGGTCTTAAAATATACTGTATTTATTCCATTGTTTAAACTATAAGGTCCAGATAGAAACTGGACTGTTAAGAAATAACCCACTTACCTAAATAAACAGTTTTTAAATTGACAGTATACACACATGTGCGACACACACAGATAGATACGTAGGTTATCCAGAAAGTAGCACATGTTCACTTCGACTATCTTTTATATTTTGCTCTGGAAAATGGCAGAAACTTTTGACAACAACCATACATTTGATGGTGCATGTTATGCCCAAGCTTTGACACAAGAGAACATAAACATAACTACCCTTTCCAATAGTAGTTCCACTGTTCTGAGAACAGAAAATATGAGCTCATCATATGATAACATTCACTTCTGAGACTCCAATATGGTTGGCTGAGACAGGAAACACATGACATCTCATTAAAATGGTAATACACCTTGTGGTTCCATGAAAGCCACACAATCTGTTGCTAGCATCTGGCTGCACAAAATGTGTGGAATTGTTTGGCTTGCTGAGCAATTATTAGCTTTTCAGGATTCAAATCCACTCTTACTGCCACGACATTATTTACTGAAAGAAGTACCTGTATTTTCAACATCAACAGAGGGTAATTAGCAAGTGATGAGTTTGGTTTTGTTTATCCTACTTAGAACCTGTGTACTGTTCAGCGCATGAGGAAAGAAAAGTTAGGCACAGAGTGGAGGAAACTGTGACACAAAGTGTATACAAATGCCTACGGATTTCCTGTTCATATTCTGATAACATTACCATGTTTGTAGGTGGTTGGAGAACAAGGCGGGCCTGCTTTTTCCTCTGCTTCCTATAGTATGTCTCAAAAGTTTCCCTTGAACCCAACACTGTGTAGATATGCAAGCATCGATAGACAGGAGAGAAATCAATTAGGTCTTGTGCACTCAGATCTTCTTCAGCATCATACGTACTCTCCGCAGGTTGCTCATAATCTACTTCGCCAGTGAAAGGATTTGGTAGTGGTGGAGCTTGCCTTTTCTTTCTGCCAATAATACCTGGATCACTGCCCAGTTGCTCAGCAGTCTAGGCATGAAATGTACAGACAGATAGTGAAAATGAATGTATGATTATATTTTATCCTAAAAAGAGATTTCAAATATTTTAAAAATATCGCTCTACAAAAAACATACAATGCAAAATATTTATCTCATTAGATTGTATTTCACACTTTTGATTAAAGTGATGAAAAATTAAATTTCTAAAATACTTTTCATTCCTTACCAACCTCCACATAAAAATACAGGAATTATTTTTATTATGAAATTCAAATGAAGGAAAACTTAAATGGAAAAAAAAACACAAATAGTCACCTTGAAACATACCGAAATGAATTTAGTTAAACCAGAATTTTCAACATGTTTAGCAATATACACATTTTGGACATCACTAACAAATTATAATGATGAAGATTTCTATCTTCTGGGATATAACATGATGTAAGCCATTGAAAGTCAACTGACGTTTTGCAGGAACATGTCACCTCCATCTTCAGGGCTTAATAGAAAGAAAAGCAAGAAACTGAAAGCACACTTCGTGCACAGCACTGTATCTGAGAAGATAGAACTCTTGATAGCCAACGCTGTGAGAACCTCAAATCCTGCAAATTATAACAACTTTAACATCACATTACCACCTAACAGAAGTAATAAATAAATAAATCTGGTAATGTAAGATTTGAGGCTTTCACGGCGGTGACTATGAAGAAAGCAGTCTTCTGGGATTTGGCACATATACACAGTGCCAAATCCCAGAAGACTGCTTTCTTGAAATCTGGTAATGTTTTAGACTATATTTTTGCCAGACATGTGGCCAACAAACACGTTATTTTCACGGTTTTTTAATTGCTAGTGGGGTGGGACTAAGTCCCTTGTACTGCGGTCAATTCTTGCCTATTGTACCAGCCCCAGATGATAGGTGAGGGTCATTGTGGAGCAACTGGTGGAATGAAGATTGGCAGGGGAAACCGAAGTACTCAGAGAAAAGCTGCCCCAGCGCCACTTTGTCCACCACAAATCCCACTTGACCAGACCCGGGATCGAACCCGGGCCGCCACAGTGGGAAGCCAGCGACTAACCGCTTGAGCTATGGCGCGGCCATTTTCACGGGTTACTTATACAGCCACCAAAAGCCGACAATCTAGTTTACATCTGCAAAAGAGAACTGAAGAAAAAAGTAATTAAATATGTTTATTGCACTGTGAACTGCAGTCTTGCAGTCTCATGCAAGTTGTAACTAAGCCTCAACTACGTTGCAGAGATTATCATCTTGTGGGAAGTGACACCATGTCATTTGGTAGACACGTATGAACACTCCATCTTCAGTGCAAACTTCCAACAGCATTTGGTGACTTTAAGTAACCCACAGAAGTGGCATATTGATGGCTGACATATGACAGGTAAATATTTACTCCAAAATATTATCAAATTTATGTAATGACCTATCAAATAGTAATATGAAGTTAACTGTGAATGATACTTTACTATTTTACAAAGAGGGGAATATTTGCATAACATAAGAAGAATAATAAGAACTCCTTACAAGGAGCCACAAAAAGCCTACTGGTTACACAATAACAGTGAAACAAGAGAAGCAGAGAAGAGAAATACTGTCACATGGAGTTTGGATTGGTAATTGGATTTATTTAACACTCAAAACTTGAAACTACAAATGACTAAAACACTCTCACTAATTTACTCAATCTACAGACAACTGTAACTATGTCTTCACAACCCACTGCTTGGTAACGGCTCCCAACAATGGGTATTCCTCTGCTTCTGTGCTCAGGTCCTTACCAGCTAAAGACTGCCTCAAAACTAATGCATATTCTTGACTGGTTCTCATTATACAGTCTTAGAAAGGACTGCATACAAAACAACCCTTCCAACAGCATGCGGTTGCCTAGCTGCCTGTCTTCAGAAGCCTATGGCGTATCCCCAGGGGACCTGCCTGTGATTGTCCTTGCAAATGACACCTCTGCTTCTGGTTTCATGGGGACAGAACTTTCAAAAAGTGGCTGGTGTTGGTAGCCCCTTTGTCCATTTTGGACGGGGACAGCTCTTCCACAATGTCATTTTCTTTTTTTTCTGGAGCCCGGCAGAAGAGCCAGCTGCTAGCGTTATCACATCTAGCTTGAGGGTCTGCCTAGAGGCCTCACTGACCATTCTCTTGCCTCCCAAAAGTAGCTGCCATTTTATGCTTTGTTCTTTGATACTGTAAATGAATGCACTGCCTGCCTATGAACATGGTGCTCATGTAGTGCAAGAAAGGCACGGTGGGTCAACTGCCGCATGACAAACTACTGAAGGGGCTCGCCGATGAGCTGGGTCCTTGTTTTCAGCTGAGTGCACTATGCTGGCCACCAGTGGCCCAAGAGTATCCACGACATCGCTCCTTTAGGGACTCCACGTAGAACGTCAGAAGTCCAGCCCTGCAGAATGGTAGGAAGTTGAATGGCTTTTGCACATGGTACCCATTTACAGTGTACCCTTATGACCTCTACTTTTTTGACTGGCCCCAAACTTTTCCTGACTGGCTTCCACTTTGGCCTCTAGATTTCCTGATTTTCTTCCACCTTCTCTAGACGGGCCCCCGTTGTTTCTCAGCAAGTTTCCATTATTTGTTTGGCATCTCTTGGCCTTCAGCCCTCCTAAGATACCAGACATTTGAAATCCATGATTATACACCACATGGACTTCAATCCAATCAATCCGATCAATCCCACTTCTGACACCAGTTGTCACATGTTAGTGACTGCACCAGGGGTTGGGACTGTTAATTAGATTTACTGCACACTTATAACCACAACTGGAAAGGATTATAACAATCTCACTAATTTATGCACAATACAGATAACCGTATGCATAACTACAGCACACATAGTCTTCTACAGCTTCATGAGTCATTGCTTGGTGACGGCTCCCAATAATGGGTATTCCTCTGCTTCTTTGCTCACATCTTTACCAGCTGCCAACTGTCTCACAACTAACACTGACTGACTGGCTGACTGCTAAATTTCTGCCAGCCATCATCAGCACAATGTTTCTTGGTTCCAAGTCTGACAGGACCCATGACCATGTTTTACTCTCTGATGGCTCTGGGAACTTTCAGTTGGTGACCACTAACTCACACTCTCAACTGGTTCTCATTATACAGCCTTGGCACAGACCATGTAGAAAACACCACTTCCAACAGTTCTTATACTGTTGCATGTGTATCCATTGCTGCAGACACATGTTTAGTGTGCCTAGCAATTACTGTCTATTCTGCTTCACCAATCTGCCTTTCTGCCATCATGTAACAATACAGTACATAACATAATAAATGACATACAAAACCAATACAGTTTATGGTTGATGTTCTATCTCAGACGATACGGCATTGAATGGTATGATGATTGGTGAGTAATAAATTGGAACAGACTAGGAAGAAAGCAGCAACAGCATAATTGAGGTACTATTCTACCATATGTCAGGAGGGACTGAAGAAACACCATGAAAACCCTTGATGATGCTATCAGGTTGAAATATTCTGCAGTGATAACGGATACAAATGAGTATGAAATTAAACCACTTACATGCCTCATGGCAACTTCGCCAATTTTTGGTGAGAATTTTCGGATGTTTTCTAAAAAGTCCCTTAAGTCTGACATGGAAGCTTCCTTTATGTTTTCTCTCAGCCTACAAAAAAAATATTAATCAATCAAATCCATGGAATAGCGTTAAGAATCCAACAGTTACTCAGATATTCAAGAAATTCCCTGTAATTTAGAGAACCTAAAGGTTCAATATAGTGCTCACAAGAGGCCACCACTGGTCTCTGTCCTCAGTCACACAAATCCAGTCCATCCACATCACCCCATCCTACTTCCTTAAGGCTCATTTTGCTTAAAAACCATCATAAAATACGAAAAATTAATAACTATACAGCATACTTTGGTATGTTCTGCTTCATTTGATGTGAAAATCGGTAATTTGCAACTTGAGGCAAATACAAGTGCTCCAGTTGTTCCAGTGTCTTCAGGGCTGGATAGTACCTATAATCAGATGAAATTAATTATCAGTTTTTTGAAGTACACATATGTTTACTCTCCTTTCAGGACCACTAACATTTATATGACAAACCATCAGGTCTAACGACCTTTCTTTAAAACTGGCAAATTCAGTGTTGCATTGGACCAGAACAAACTTCCTGGTCCATTTCTTTTAACACATGGCATTACATCCAGTCAAATTCCAGTCATAGCAGAGCCACAGGAGAGGTCCACTGCTAGGCAATGGTTTTGTAAACACATTCCTGCAGCAATGGATATATACACAACTGAGGAACTGTTTACTACTTTAAAAGCCAAAATGGTTCCTGTTAAAATAATTTTATACATAAGAATTTTTAAATAATTTAAAATGATGTAAAATGATGTATTATGTAGCATAGTTTTCTTCTTTCTTATGTTCTGTTTTTATGTAATGCATATCTTGTTGATGGCATCTTGGTTGTGTGTACTCTAGTGGCCAGTGTGTGGAATACCATGAAACAACCAACAAAATACACATCACAGCAAAAGACAGAACACAAGAAAGGAGAACACTATGACATTAAATAAATAATATTATATAAACTTAAGCTATTTTAAAATTATTTTAAATTACTGCAACAGGAACCAATTCAGTTTTATAAATAATAAATTTTCAGACAAACAACCCTCATATGCTATACAGTATTACAATACTGTACATAAATTTATTCAAATCATACATACCCGATGATGGTCCTGTTCAGCCAAAACATGACATGAATTTATATGCACACATGGACAAAATGGTGATCCAATCAATAATCTGTGAGCACACACACAGGGTTGGGGGGGGGGCTGTCCCTGCTTTATGAATCTTCATTAAGAAAGTCCCTGAACTTATGTGGTCTCCACTGCAATGAGCATGAAATCATTTCCCTTACATACCTCCAACACAACCCAACCCCTTCTCCTAATACTACTCACTCGAGTGACAGACTTTTTGTTTCCACTGTAAGTAGATAAACAAATCATAGTTTTGCTTGGATTATTCTACATATTATTATTGTACCTATGTACACAAATGTATACAGTGTTTTTTTTTACATGGGATACTTCAACCTGCTCTCAATTCTATTTTTGCTTTTAAATAGAAATTTGTATTATGGGTTTTTCTATATGTCATGTTACAGCCTAGCCCCTATACTGCTCAAGCTATCCTGCTTCCTCAAATGAATCACCTTAAAAATCAAGATGATCAGTAATAATTTGAGAAAATCACAAGAATAATTAAAATTACAGAGTTACACTTAAGATTGCCAATTGCTTGTTAGATGTAAACTGCATACCGTTTTTCTTTCATTTGTCGTTGGAGTTTGGCATATGTTGTGAGGACAGGAAGGCATAATGACAGATTCTTAATTGCTGAAGCTATATTACTTTCCACTTTGCGAGCCTGAACTAGCGCCTCCCCTTTCACCAGAACATTGGCTGTCGATGTCTGTAATTCTTGATCAATTTCAACAATTTCACTCTGCAAACATCACAAACACTTAAAGAGAAACAAATTAGCGTATTAGCACTACAATATTTTTCACATTTTATATTATTAGTGAAGAAAAATGCATCAGCTGGCTATGTGCTGACAGATATTCACCAAGTTGTCACAATTTATATATCAATGCAGTGTTTCAATATTGCACATACTTTTGAACCCAACTTTTCGTGGTAGTGACAAATAATTTTCACTTTCAGGTAATACCAAGTACAGTACAGATGTACTTACATTTAAGTTCTTGGCCTGGGACCTTACTTGGAGAAGTTCTCTTATGGAATCAATGAAGCCCTGATAATGGAAATTACACATGCGTTCTATGTCTTTGTCATGGCTTTTGATTCGAGCATCCAGGCGCTCCATAAACTTCTGGTGTTCATCCCCATCATAGATGGCTCTGCACGAGTAAAAAAGCTTATGTGATTTACTTGTTTTTGAGTGCTTCTGCAACCCTGTGAGATGCCTATCAAGTCTGCTCAGTCCTTCTGTCTATACACACAAAACAATTCCAAACATATTTTCATGTAATTTGATACTGGAGAATTTTATAATTGTTATGCCAATTCAATATCAATTTACATCAGACATGTAACTCTTTTAAGAGGGACTTAAAATCCTTTCTGTTGAAACATTCCATTTACTCCGTTGATGAATTTATGTCACCTAAATTCTGAAGTGAGTGTGTTATGGTTTTGTGTTATGACAAATATTTTGCCCTACTTAATCTATAAAAGAAAATGCTGGATGTTGGGTTTCTTTTCTTATAGAATTGTTGAAAGTGTGACAATGTATTGTATGATTGATGTGTATGAAATCTGTAGGTAATTAAGTTTCATAGTATTGTTGACTCATGTATGATATGTGTGTTATTTTAATATGTAGTAATTGACTTGTTCTATATGGAGGTTGTATCTCTAAATATGGAGTCTCAGAACAAATAAACTGACTGACTGACTGATGTTTAACTTTACACGATAGCCTACATACATGTCTGAGCATATCTTTCTAGTATCAGAAAGAAAAATGCTTTGTACAAAAGTTGTTTGGAAATATAAAACATGTGTTTTATGTCCAATGTATTTTGTGTCTGTAAGGCTTATATTCTGAGAAAAGTAAACAAAAATAATGTTATGAATATATATACATTTAAACAATCAACAATGGCCTCCTAAAAATCACAGTTAAGAAACAAAGGAAAGTCTTTACTGAGTTCAGACTCTATTAAAATCAGGATGTTTTTATCTTTTAATGTAGTTCTCTGCTGCAATAAGTCTCCAAAGGATACAGCTAACCAAGCTCATGGAGACGCATCCTTCCTTGCTTGTGTATTCAAGAAATTTCCAGCATTTTATGGACATCAAAGGTTCATTACCATTTATAGTTTGTGAACTGATTGGTCTATAATGCAGAAATTGGTTCACAGTTTAATATCATACAGTGGTCGTTAAGATGCTATATAAAACTATTATAATGTTAAAATATATGCATTATAACAATGCTATTATAACACTCTGCATCAACGTTCACCTGAAGACATGAAAGATGAAACCTTGCTCAGCAAGGCACATTGCAATGTAGAAACTTATTTACAAACACTGTAAATATCCTTGCTAGCAGCCTTAACTCGGGCAAATCAAAACTGCAACAGCAGTAGCCAAATTGAACAAACACTGTCACCAGAACTGGACACTACCACATATTGCAACATGCTAGAGAGCTGGGAACAAACACGTCTGCTCAGCTTGGTGGCTGAGATGATGATGATGTTAATTTACATATGGCCACATCACTCAACCACTACAAAATTTCCTGCATCCTCCCAAGAATATTTATCCACAAAGGACTTCAGCATATTTTTAGATTTAGACTGCCTTCCCCCCCTCAGTTTGTTGTGATATTTTGTCCTTCCATAAACAAGGACCTATATGTGTGGATGTTTGTTTACAGTGTTGCCTTTAGGATTCTATTAACATTCAGCGTTTCCACATGTCTCTCTGATTTGACAAAAAACAAACAGCAACATCAGTACCAAAATCAATATCAATAGGAGCAAAAAATATATGACAAAGGTGGCATGAGAATCACAGTCATATCATCAGACAAAAATATTGCTACGAGGGGCTGAAATGTGCCTAAGCATCAAGACTCAGAATAGAAACGGTCTTGACAGGAACAACTGCTACTGTCTACAAATATTGTACAAATGAACTTAAACAGTTATGGCAGTCCTCATGAATCTGCTGTTGCCTCGGATATGGTTGCTTTCCTTGTCACATAACTATTTCACAACAGCTAAAATTTAATGAAGAAATAACACTCAAATTAAGAACATAAAGGATACCCAAATGATTAAAAGACGGTCACAAGGACCTGAATTATATCCACTTATTCTACTGTAATACTATGCACATCATGTTAATAGCTGTGGTTACTTCATATACTGGAATGTGTACAGAGCAAATATCATTGGGTGTTTTCTATTAGGGCACTGATGGGAAAGTTTTTCTTTTCTGTGGTGCTACAGCCCCAATTTGGGCCTAGGCCTACCTCCATGAAACTCTCCGTTTCACTTCAGTTTACAAGATCTTACACATTTGGTAGGACTCCTTGGGCGAGTGATCAGCTCGTCGCAAAGCCTCTACCTGTAGACAAACACAGAAAAAAGCTCACAAACATCCATGCCCTGAGTGAGATTTGAACCCACGATCGCGGCTTCTGAGCGAGCGAAGACAGTGCATGCCTTAGACCGCTCGGCTACTGTGACTGGCGATGGTAAAGTTATTTATATATATAAGCTGGACAAAAAACACATTTTCATCTTCACGACGTATAACAGCCAACTGAAAGAGAAGGGTATATGATGAAGATAAAACCATATGCCATGAAAAACTGTCACGCATCATGGTTTATTCAATTTTGATTCCTAGATTAGCACTGGATCTTAAAGAACCAGGGCTCAAACAACAAATGTGAATTATATACCACTTAAATAATGTTAAACGCATCCAACCAACATGGAAAGTTGATAACTACTTCAAGATATGAAGATTACCGTCCCACTGGATGCGGTAGCATATACTCTGGCAGATTATTATCATTTCACATGAGCCTGCTACCATCATCCTCAGCACAGAAGAAACTGCTCTTCTGCCTTGAAGATGGGGACAGCAGTTCCTCTGCAATGTTGGTAATGATCTGCCAGACTGCATCGTGCTACATTGCAGGTGAGAGTAATCACTGTTCAGATCCTGAATATATAAAAAAAAACAGACCAGTGAACTTGTATTAACTTACAGTACTTCCAAACCAAATGGAAAGTTGCTGAAGTTCCTCTCAAAGTTATCCACACACTCTTCAATTGAATTTCTTAAACAAGTACCTTTATGAGATGCCATCAAAGTCAATTACTTTCCTGAAATTCTGCTTGATTACTGAACTGGATTAATTTAATAACCTCATTCAGACATATTTCACACTTAATTTATCAGTTCAAAATATGGCCAATCACTACAGCCCTCATGTAGTATATGATGTAATTAGCAGATTAAACACGTTTGTGCTAGTTAGCCCACTGCATTGCGAGGTCTATGTAATAAGGGAGGCAATGCTACACTGATCAACTATAATAATTCACAAACCAACACTAAAAGCACACGGCCTTCTACTCCCCCTTTGAACCAGCAGGAAATAATAATAAAAAAACAAACAAACAGGAAACAGATATAACCACTATCCGGTTTCAGAGAACACATCAGGCTCCCTATACAGGATGTTCCAATAATTTTGCAATGCTTATACACTATTCACACAAATTACTTTCCTTTAGTAGAGAGATGAACTCAAAGTATACAGGAATTAACACATTTATATTTCATCACTTTCAGGTATAAAGTTCTTGAACAATTCTTTCATATACAGGGAAACCTGGAAATACTTCCAAAAGCATCTGAAATGTGTTCAGACATTACAAATAAAGCAAAAATTTCCTATGACATACTGTATAACTGTAAATGTACTTCTTCCAAGGTACAGCCTCATTTTGTTTCAGTTGCTGAGTCGCAGTTGCAAACTTATAGTTGTTTATTAACCATTATCTGTTATTATTTCCAGTAAAGTTCTAATGGTGTTAATCATCATGGATTATTCTTTCAAGAAGTACACATACATGCACCTTCTCTATGGCAAAATGCGAGGGAATGATTCAGCAGCAATGTGCCAATATCTTGATGAGATACATAATTGCCATACTCCTACCAACAAAACATTCCTGTCTGTGTAATGCCAACTGAGACAGACCAAAACAGCAAGTTGCAAAATGCAGAAAAGGGGCATATCAACAATCATGCTTCTAAATTGGAGGACACAGTTCTGAACATGACTGAAGCAGACAGTGCAAGTTGCATAAAAAAAACAGCAACTGATCTTCACACATGAAGAACCACAGCCTGGTCAATTCTTCAGAAGTAGCAGCCCCATCAAAACCACTTTAAAAGCATTCAAGGTTTCTTCAATGCTGTTTTCATCTGTATTGGCTGCTTCAATAGTGTGCAGCAAATCCAGCTTTTTCCACTGAAAATGCTATTTACTGATGAAGCATGTTTCATAAGGGATGGAATCTTCAGCTTCCATAATGCTCACATATGGGACAGCAAGAATCCTTATGGATTTGGTCAGACAAACCATTAGCACCAGTTTTAAGTCAACACATGGAAATGAGTTGTTGTTAATAAGTTGCTTGCATTTATTAATGGAAAAGTGTACCATGATCATACAAACCAAATTGCCAGCGCTCCCAGAAGTTATGCCACTTGAGTTGAGAAACATAATGTGGGTCACACATGACTGAGCTTTAGTATATTACATCCTCATGTTGAGAGAATGCTGGATAAACAACATACAGTCTTTCTTGAAGGGATGAATTGTCTGACTCTCCTACTATCAGCCAATTAGCTACAACCTTGCCTCTCGCATACTGGGAAAAGGAAGTTTAAACTTGGAGCCAGTATGCTGCATGTTATAAACACTGACATGCATTTCTTGAAGTAAATAAATTACCTTAAGTTTCCCTTGAAAAAACTGACACTAGTTCAAGTTTACTGACCTCAACATATGTAACTGCTTCACTCATGTTGTGATTAAGTTCATCCCATGTGTGGGAGCTATTTGAATATTCTTTTCTTGGTTTCCCCACAGATAAAAATCACAGACATTTAAGTCTAGAGACCTTGAAAGGCCACAAACTGTGACTGAGGTGTTTGGAGACAAACTGATGAGTTACAGATTGTGACTATCCATCTAACTCTGTCTTCCCAAAACTATACCTCCTCCTCATTTTCCGTCAACATTCTTCCTCTCTTCTGTGCAACAACTTTCCGATCTGCCAATCCCATATCTGCATCTCAGAGCATTTCCTGTCATTTACATGTTATTCTCTTACTTATGAATGTACTTATTTGGCTCCTGTTATTCTTTGCTCATGCATATGTTTCTGTTCCATATTGGAAGCCTAAAAGTCATTATGTAAAAATCAGAGAAATGTTGCAGAGGTGTCCATTGCTAGGTAACATAAAGCAGCAATCCCTGACCGCCACAAACGCACCCAACAATCGGGTAACTGTTGAGGGTCTATTTCTGCATCAGTCCCCAGCAAAGCGATATACAGATGGCCTGCAAGCCAGCAGAGAGCCCCTGTGATAAGAGTCCAAAACCTAGCAACATGTATGTGATGACAGAGCCAGCAAAGAACTGAGCAAGCAAGATATAACAGACTGTGAAATAAGAGTGAATATTTGTGGATAGTTAAATTATTTGTAAATCTGTTAATTCAGTTTAAAAAATATCCAATTACCAATCCAACCATGCATAGTCAATATATGTGACAACATGTAAAAATGGATACAGTGATTTTTAAACAAACACATTTTTCCTGTTTCAGAAACAAAATAATGGAAACACCAAGAAACTGAGGAATCAGATTTGTGTTCACTACATTGACAGAACTTCAGCTGGCAACACTGAGTGTCTACTTCCATTTGTTTACATTCTGTAGTGCTCGTGTAAGTGCATTTGGCTGGATCATCTGCGACAAAAACCTGCCACATTATTAGGTGTATCAAGAGCGACAGTTTCTGAGGTTATCTCAGCATACATGAATCATGGGAAGGCAACATCAGCAAAGAGGAACAGCGGGTGAAAATCGACAGAAAGAGATCATCATACAATAAGAAAGACTGTTTAAAAGATCACAAAACTACTGCTGCATATGTGACAGAACCGAATATTCTTTTCAAAGACCCTGTTTCCACAAAAACTATAGGACAAGAGCTTCACAGATCCAACAACCATTGTAGGTCTGCAACTTCTTAAGCTCTGATTACTGAAGGTAATGCTCAGATGAATAAATGGTGTCATGATCATAAAACCTAGACATCACACAAGTGGAAATGCAAACGTGATATGGCCAGATGAGTCATCCTTCACACTGTTCCCTACATCAGGAAGAGTTTACATTTGGAAAACACCTCAGGAAACCTACATTCTGGAATGCCTAGTTCCAAAAGTGAAACATAGGGGAGGTTCTCTGATGGTTTGGGCAGCAATATTGTGGCCCATTATTATCCTTCATGGCTGAATTACTGCATGGGAGTAGGTGGACAGGTTGGATAATCACGTGCCTCCCTAGATCCTGACGTTTCTGCATAACGATGCGGTTTTCCATGACAACAATGACCCCATTCACACAGCTGGAACTGTGCAGTCATGGTTTGAAGAGCATGAAGGTGAATTTCAACATCTTCCCTAGCCAGCAAAATCACCAGATCTGAACATTACTGAACCACTCTGGTCATCTGTGGAGACTAGAGTGAGGAACAGATTCCCACTTCCAACATCTCTAAAGCAACTTGAAGATGTTTCAGAGCTCCTTGTGATAAAAATGAAAAAAAAAAATAAAATAAAATATATATATATAAACCTGTATAACACACAACCAGCTGACCCAATATTATAATTTACACATAAAAAGGGTTTTACCCATTTAAGCTTCTTACTTTCAGAGATATATATTAACAACCCTTACCTTATAACCAACCCCACACTACTCGTGTCTGTGGTCTCAAGTTCATATAGCAAAAGTTCATGTTTAGGTTGAGTGCTAGTACTTGCTTCAGACCCACTAGAACCAGGCTGCGCCATCCCAAACCACGAATTGCCACCCTCTTTCAGAGACCTGCGCCAATCTTGGCTGTCACCCTCGCTTCCTCCCTCTGTAAGTAGTTGGGGCCTTCAGTAGGGCAGTTTTTGTGACACACTAATTGAATTATCTCTTGCGCAGATGCAAAATTTTGGATCGAACACGGTAACACCTGCGTACTAATAGAATTTTACTCGCGGGGGATTTGATTTAACACTGGACACACGGCCCACGAGTCTGAAAATACAGCAAAAACTACGTACATACCTGAATGTCGGTCCCCAGTAGTCGTCAATTCCTTCTATCTCTTGTAAGAAAAGTTCGTGATGCTGTGAACCGGTATCTAGTTGAGGATTATCCATTTTATAACAAAGTTCTAATACATCACATCAACAAATAACGACTGGACTAACAACCCCCACTTCCCTACATTGCTACTACGCCATTGCATTGGATTACAGTTCGCCGTGCTCAACCCATTCTCAACTCTCGCATGTCAACTATCGTTCCCGGATTGTTCCACACTGGAATCGATGTTTTTAATTTCGATTATTCACAATTCAGTCGTCTGCTGGAAATAGCTGTCAGAAGAAAATTATTTCACGGGTTTCCTAGGTAGCTCATTGGAATGGAGTTAGTAATACTAGAATTTATTAACTAAGAAAGGTCGTAACATAAATTTAATTAACATCGAATTCGTAAAATATCGTCTGAAGAAAGTAGACCTCAAATGTCATTTCCCGCCTCACAGTTCCTTTCAGCATGTGACTGCGATCTGCGATAAAAGGGGGTCATGGACAGCTGTTATGTGTGCGAAGTGAAAGTAATAGAGAACACTTCTTTTCATTAGTTGAAAATTGGTCTAGGTAATGATATTACCGTTCATATGTATACTGAAACCATTCTTAATATTAAATTACATTTAAAACTCTAGTTATTTACTCATATAAATGAATTACCTTTTTTCGTAGGACGAATGTTTTTGAGTTCTCCGTGTAGTATCACACGGGATAAATAGCTCCTTTCAAGAACGAATGTATGACTTTTCCGTGAAGTGTTATATAAGATAAATAATCCACAATGCGGTCGGTATGGATCCAAACCACTTTGCTTATAATATATTTGGTGTTGGTGTTCGTAATATCTCGGATACTAGACTTGGTACTGTGGTATCAACATGGCATTTCTTCCACTCAGATAGTAGATCCATTGCTACTTAGTGTTCGGCAGTTAAAACAACTTTTAGAAAACAGAGGTGTAAGCTATACTGGCTATGTCGAAAAAAAGGAATTGGCCGAATTGGTTGAAGCATCAGGTATGTCAAGCTTAGTAAAACTTGAAGTTCATTAAGCACGAGCAGGCAGCACTCACATACGTTGCATGGATATGTTCATAGCGAACGTTGCTTTTCACTTTCAGCTATAGTAGTCCAGAGCGAAGTAGAAGAACTGGGCCATGTTCATGGCGGAACTGAAGCGGACAAGTCCGCTAGAGAACGCCTACCAGCACCTCCACCTCCATCTCATTTCACAGGTGGCCCTCATTTCTATGAAGAAGTAGAGGATACAAAGGATAGTGTATGGTTGGTGCAGGTTGTGCCAACAGGTGGTCCCCATGTAGAACCATTGCTTGATGATTACAGCTGGCGCATTGTTTGCAATCAGGTTGCACCCTTTGCAATAAGGACTGGTGTATTTGACTGCAGACTTGACAGACGGTAAATATACTTGCATCTTCTGTATTCCAGCTCTTGTATTTACTAGAACATAACTTAGATCCTTCAGAAGCCTGAGCTGAGAATGTGGAACAAGTCATAATATAAGCACAGTACTTGTTTCTAGTACAAATACAATTGTACATGTAAGTACATCTGCAGGCATCCCTGATAATACAGTATTATACCAAAGTAATTATTGTTGCTTTTATGTATGCACAACAGAGAATTTTTTATTAAGGTAAATTCAGTACAGAGTAGAAGGAATAATATTGCTGGCTTAAACAGTTTTATATCATGATTTAAATGAAAATCATTCACCAACTTAATTCCAGTATAGGAAGCTCTGTTCAGATTTTTACTCAAGTTAGTGTTTTGCATGTGGAAATTATATCTGTGTCTTGTACTTATATTGTGTGTATGTGTACATCTGGGAGTTGGGATAGCTCAGTCAGTAGAGTGATGGGCTACAGGCTGGGTGGCCCAGGTTTGATTCCCTGTAGTACATGATTTTTCTTTTCTCCATATCATCCAGACCAAATCTGGGACCCACCCAGCCTCCTATCCAGTGGATAGTGGGGGCTCATTGCCTGGGAGTATAGCAGGAGGGGCGTGAAGCTGCCCACCTAGTTCCATCTAGTGCTGAGGTCAAGAAAGGTTGAGCTATACCTCCACTCCCTCATATGATGTCACTGCATAGTGCTTAACTAGTTAAGCACAGGGACAACTTTACTTTATATATGTATATCTGAACCCCCCCAAATGTATCCACAAAAAATAATAATGAGAGTAAGAATTCAGTGGCTAGTGGTAGAATTTTAAATTTCTTAAATAATTCCCTACAAGATAATTTTTTAATGCCTGTCATTAGTGTAACTCTTTTGTTTGCTCTCTGTTGAATTTCCCTAGAAAATTATTCCAGATGACATCATGAAGTGGAAGTGAGCAGTGTAAACTGATATGAAGTGTGCATTTTCATGAATGATGTGACTGTCCTCATACAAAGGCAGGCTGAGCTTAGTTTAGGGATAATACATTCAATATATATTTATCAGTTTGAAGGTCAAGAAATTGTTGTTTCTACTTCTCCAGTTGTTTTATTATCGTACAGCACGTTTACTTTAATACAGGTTTTGCTCTTAGTACTTAATTTAATAAAATTTGTTTTGTCAACATGTAATGTAAGTTTGTCAGCTTTGACCCATTTGCTTACTCTAGTGAAGACATTGTTCATACAGTTTTGAAAGCAGTCTTTTCTGCATGTGAAATACTAATACTGTACTACTGTCATTAACCCCTCAAGCGTGTGCGACGCACCATTTGCGTCCGCTCAGTTACATGCATATAGCGTGCATTTATGCGGGGGTATTTAAATCCCTCCCGGTGCTTTATTTTCGCAAGCATTGAAGGTTTTGTGCAGACATTTACCTAAATATTTTTAAATAACGAAATCGCTATTTGAAAAATTCCAAAAAATTATATTATATTTACAGTTGTTTACAGTTCATTATTATAAATGTCTATATACATTTTGTCAAGCTATTTCTTTTTCCCAGCTCTCCATATCCAGTGTGTAGTGGTTGACCTTGGTGTGGTATTGCTCAAAACAAGGGTCTAGGCAGAGAGACGGTGTCCCTGGGCAGTTTTTACACCTGTATCTGGTTTCTTTTCTCTTTCCGTTTTGTGTACACACCACAAACCTTCTTCTTCCAACTTTATAAATTTCGGTTTTGGGATTTTTTTGAATGAAATGCTGACCCGTCAATCTCGTACATTCCATGTCGGTATCTGAAGGGCTCCCTTTGCGCTTTTCTAAATTCTGTCCATGGGACTTTGCTATGATCTTATTCACTAAGTTTATTCTGAATAACAGATGATCTTTCTTGTTACCAGCCTTGCAGTACAGAATGTAATCATTCAACACTGTCGTATCTACTAAGTGGTTGAATAATTTCTTGTACCACACTTTTTGCCTTTTCCTTTCTAGCAAGAAGGTTTCTAGTAGCTGATCTTTCAAGTTCTTCAGTTCCTCCCATATATTTATTATACTCTATTACACACATAGGTTTATTTACAAATTCTAACCCACCCTTTCGACTTACGGGTTGCATTTCGTCTGAATGTTTAGTAGTCAGCACTGAGACATCGCGCTTATCCTTCCACTTCAACGCCACCAATTTCCCACACTTTGCACTAACTACTCCTTTCTTCAGTTCCTTTTTTAGATCCATTGGCATAACTTTGCGCGTGATACTCACTGTTCCAACAGCATCTGTAGTCCTCTGAACTAATCTCTGGAAAAGATCGGGACTGCTATAAAAATTGTCCATATAAAACACATCTGCCCGAGTCTAATATTTCCTCGCACAAACTTAGAACAACTTTTGTTGAGAAAAGATCTGTGTCTTTGGTGATTTCACAGCCTAATTTTATCCCTGATCCACTGTAAATTATAAAATTCCACAAATATTCTGTGGAATCACAAAGTTAAAAAATTTTAATCCCAAACCGGGAAGCTTTCATAGGAATATACTGTTTCCACGAAAGTCTATCTTTCCACAATAACAAAGATTCATCGACACTTACTTCTTTGCCCCGTATGTACACTTTCTGGAACTTATTTTTCAAATATTCACTTACCGGAAGAATTTTGTACAATTTAGGATCTCTTTTTGCAATTTCCTTATTGGTGTTATCTACAAAATGGAGAAATCTGGTCACCAATGAAAACCTTTCTTCACTCATTACATTGGGAAAAAATTGTGTTTCTAACATATGTTTCCTACTAAAATACATCCTGAGGTTTGGCTTCTGAATTATTCCCATCAGCATAAGGAAACCTAGGAATATCCTAATTTCATTCGAAGTTATGGGAACCCACTTTTGAAAGCGCTATTTTATTAGCGTCGGGGCAAGAAACTGTCCCGCCAGACAAGTTACGTGACCAAATACCATGGGGCTCCGATAAGAGGGTGTCACAAAGCAGAAAAGGAATAACAGATTCATAAATGTTGACACAGGCGTCAGGCAACTTCGACCCCGAGGTTCGTAACATCGTAAATCAGACACAGTTTCTTTGTCGCCAGTAAGCCAAGCCAGTAAAAAGAAATACACACACAGATAACAAGCACTCAATGAAAGTTAGCTAACAAATTATCTCTCTGTAAGCAAGTCGGAGTGTGAGTTGGAACAATTCTTTCGTATTCAGCAGACACCGGATGCTTTGTCCCAAGCAAAGCGAGTAAAAAAAAAAATACCACACACAAACAGATAGCAGGAATGAAAGAAGTCAGTGTTAGCTGACATATACATTCACTGGAAGTGCACACATCAGAGCGTAGGCATTAAGAATTCTTAGTGAAAGTTTGGACGCAATATATGCGGCGTGCACGCTTACAGCACGGCTTTGAGTGGCCACAGACAGTGCGTCGCACACGCTTAGGGATTTAAATGGCTCCGCTAAAAGTCATGCTCAAGGGGTTAACAAAGAGTATGGGTTTACATTGAGAGTTGATGGTTTTGGGCAGATTGTTGATGTATATACAAAAACAACAAGTTCTAGGAAGAACTAATCATGTATGTTCCTTCGATAAAACACACATCACATACAAAATGACACTCCAAAAATTCTTCTGTTGTTGCATGTGAATTTGTTGCCATGGTAACTTTTTTACTGAACTGTTGTGTAGCAATGATAGGAGGGATACCCATACAGACACACACTGATGTGAGGGCTTTATGAAGTACACCGTTGAGATGGGCTCAGATGCCATGATATACACAGCAAGTTTCATAATGATTGGTTCAGGCATTCAGAAGTAACTTATTCAAAAACAGATTTGCAACATGCATATATTTACCCACCACTAGCTACCAGTAGGAACACTGTCATTCTCCCTTATACAGGTGCCATTACAATACAAGTTGACAAAATTTGTGATTGCATTATGGTACAGAAATTTGAAATCTTTCTCACATCAGTCTGCCACATTGCATTCGAGGACTTCCTCACAAAAACAGAAGTTAAAACATTCTTTTGACTTTGTATTGGGTTTCTGTAAGAGTTTTGTTATGCAACCAGAAAATCAATGTAACAAGCAGACCCTGCTTCCTACACAGACAGGATACCAGGGAGTTTCTTTGCTTCAGTAATAAGTTACTCCAAACATAATACTCGTAATAATGATGATGATGATAATAATAATCTAGCATGTGTACCATATACCTATAGAGGCAACAGGAATGTGACCTGAGCAGGATTAAATTGTATGACCATATGCACACACACACTAGCAATTGGGCTAAAATTAAATTTTGTTGCATTCTCTAAATAAGACATTAACAACAAAATTTGTAGGACTAGAAATTTGCAATTCTGAATTATATGAGATCACCCCTTTATGCTTTTATTATGCATTCTACATGAAACTCACTTTATTCAGCTTATTAAGGATGCACCATCATTGAAGTTATTTGATGAAAATTAAATATTTTTCATTGTTCCGGTTTCAGGCTCTGTAGCAGCAAAGGCTGGCATCATCCCCTGTTGTTATTGGCATTGCCAAAGGGAACAAGACCCAAAGATAGAGTTATGCTCAAAACTTTCACTTCTACGCGGCCACAAGTAAGTCACCTTCACTCTCGATTAGAAGTAACCAGCATGAAGTAATTGACGTCAGATCTCTGTGCAGTGGAATAATGTTACTTCTTCTCAGAGTGAATGAGTGTGTAACACTTATTTTCTTCAATTACTTCATTTTGTTGCCATCTTCACATTGCACTGGGTTTGGCTTGCACATTGCTGTGAATTATCTGCTGAAAGCAGGAGTTCGGAATGTTGTTATGTTGTAATTGCTTATGATCTTGTTATATTGAAATGTTTCAAATTCTGCAGCCAGTTGTGGAATGGGTTCAGGATCAGCTGTCCATCCGTGTTAAGAATATCCGCGACATAGATGAACTGAGTCGAGACTGGCTTCAGGATGATTCAGCAGCGAATAATGCCACTTCAGCCTCAAGCGGTCACAGCAGCAGTCGAGCTGTCAAAGTTTTATTGTTGACTCATCTACTCCACCCACCACTCTTCCTGGCTGCCCTTAGCATTAAATTTACTGGTCGCATCAAATTTGGCATGTTTTCGGTAAAAAAAGAAGACTCTGAGGCAGTACGAAAGACACTCAAGCTGCTTGACCATCGCATTCCCAGCTATATAATTATAACACCAGAACAGAAAATTGCATATGGTCGACGAAGATTTGAACATTTTAACTTTGCTTCGATGAATCTGTTCCTCCGAGCTGTTCAACCAGAGATGAATGATGTGTTTTTGTGCAGTTTGGTTCTTGTTAACATGCTTGCTAGTCTGCAGATATTTCAGGTAAAGGCATATGCATTTACATGGTGGGAAATTATATAAGTATGTATATCATAGAATACTGTAGAAAATGTAGTACTGTCATTTTGCAATCTTCAGAAATTCTCAATTTTTATGTATTCTTTTGAAGTTGGTATAGCGCCACACTATGGGCTGGACTGCCTTGGTTTGGTTCCTGGCAGTGCAAGATTTTTCTCTTCACCACAGCATCAAGACTGGCCCACTTAGCCTCCTATTCAGTGGGTACTAGGGGCTATTTCCCCAGGGGTTAAGCAGTAGGGGCACAAAGTTGACCACATTTCCATCTAGTGTCGAGGTCAAGAAATGTAGCGGGCTGTACCTCCACTCGCCCATGTCTTCATGGCATAGTGCTTAACTAATAAAGCAGAGGGACAACTTTACATTTGTGTATTTTTTGTATGCAAGTCATAAACTGTAGACCCCACTGATATTAGTTACATTAAATGTCTAATGTGTTTTAGATATTTTTCTGTGTTGTATATTTAATGAAACATAAAAAATCAAATATATATGACAGCTATCGTATTTCATGAAATGCAAGGAAAAAGATATTTGTCTTCATATGCAGTATAATAGTTTTAATATTCCCCCTTTTGATTACATGTTTCTAATAAAATATTTACTGTAGTGTAATATCTGTTCTGTTGATTAGCTTTGTGAACAGTTGAGTTCTGTCTGCAATAAATCAGGACAAATGATGGATGCAAGTTTGCAAGAAGCACAAACCACATGGATAATGTGTATATTCCAAACTGGAGTTGACCTATCTACTCACATCAGAACATTTGAAGACATTGCCTTTGTTTAGTGTGTGTGTGTGTGTGTGTGTGTGTGTGTGTATGGTTACAAGTGAGGATTAAAATGATTTAAATATATCAGTTTCAGGACTGTCCTCTGAATTAATTTAAGAGCACTGAATTACAATTAAGTATCTGTTTTTTTCTTTTTTCAGGTTACTTTGCGACTTTGGTGGAAGCATGTGGCACGATGCCTCTGGACAGCTGTAAGCTACAACTTCTGGCTTTTCTCAGTGTGGTTGTTAATATTAGCGACATACAGATTCTCTCTTGTTAGCTTCTTAGGTGAAAAAGGACTCATTATTGCACGGTATGTCAGTCTTACTGAAATAGGTTCTCTGCTCCGAGCAGACTGGCAGATTCTAACCCAGCATCCTTATATCCTGTTTTTCACATTCTTTGTGTATGGGCTTATGGCCACGTGGCTTCTACAGCAGCACTGTCATAATCAGGCAGAAACAGAGAGAGACTCTGACCATCCATGGTGGGAAGTGTTGCCTATGGATTCTTACTGGATTAATTGCTTGTTTCGTCCCATGGTCACGCTTACAAGACCTCTACCTCCAAGTGAATTGGAATTAGAGGAAGGTATTGAGATGTTGATTGAACGTCTAGCTGTTCCAAACTTATGGTTACAACCTGTCATCCCAAATGAATACATCAAGGATTTACCTGTGTGGAAATTCAGAGGCTGGGATACTTTATCCCAGAAATCTGATGGAAAGCGTATTAATAAGACAGAAGATTCACCTGAAGTTGTTGAGCGTATGATGGATGGAGAAGACCCTTACGAACTGCTGTGTCAGAGCTGTGAAGTTCACCGTTGTGGTTACACCTCAGAAAGAGTGAAGTATCGACATCTGGAATTCAGTCCTAACAGTCAAAAGAGTAGTGGCAACAGTTCTACACAGCTGCACCAGAGGAATGTTGATCAGACACATCAGAACTGCTGTAGCTGCAGTAAAAGCTTCACAAATGTTTCTACTGAAGTTTGCAGTGCATCGGACAGATGTCAGACTTACGATCGCAGGAACAGTCAGCACCGTCATGCAAATTCTGATCCAGAAAATGTTCAGTCAAGAATTCTGTGTTCTTTGTGTACTAATAGACCCACGCTTACAGATAGGCTTTCAAGTGATGTAACAGTATCTGATTCAGAAACATCAGTTTCTACAAAGTGGGATTTAGGGAACAAGGAAGACAGCTTGTCCTATTCTGAAGACAGTGGCGATGAGACAAATTACCCACCAGTAGGGATGCTTCCATCAACAGAGTGCGCTGTCTGTCTTGAGTCATACGAATGGGGAGCGCTCCTGTGCGGTTTGCCATGTGGCCACAATTACCACCAATGCTGCATCATGGTATGGCTTGGCAGAGATAATCATCACTGCCCAGTCTGCCGTTGGCCAGCGTACAAATCCAAACACAGTCTCTCGCATCTGCACAGAGAGTAACTTGTAGTTTGTTTCAGTGTTCCTATCATTGGTTCCACTATGGCTGCACAGGTGTAAGGCAATCTTCAGAGTGTGCAGTTAATGTACAAATCTTATATTATAACACATTCTTTGTATATATTTGGGAAAGATACATGGCTTTGGAAACATACACCACTGTGCCATAAAAGTAAAATACATATAAGCTTCTAGCTCAGTGACAGTTAATGATATGGTATTTATAGTTACCTTATGAGCTTGCCACTTACTAAGTATATCTTTAAAAGACCATACAGAATTATATGAAAGATTAGAAATACTGTTGTATTATACGTAGCATATGTAATATTGCTTATCTATAGGGTAATGTGATTCATCATGGAAAGATATATTTTAATATAAAGAAGTGCAGTTTGTATTCAGATGTCAAGCTTCTTTTGCTTTCAGTTGGAGTCCACATACACCATACAAGCTTTAGAATTGTGGTTGTATCTTCCTATTTCTAGAGTCTTTTCTAATGATAGTTTTAACTGTAATCATAATTTCACTGTAGAATGAGTTGATAGCAAATGATTTGTAAGGGACAGAGGTGTCATTTGTCCCGCATTTTCTGATGGAGAAGCCACATAAATATGCATTTCATGTGAGGGACCACGTGGTATTAGTGATTTATGTAACCTTTAATTGTGAGCACAGTGCAAAATTACAAGCATGACTTGTTGCTGCAAAGCAAACTTATTTTAAAATTATGATGAAAGTATCTGGCAGAGGTTGATACTAAAATAAAGAAAATGACATGCTTTCTGAATAGAACTGTGTTATCAGCATCTCTTCTGTTCTGCATAACATGTAAGCAGTCCCCACTCTTCTGAATACAGTGAAACCTCAATTTTACATGTAAGATTTGAGGCTTTCACGGCGGTGACTATGAAGAAAGCAGTCTTCTGGGATTTGGCAATTTTACACTTCGTAAGGGACCACCTTAAGACAGATGTAAAATTGAGGTAGGTGTAAAATCAAAATACAAATGTTACAACCTAAAGTAAAACGTGGGCTTCCTTATAACTTCAGAAAATTGTTTAAAATATATGTTTTTGAACATTAACAATGTAAATGTAAATGAAAATATGGTTATTTATTTTACCTTTACTTATCAACTGCTATGTATGTAACATCGGTAAGATGAGATGGTGAGTATAACTGTTGAATTCAAAGACAGTGGTCATGGCCAATTTCAGTGCATTACCCCATCATTTGCCTGGAATGACTGTCAAATATTGTACATATATAGTTACACTATTTCTTCAGTCGTTCTTTTGTTTCTTTTCTCCTTGAGTTAGTCTGTATAATTCGTTTTCAACTTCATTGCACATTATGATAATATTCTTCTTGGTATCAAATTGGCACATGTACTTTCTGGCTGCTTCCAATCTTTTCAGTGCATCCAAGAATGTTGCTTTATGTTCTGCAACTCCCTGTTCCTCTTCTGGCCTAGTTGAATATTGATCTAACACCTGGTCGATGCTCCAGACTCCACAGACCTCGAGAGTACGATCACAGGTTGGTTAGTCCTCAGACTGCACCCCAAGAGGCTGTTAACTCTGCCAGTCATCCTCTTCATCTTCAGTGAGCTTCACTGCACCGTCATCAATGCTGCTGACATGATCAACCAAGAAACCACACTTCACAAAGCAGTCCTTGAATATAGTAGATGTTATTGATTCCAAGTTTCTGCTTTACATAAATACATTGCAGACAAAACATCCAGCTTCATCTGTGTAGCATCTTGGAGCAGTCCCACATCTGCTGTGGCTGCAGCTTTCTGTAACGGCATTCAGTGCCGTTACAGAAAGCTGCAGCTACACAGATGAAGCTGGATGTTTTGTCTGCAATGTATTTATGTAAAGCAGAAACTTGGAATCAATAACATCTACTATATTCAAGGACTGCTTTGTGAAGTGTGGTTTCTTGGTTGATCATGTCAGCAGCATTGATGACGGTGCAGTGAAGCTTACTGAAGATGAAGATCCCCAAATATGAAGGCTCTGAAAGGGTGGTATAGTTAGCTGGGTGAAATGGAACTTCAATGTTACTAAAAATGTAGTGTTCTTTGTACACCAATAAAAGCTATTTTGCAATTTTTAGTACCAGTTGTGTGAGGAAATATTGAGATATTTCAGTGGCCATCCAGTAATTTGTATTGGTTTCATATTTTGTAGGTAGTTTCTTGACATTCTCGAAGCAGCATGGACTTTTTACTAGAGCGGTGGTTTATCACTACTATCTTCATTGCATGTGAGCACAGTAACCCGCTGTTTAGATTTTGTATCACAATAGAAAAATTTCCTCAAAAAGTGAAGGTTGCTGTACAATCTTCCTAAATCTGCTTGATTTTTGCCTATACCAAAAAATTTTGCTAGCAATCCATCCTTTAGCAGACACAAGGAATGGCATTCCGTTGACAGGCACATTTCGCGTGACATGAACCGACTGTACAATTCAGTTCAAAACATCAGCAGGTTTCGGTTAATGTTAGGGCTGGTATTACTGGGAGCTGTTTTGTAGGCCTATATATTATGCCTCAGACCTAGTGGCACTGCTTATACTTTTTTTTGGTGCATACCTTGCCAGAGTTACTGGATACTAATGAAATATGTATGAAGATGTGTCAATGCACTTCACTCATGCCACCAGTAATTAACTTGAGACTGCCAGATACCACAGTCAGTATAACAGGCTATGGGGTGGATGGCTGGGGTTCGATTCCAGACGGGTAAAAAAATTTTCTCTAATCCACAGAACACAGACCACATCTGGGACCCCAAGCCTCCTATAACAGGGGAAGTGGCCAGGATGTAAAGCTGACCACTTACCTCCATCTTCTGCAGAGGTCAAGTTTGTTGTAGCTATACCCTTGCTCCTTACTATCTTCATTGTCTGGTACTTAATTGACAACAGGCAACTTTACCTTTACCTGTATACAGTGGGCCATGATTTGGTAGAGCAGGACCACTATCCTGGCATGTTCGTCTGACGTGTTATATGAGATGTCCTATGATATTAAAGCAAATTTGCAACTGAAGTCCTACTATTTGATTGCTACAGAGAAAATCACGACTGCATTTTGCTGAATGGAGGTGGTATCGATAAAAGAGAAGTAGTCATTCACATCGTCTCCTCGTAACTTTCTTCAAAAGTGTCCAGAGCATATGTTACTTTTGTAACTGTGGTTCTAATCCTACTACTACCTGAACACCTTCACATGACTAGTTCATTACTGAAGCATTTCTAGCCCAATGTTTACACAAAATATATTCACTGTTTTGGGGCATAGAACTCACCCTCCATTTTCAAAAACACTTGTAGTAAGAATTATCTCCTGATGATGACCAGTTGGATGGTCGAAACATGGAGTGATTAATAAACAGTTGAATGTATATACATTCTTAGTGTTGCATAGTCACAACATGGCAATTAGATTATTCTACAGTCACTCAAACACGTCATAATATGTTAGTCTTTTCCAACTGTTCTATAATTTCAAAGAAAAGGAGCTTGAAAACACTCATAATAGTAGTCTTTTTTTTTTTATAACATGAGGCACCCTGTATTGGCACGAAGCCACCAAGACTTTTGTCTGAAGCAAAGTGCAGCGTGGCCATTTCATATAATGCCCACTAGGAAGAACGCATACAAAATTTTTATCTGAAAATGTGGGAACAACAACCATCTGAGGCCTAAATTAGAAGCTGGATCATGAAAATCCGTGTGTGGACTGGGTCCAATGGTGTAGTTATGTGGATGTAGGAAAGACATCAGATTCAATACAAGTAGGCAATTTCTTTACCAGATGAGTAATTACAGACTTCAAGAAACAACATGCACCACTTCATTTCATTTAATTTAATTTCATTCACCTTCCATAAATCCTGTTGAGAGTACATGCAATTACAAAATGCAAAACCAGTACACAACACAATTTATTAACTGCATAAACCTACAAATATTTCATTCCAAGTATACTAGGAAATTTGACGTGTCTTATAACATTCAGAAGAAAAAAAACTGTTTGTGAAAATGATACTGATGACTCAGACAGACTTAAAACCTCTTATCTTTGTGCTGACATACAAAGGAATGCATCACATTTGCTTTTTCTTTTTTTTTTTTAATGTGCCCAGGGGCACACTGCTTTAAGTTATGACCATTAAAATTTGACATTTAATTAACATTCTATACCATACCCAGAGTTTTGAGTATTATTTACTACTGCAATTAGAACTAGAATGTATTCCAAGTGCCAGAAGTTGGTACACAGTTCTTAAACCACTTTCTGGAGATATTCATCAAACAGGAAGAGCGACAGGCTAGCCTGTTTATTTTCTGAAAGCAGACGTTTCAAGTCACTGGCATAACCAGCCAACTCTCGCACTTGTTTAGCCTGACGGTGCATGAAATGCTCTTCTAGGTATGATGACACCTGTGAACAATATTTCAAATTAATGGGAAATTAACAATATAACTACTAAGTGCTGTGTATCTCTGTGTGTTCTTGAACACAGATATCAAATAACAATACCAACCTCTGGATCATGCAGGCCCTCACGACGTCGGGTAGCCTCACTATGGATAGCGAGAGCATCCTCAGCAAGTTTCTTCTGAGTGTCAAGACCTCGAGCCACAGCACCAAGTTCGGTAAGCTCGACAGTATCATCCTGAGGCTTAAAAAATAAATTTGTGAACTATATATGTAATGCCGCGCCACAGCTCAAGCAGTTAGTCGCTGGCTTCCCACCACAGCGGCCCGGGTTCGATCCCGGGTTGGGTCAAGTGGGATTTGTGGTGGGCAAAGTGGCGCTGGGGCAGGTTTTCTCCGAGTACTTCTGTTTCCCCTGACAATCTTCATTCCACTAATTGCTCCACAATCACCCTCGCCTATCATCTGGGGCTGGTACAATAGGCCAGAAGTGGCCACAGTACACGGGACTTAGTCTCGCCCCACTAGCGTGCTTGGATGAGCACATTTCCAAGATAAAGTCAACAACAGAACCTCAGTTACTTAGTAGCGAAGATATCAATAATTACAAATCATTACAATTACTGTTACTTATGGTTTCATTCCATTTGTGCCCCCTTATAACGTTTTCAATGTTAAAAACGTATATAAACTTTAATATTACAGCTATATAAATGAAAATGTATGTGTGTATATACACTCTGAATCCTGGTCTTTCAGATATTTTCTTTCATAAATTTACAATGATCCATGGTTAAGACATTGAATTTTAAAAACTGAGTAACAATTATAACATTAAACACCACAGCAACAAATTTTGAACGTGTCGGGAACTTTGATTCTAGGGGGAAGTAGAAAGGTCAACAAGACAGCACTCTGCTTGCTATTTGCACAGGACTTAATTCTAAAGACTAAGGCTGGGGCCACATGAGTGCACAAAATGCGTCTCTTGTAACGAACATACTTTATGACGGACGTTGCTGAGGACACCACACAGTTGCAGAATGCGGTGCATAGTTTTCTGTCTGCAATGGTGCCACAAGAAAGCGTTAGCATTCGCCTCTCGTTTATTTCTACAACGGACGTCATGACGTTCATCACAATGGACACATTTTGTGCACTTGCATGGCCCCAGCCTAAGATACCATACAATACTTACGTCTTCTTCGGTCTTTCGTGCTGCGAAGTCCATGACTCCGCCTCGCTTACTGATGTACTTTATCAGGTCAATTGCATCATCCCACGTAGAATCCGACAGTTTCTGAAATAGCTTCTCAAAGCCCTCACGACTCTTTTCATAGTTCCCAAAATGAGTAGCCTTTGTGGAACAAAAATACATTAATTATAATTTGGATGAAAACTTATCACAGCAGTCTTCATCAATTACTTCTACTTTTCCTGTCTCATAATGAACTCAAAACAATATACAGTGCGTACAATCAAGTGCGCGCCGCGGCTGCAATTTGCCGTGAGTCATANAATGAACTATATATACTGCTTGAATCTTTGTAATTTCTTTCATGCTTTCTAAAAATACACCAAAACATTGTGTAAAGTGAGGGTGGATGCAGAAAATTATTGCTTGGGAACTCCTGGTATAGTTCCTGACCAAATGCAAGACTGCTGAAATCTTCTGTCTTCAATTTTCCCAATGCCTGTCAAGACAATTTTGGGCATTTCCCCTGTAATCATCCCATCAGTAAACACTTTACTTTGTACTGTGCACACTCCACTACCTTCCCATTCGTGAGTGCCATTTACCTGTCATGCAACCCAAGATTCACTGCCCCACCCTGAGGCCCAACATCCTTAATAGCATTATAACAAAGGCAGAATGATTACACTCCTTTCCTATGCTTAATCACAGGAGGAACTGATTCAGCCATATATTAAAACATAAAGAGCATTTTCTATTGTTTTCATAGGCACACATCTAAACATATGGAAAAAAATCAACCTGCACTATCATCTGGAATCACTAACAGCAGCTGGTGCTCTGACAAACTGTTCTGATCAGTCCACCCTGCCCCATGTTTGGAAAATATTTCATCAGAGAGGCATAAACAAAAATATCAATAAACTTTTTAATAAACAATGTTCATCTGTTACTCTCATCCATAAATAGTTGTACTCAAAATCATTAGTGCAAAATTTAAGGAGTCATATTCTGTCATACTCAACCTAACATCCCTCTCCAAACTGTTTACTAAAACTCTCACATACTGTAGGACAAACCATACAATCACTGTATGAAAGCCACTACTGCACTGAATTTTCCTTTCAGAGTACTAAATATACACAGATTTACCTTATCGAAGCTATGAGTTGAAAAATCCTTCATATCCTCATATCGTTCATTTTAGATTATCTATAACTACTTTCTGGAGACATGGAAAATGATTATGTCAGCACTGATCAAAAATGTTTCACAGGAAGTGCAGTAACTGCTCCATCGAATCTTGTAAATTTAATGATAGCTGAAGAGAATAAAATGAAGACTGGTTAAAATATTTTCCACTACAAAGTAGACATAGAAATTATAACATACACACCATCAACAGGTAGTCAAAGCTACGTGAAATGTGAGCATTTGTGTAGCTTTGCAGATCAAACAGAACTTCGTCAATTGCACCATATTTTGCATGGCAATTCTTCAATTCAACACCTGAAACAATTTACAAAACAACGGATATTTGGAACAAGTTCACATTCTCAAATGTCGTTTTTAAAACTTAATAGATATGATGGCAAAAAAGTGTTCAAATATTACTTGATGGCAGGCAGTGCAATGGTTTAACATGACTGATACACCTGAGGATGGCAGAATGATGCCAAAACATGTAGTGTGAAGTGACAAGTGAAACTGTATGCACTAGAAGACGGTGAAAATATATACACACATTATGGATATGAATCAGTGCAACAGGATGCTAAAATACATTACACAAAAAGGGTTATTATTCATGGGTAGAACTGCAGATATAACTTCCGTGTACTACAAGTTACATGTGCTGACGTTAATCCTGCTTCTAAAATACATTACATAAAAGGGGTTATTATTCATGGGTAGAACTGCAGATATAACTTCTGTGTACTACATGTTACATGTGTTGATGCTAATCCTGCTCCTAAAATACATTACATAAAAGGGATTATTAATCATGGGTAGAGCTGCAGATATAACTTCTGTGTACTACGAGTTACATGTGCTGACGTTAATCCTGCTCCTGCATTGCTACACAATGTGAATGTGGGTGGCATCCTGAACCCTGAAGATGGAGGCAGAATACAATTCCGAAAAGTTGGCAACACTCACAACCACTTGGTACATAATCAACAGAATACCAATAATTAACCACTGTGTAAGTCTAGCTTCTGTAAACAGTTACAGGTAATCTGAGCAAGAACCAGCCCATTTCCTTCCATGTGGGGGCTATATGTAATTTCTGGAACTGGGGGAGGGGGGCAACAGTTGCCTACAGAATCACAGAGCTCCCAGGTTTCGGGCTCTGTAAATAAATCATCTATCACAACTTACACAATCCCTCATTTACGGGGTTTCTCACACAAATCCTTGTAACTCATCTAGCCATGGCCTATTCAAGTACTCAATGTGACTTACGAAAATCGATAAGGGTCACAAATAAAGTAAACGGAAATAAAAATTATAAAAAAGGAAACTAAACAATACACTGATCAGTCAACTTGGTAATACAAAGTAAATACCTCTCGAGCCACAACTCCCAACAACGTCATTGTAACAATACTCGGCGCAATTAACAAGTGCCAGCAAGCCAGACAATACCACCAAGAATTTCATGATGAACCTGTAAAGCATCGTTCTCTATCAGTTTCCAGTCGAATAAAGTACAATGCATTTTACATGACGTAAACTTCAACTATATCAAATCTGACTGTATGAAAATAAATTTACCAACAATAAGTAGGCCTTCAACCTGATTTATTGCCGCTCACCACGAATGTACAGACAAACCGAAGGACTAACAGACAACTCCAACTGCCTTCTCAACTCACTGACTCAAACCTTTCAATACCTTCCTGTTGCAAAATGTTGCACTGTCATCTACATACACTTGTGAATCACGTGCTAAGTGCGCACGCAACATGAAACTGCGCAGTAAAGAAACGAGCACAGTACATTTTAAGTACAGCCAGCCGGATCTGTTAGATGGATGAGTTGAGAGTTATCGTTGTGTAGGAAATATTTCGATTGCTAGGGTGAGTCGCCTTCTACGCCAGTGTGTGTAAAGGTTGACAAAAGGACAAGTGTTTGTGAAATTCTTGTATTGTCCTATTGTTACATTACATTTCATTTTCAAATCTTTTTCACCAAATTTGTGTCTTCATATATTATTGAAGTAACCTAACCAAAAAGTGACGCCAGCTTTCCGTTCGTTGGCAAGAAGCAATTTTTCGGCAGGAAGAATATATAACATTTTTAAATTCAACAATGAAAACCGTGCAAGCAGTTATTTTCTTCATTGGTGCCATCTGTACCCTCTCCGTGGATTCCGTGTCTACAAAATTACAATGTACGTGAGTATGGAGTAATTTTTACGTTGCAAAGCAGTTGTTTGAGAGGTATGCGTGCGTAGAGACATCAGTTTGGATATGGACTTCATTTTCAGTCACTCTATTCAAATACTCTAGATCGTAATGCAGTGGCACAATATTGAATTGGTAGGATGATATTTCAGAAATTTATAGCACGAATGTGTTCCGCGGCCTATAATTTGTACGATTTTTGTTTTGCAACAGTTAGTATATGGAATGTATAGCGTCGAATGGTCGGATTAATGGGAAGTAAGAGGATTTGGAAGAAAGCGGTCATGGCCTTGATGACGTACTGTTCTATTATTTGCCTGGAGAGACTGAGTGAAATCACGAAAACCTCTCAGCATAGCCGGCGTTCCTGCCTAGGTTCGAACAGAGCACCCTACTAAAACAGATGGTAGACAGCTAGCACTGCACTAACCAGGTCGTCTGTACCTACATCTTGTGGAACCAAAGTATATTTGACTATACCAGGGAGATTCTGCAGTATCAAAATGAAATGAAGTAGTACATTTTACTGTTAGAATAAGAATTTTGTCGTTGTAAAATTAACTTTTGATTTATTACATGGGATTTGCTCGGTTTTTTAAAGAGTAAGGTATGTAGAATTCACAGAGTATTGTGTGCTGTCTTCAGTGATGGGCAGTTTTTTGCTTATTGCATTTTTGGTGCCTAAAAGTCCTATTTATTTGGGTTGTACTAAATTATGTTTGGTTTCGTCCCTGTAACTGTTGTTTGGTACTGGGGTGGGGGTGGAAGGACACTTTTTTTTTTTCATATCTGCAGCACACATTCAATTACTTGTTTTAAAAAATTGATTCAGTATATCTGAATAAAAGCGAATTAGTATTTCTCAGAATTTTTCTCAGGTTCATAAAATATTCTTCAGCATAAGAATTTTTAAGAATGCCTACTCTGATTTCCACAAAGAAAGGTATGCATGCTTCAGTATAAATAATAGAAGAAGGGGCTGTAAGATACATAATCTGTGAATTCATATGGCCTGAGGTACTCTGTTTCACTCTTCCACAAACGGGCTGTTCCACAAGGTTGTATTTTCTTTTTCTGATTATCCTCACCCCTGCACACAAATGCTGTGATAATGCATGGATATTTTTATTCTGCATCCTTTGCTTAGTCTGTCATTTACATGAGGTACTCTTACCAAGTGGTAAACATGATTATAGTTGAACAGTTCTGTCTTGTGGGATGCAGCGCTTTTGTGTTCCAGTGAAAGTCAGCCAACATGTTGGAGGAATGTATGATCCCTCTCTTCACTGTTTGAAGAGTAAGCTAGGATATAAACCAGCTTTAAGTAGGCAGTAAACAGTTGAATTTTTAATAACTGACATTACTAGTATTGTAGATGGGTAGGTATGATTAATCTGTAAAGTACTTGATACAAAATTCCTTGGAATACATGTAGACAGTACACTGTCTTGGAAAATACATATTGAACAAATTATACCTAAACTAAATGCGCTTGCTATGCGATGAGATCAATTAAGCCTTTTATGTCACAGGAAACATTGAAGATGGTTTACCATGCCTACTTTCATTCTATTATGAACTATGGATTAATATTTTGGGGGAACTCTTCACATAGTGTAATAATTTTTAAAATACAAAAGAATATAATTAGAATCATTACAGGATGTAGAAGTAGAGATTCATGTAGAGAATTATTTAAGAAATTAAAAATTCTACCTCTTCAATCGCAATACATATTATCGCTTCTCTTATTTGTTGTTTACAACAAAGATAAATTCAAATTAAATTCTGATGTCTATAACATGAATACTAGACAAAAATATAACTTCCACCTACCCTCATCAACTTTATCAGTATATCAAAAAGGAGTCTACTTTACTGGAATAAAAGTGTTCAACAATCTGCCACAAAGTATGAAAAACTTGGGCAATGATACTAAAAAGTTTAAATCAGAGGTTAAAGAATTATCTACATGCTCATTCCTTCTACTCTTTAGATGAATACTTCAATGTAAATAGAGAATGATGTAAAATTAAGTTATATTAATTTTTAAGCTAAAATTGCCTGTACTTATGTATGTAACATTTTGACTCGTTCTGTATCCAAAGGTACTAACCTGCTTAGGATTTATAGAATGTAAATGAATTCAATTCAATTCAATTCAATGAACCTGGAATCACTGGTGGCTTCTGACTTAAATGGATGGTGGGGCAAAAATACGGTCAAATATATCGTAAGAGTTCCTTGTATGGCATCACTGGATCCAGTGTGAATAATAATAGTAATTTGTTATTTGGTTTTTGGACTTTGTCCATTGTCCAGTATTCTAGAAACTACAAGACACATCTCAGAAACCTAGCTAGGTTTGTAGCATTAATTTCTACCACCTCCTCTATCCTAGTTCAATGCAGGTACATGCTTTATCTCAAGTCTTATTGCATATTTTCTTGTTATTTCCCTCCAAATTAACCTAGTCTCAGGTTTTAAATAGCTGTAGTGAATCTGACATGGATTGTCCAGTGATTGGGGTTAGCTCTTTCTAAGAGATCCACCTGAGTGGTTGTCTTCCCCCCCCCCACCTGATGATGGAAACAGATCAGTTTCCAAAACGTTCTGTTTTCTATTAGAATGCTGGACAATAGACAAGTTCAGAAACATAATACTTCTGTATGTTATACACCATTGTCAGAACCTTCTAGAATCTTCATATAATTCACTAACTAATTTGTCCTTTCAAAGCACTGGATAGAACAAGGGTAAGACAGAAAGTATCCAAAATTCGTTTTTAATTAGACAATATAATTGAGTATATTCAGTAGCATGATTGAACCCACTTAGGCCAGCAGCCCACAAGCTGCTGTGTTCCTTCAGAACAAAATATTTTTGGTTGAGTCATAAGCCATGCATGCACTTCTTGGTCACTGGCGAAATGGGAGCCTCCCAAAGCACCTTCAAGTGGACCAAACAGGTGATCATTTGGAAGGAGCCACTTCCACCTCCAAACAAAATGTACACAGAACAAAAGAATGATTTATTTTCCTCACTTACAGTCAGCCATCTTTTCTTATCAAACCAAGAAGTGGAGAACGGCCTGTTTTGGTTCTTGCCCCTCTTCTGAAGTTTAAATTTCTAGATTAATGCACACCAAACTTTATTTCTCATTTTCTGCTGTACTTGTGAACGAAAATGGAGTTACCAGAAGTACATCCATCTTATTCTTTATTAATGAATACTAAGAAAATCATTACAATTACTAATAAAAATAAAAGATATGTTTTTTCCAATGCAATTACAGACTAAAAACTTTCTTCAAATACTAGGCTGTGAATATTAGAACTCCACTGCCATTGCTTAAGAGCTGAGTGCAGCTGAAACCATTTGATACAAAGAATATTCTTGTGTATATTGGGACATGTCATTGGAGGAAGCATTAAACCCCTTCTCCATACAACAGAAACTGGAAGGCAATATATGAGGCTGGAGGAATTTGCAGACTTAAGTAAGCCTGCAGTTTGCTAATGGCAGCTTTTGGTGAAATGCCAATGCTTTTTATGGTTCTAAGGCCAGTGTTCGGTAGCCTGCTGTAAGACCTGTAAGACAAGACTGGAAAACCATTTCTCTCTGAACAGATGCCTTACCGTGACTCAGCTCTAGTCTGTGGTGAAACAGTCTTGTGCAAGCGCTATTTTGTACTGTGAGGGGCTGGTTTCAAGTAGCTTGGCAGCCATGCTAAACAAGATGGTATGCTGTGCTTTTCGTCATCACGAATGCTGATTTGCCATTGAACTACCGTCTTTTTTTAAGTAAAAGATAAATGCAGTGTGCTCTTGAAGAAGGCTATATGAGAGAACATATTCTTGTAACTAACATTTATCGGCAGTGCCTTTGACCCAAAACTTACATTTTTTTAAGGTATGCGGGTTCAAAGCCGGTGGAGGTCGTGGAATTTTTAAGGGCAGAAAAATTCAGGGAACAAGTCCTCCAGGAGGGACTTTAAGCCGTGTGCCCTGTGTTGTAGATTTATGGCACGTAAAAGAACCTCATGTCTTTAGGAGACCTCTGAGCTAAATTACAGGCCCTTCCCCACCCAAATAGTCTCCAATGCCTCTGGTGGATGGGGGAAGCATCAAGGTACCGAGGGCTGACCTCGTTGGCTCTATGGGGGCTGATGGCACGCACCGTTACCGTAGGGTATGGCGATAGTAGAAATTAAAGGGAGATGCACAATGGACCAATAACTGATCTAAGTGCATGGGGAAACCCACCCCCTCCCATAATATGAATACGAATACATTTTTTTTTACTCACGAAGCTTTGTTCTGAGTGTGTATAGCAGTGGTCAGAACAATAGGTGATAGAGCAGTGTAATGCAAGAGAGACTTTAGAAGTTCCCCTTGACAATAAGAAATATTGGCATGCAGTGCATTACTGCTGCATGACCAATAGCACCTGTATCTTTTCAACAGACTGTTAATTCAAAGCGTTATGTCAGTGACGTTCTTTGGCCCTGTCTTTGAGAGAGTTTATGCAAGATGGTCCTGCAGCACGCACTGTTCAGTATTTTAGATGAGGCATTTGAAGACAAACTGATAAGTCAGAGATTGTGGCCTGCATGGTCTCCAGTTTCAAATCCCTGTGATATTTATGTGGCGAAATGTAAAAAAGAAAATGTGTTCAAATAATCCCCCCTCCCACACACACACACACACACACACATACACACACACACACTAACCTAAGTAGAACATTTGTGAAAAATTATATATATCGAGATAAATGAACTGTCACAAGTGTCAGTCTCTTCAACTGACTTGAAGTTTATGTAAGGGCAGAAGGGAGATGTTTTTAATATCTGCTGTGATGGAGAGTTGTAGTGAACAATTTATTTACCTCAGAATCAAATAAAAGAGTATTTGAGAAAGGAGGCACACTGAAGACAGATGAGAGATGGACGGTGCACAACCAAACAATGGAAGTGGCAGATGAAATCAATTATTCAGTAGTAACATTTGAGTGTAGTGGTGGATGGAACAGGCAAAAGCTTAAGACAATAGCAAAAGGTAATCCAACTTTATAGTGGTAGCAAATGCTTTGGAAGAACAAAGTCAGTCTAGACTGATGTACAGGGTGTACATGAGGGCTCTACATTTAGGATGAAAAATAAATTGAGGAAAGTCAAAGCATATTTGTAACAGAAATACAAGGAGTGCTGAGATTCGCAGCAAATGAGGGGAAAAGTACCGGGCAGTCATGAAACATTGATCATGTTTGTTACTCATGGGCTCCCGGGAAACAGTGGGAACATGTTATGACTGGCAGGTCAGTAACTTAAAGCTGGAATGTCTGTCAGAGAAATGAAAGGAGGAGTAGAGTTATTAGGGTTTGCTTATATTTGGCAAACCAGACTGAGATTAATACAAATAAGATGCATAAAACAACGAGAGAAAGGCATAACTGCGTAGAAGGACAGTGTGTTTTTTTATTACAAATGGTAATGTTTCTTTGGTATTTTGTTGTGAAGTAAAACATGAGTGGGCTGATGCACAAGAGAGGGGGAGGGTGGTTGCAAGAAGAATCTGAACATTAAGACAGGGGATTTAAGAGGAAAGTGCCCCAGTGAGCACGGTGAGACAGTACATCAGCTATTTGTAGACTTCAAGAATGCCTATGAATCAGTTAGGAGGGAAGTATTGTACAGTATTCTCATGGAGTTTTGGGTACGCATAAAACTAGTTAGGCTGATTAAAATGTGTTTAAACAAAACTTGTAGTAAAGTCCATAAAGGTAAATATTTGTCTGATAAATTTCCTATCCAGAATGGTCTAAAACAAGGAGATGCTTTATCACCACTCCTTTTAAACTTTTCTTTAGAATATGGTATTAGGAAGGTCCAGGAAAGCCAGGTGGGACTGAAATTAAACGGGACACATCAGCTGTTGGTCTATGCTGATGATGTGAATCTACTGGGTGATAATATAGATACTGTAAACAGAAACACACGAACTTTAATTGACGCAAGTAAGGAGGTTAGTAAAAAGGTAAAGCTGTCCCTGCAAGAGACCGTGAAGGCCTGTAGAGGTGTGAGAGGTTGAGGCTCCTACATCTTCTAGACAGTCGGCTTATAGATAGCAGTAAGGTTGTCAGCCTTACGCACCGGCTGCCCTTTAACCCCCCCAGGAAAATTCATGGTACTCATTTCTATTAAAGGCTGAGTCGACCCCAAAGCCATACTGCCTCTGGAAGGATTAGGTCAATTGAAAAATACAGTGACCTCATTGGGATTCAATCCCGCACTTCCAGCTTGTGGCATAGTGCCTCAACGAACTATGATGCCGCGTGCCCTTTTGAAGGAGGTTTGTCTTGAAGTGAACACAGGGAAAACTAAGTATATGTCGGTGTCTTGCCAGCAGAATTCAGAACTATAATTTTGCCTGTGGATCTGTATGGGTGTTAAACTTGATCTCTGACATTATGGGAGGAACATAGACTAAAAGTGTCCGAGAATAGGATGTTGAGAATATTTTGAGTGAAGGGAGGTTAGAGAAAACTGCATAATGAGGAGCTTCATAACTTGTACTCTTTGTCCTGTGTAATTAGAATGATCAAGTCAAGGAGAATCAGATTGCAGAGAATGTAGCATGAATGGAAGAGAAGAGGAATTCATATAGGATATTGGTGGGAAAGCCAGAAGAAAAATGACCAATTGGAAGACCATGGCATAGGTGGAAGGACAGTATTAAAATGAATTTTAGATAGATACCATGGGATGGTATGGACTGGATTGATCTGGCTCAGGATAGGGACCAGTGGAGGGCTCTTATGAACACGGTAATGAATCTTCGGGTTCCATAAAAATGCCTTGAAGTTCATGAGTAGCTGCAGAATGGGCGGCTTCTCAAAAAGGGCCCAGCTCCATGAGCAAGTGAGGTGCCCCCTGTGAGGGGGGGGGGAGAATGCAGAGCGTGTGCTATTAAAATATTCCAAAACAAAGAAGTGCTGAGAAGAATTTGTACCCAGTGAGTGGCGAAACGTAGACGACGATGCAGCATATAAGGAAATTATGTAATCCTTCCAGCTGCACTGTGGCCCTGGGATCAGCTGAGCCTCTTAACAGAAATGAGTAGCAGGAATCTTCCTGTAGTTAGAAATTAGGGCCCATGTAGTGCATTCCATGGTAACTTTTACAGAGCTCTCTCATTCCCAAGTCTAAATTTGGAGAGTACTGCTGGATCTTGGATAAATTCTACCTCATTAGTGGCTTGTTATTTGGATGAAGCGCACCAACAAAAAATAGAACAGTGTGTAATAATCTTCATGTTCAGTGCTTTGTTTCATTACATGAAAAAAATTATGGACTTGGAGTCAGACTGAGTTTTTTTTTGTCAGCCCACCCTCAGGTAAGCAACCTGTTACACCAGGTTTTAGTAGAGATGTGGATGTTGAGTATAGGTGAAATAACGACTAGCAAGGTAAAACCATTTTTTTCCCCGTTCTTTGTCTGCTCATCGTTAACGTGTGTTGTTGATAATTTAATGTGTTAATTTATTAATGTGATGCAGGTAAGCTTCCTGCAGTAGATATTCCAAAGGACTGGATCACTATGGTGGAGCCCTGTACTGCAAAAATGAGGGAACAAGTGCAAGAGGAGCTGCAAGCCGCCCTTACTTATATGGCAATGGTTAGTAGCTCTTTCTACATTTTTTGATCATTTTTGACGTTGAGGTATAATTTTGTGTGCAAACCAGTTATATATTTTAAGAGTTCTCCAGCTGTCAGATAGATTTGTGAAGATACCATAAATGCGCAAATAGCACAGCTAATTACAGTTTCTGGGTTGCAAACAGCATTTAATTTTGTGTACAACATAATAATGTGGCGTATAGAACGTTTTTGGAGCCGGGATAGCGTAGTCGGTATAGCGACTGGCAGTGGGCTAGACTACCAAGGGGTGGAGTTCGAGACCTGGTAGGGTCCAAACTGGCTCTTGTGTTAACCCAACCTCCAATACAATGGGTACGGGGGGTAAAGCGGCCGGGGCATGAAGCTGAGCACTCACTTTGAAATAGAGCCGAGGTCAAGAAAATGTGCACCATCATGTCTGTTTTCTGCATTAGAACTTCCCATTGTTTAGTGTTTTCCCCTCAGTTAAGTGTCCTGCTTGGTGTTCCAGTGCTGTCAGCATGATCGGTAAGAACCTTGCTATATTTGAAAGTGAAGCATTTTCTTGCCCTCATATTTTATAACCACATACTGGTTTTGCAAAACCCTCATGCATCCTGCAGCCGAAGGCGTACTGGTCCCCATGAATGCATCAAGTTCCCTAAAAAAGGCTCTATAGTATGTACACTCTGCTGTTTTGGTAACTGGCCTTGTAGCTCTTGATTTGACACATGAATAACAAAGGATTGAACTATACCGTAACACAAAACAGTTGGTAGTAATACTTGTGCTAGAGTTATAACAGTTTGCTATATTACAATCATTAATTATGAATCCAGTACTAAAAGCTTAGAAAAGATATGTTTAGCTGATTGAAAGTGGCTGTTTTAGTAACAGTTTATGTGTTTATTATCCACTTAAAGTCTCAGTGGAAACAAACGTGTAATGAATAAAATACCAATAAGGTGTAGGAAACTTACCATTTTTTGTGATGGTTTTAGTAATAACTCTGTTATGAACAGTACTTGAATTTTTAAATAGTTACTGATTTAAATTAAAAAGCTTGTTTCTGTTAAATGTTGACAATTTATTAAGATGATGTCAGTGTAAAAACGCATGGACATAACCGGCAGAAAATAATCGCTGCTCACATTTTGATAAGAAGGGTTTCTTTTATTTCAGGGTGCTCACTTTTCACGTGATACAGTAAACCGACCTGGTTTTGCCAAGATGTTCTTTGAGAGTGCAAGTGAAGAACGTCAACATGCCATAAAAATCATTTCATACTTGCTGATGCGTGGTGAACTTACATCCGAAGTCAGGAAACTCATTCAGAACCCGGTGCGTAATGTGATTCATACAGAATAGTCGAATAGAATGACAAATGCATTTTTTCCTTTTGTGTAATTTGTTATTGCAGATACAGTTATTCTTGAGATATCTTTGTTACTTACTTACTCATGGAGCTGAGCCCTTCTGGAGGAGCCGCCAATTCTGCAGCTACTCAAGAATTTCCCAGCTTCTATGGAACCTGAAGGTTCATCACCATGTTCACAAGAGCCCTCCACTGGTCCCTATCCTGAGCCAGATCTATCCAATCCCTACCATCCCATCCTATCTCTCTAAGATCCATTTTAATATTGTCCACCCACCTATGCCTTGGTCTTCCCAGTGGTCTCTTTCCTTCTGGCTTTCCCACCAATATGCTATATGCATTTCTCGTCTCCCCCATTCCTGCTACATGACCTGCCCACCTCATCCTCCTTGACTTGATCATTCTAATTATGCTTGGAGAAGAGTACAGGTTATGAAGCTCATTATGCAGTTTCCTCCAACCTCATGTCACTTCATCTCTCTGCGGTCCGAATATTCTCCTCAACACCCTGTTCTCAAACACCCTCAGTCTGTGTTCCTCCCTTAATGTGAGAGATCAAGGTTCACACCCATACAGAACCACATGCACAAGTATAGTTTTGTATATTCTAATTTTTATGTTTTGGACAACAGACGAGAAGACAAAAGGAATACTATACTATATGCAGTAAATAATTGGTATGAAGAAAGCAGTCTTCTGGGATTTGGCACCGTGTATATGTGGTGTTAACCGACGTTTCGGAGGAACGCTTGCAGATTTCTTATATTTTTTCTTCTACCCTGAAGATGGAGGCGATACGTTCCTCCGAAACGTCGGTTAACACCACATATACATGGTGCCAAATCCCAGAAGACTGCTTTCTTCATAGTCACCGCTGTGAAAGCCTCAAATCTTACAAATAATTGGTATCTCTGCGAGTCTGTATAAATGTAGGTTGATTTAGTTACATTACATATTAAATTGATGGTTTATGCTGCAAATTCTTTTTCTTCAGATGCCTCTCAATGAGAGTTGGGAATCTGGTCTCGATGCCCTTAAGGACGCATTGAAACTGGAGGCACATGTTACTCGCAAGATACGTGACATCATCATTGCTTGTGAGAATCCATCAGATGATGGAAAGGGATTCAATGATTATCATGTATGTTTTGTTATATACTGTTTTGCTTTAACCTTAATTGCTTTTGATATGATGCCTCTTCCTCATTTGACACATTTTTTATGAAACATATTTTTGAAATCACCAACTTTGTGTGTGTGCACCCTACCAAAATAGAAGTAGGAACAGTTTCAGAAATCCTACATGACACCTACAGAATGTGAGTGGAGTAGCAGGCACAAATTCTCTTAAACATTTACCTGTCTTTTATTTTCTCTTCAGTTCCTTTCAACTAAACTCAGAAGTAAGGGGAAAAATTATTTGAACTATGTGATTGGATGGAAGATGACGACACTTGTAGGTGTATGAATTGTTTGGACCAGTACTTTTGTTTGCATTATATATATTAATTTAATATGACTTTAGTACTTTTGTAAATGAATCAGTGTATTATTATTTTTACTTGGTGTTAATAGTGTAGAACTGGGCATATTGAAAGTGCATGAATTCCATGTGTGTGTTCCCGAGGTGGTTTTTCTGTAAATTTGTGCATTTGAAGTTGTAGATTATAAAATAGTATCTGTGTAGAAGAAATGTTATTTGAATTATTCATCATTTCTGAACTCTGAAGAGCTGTTAGTCTCTTAACTTGAGGTAGTTTAATTCAGTTAATGTCTTCACAACCTATTTAAAAAAAAGCAACTTTCATTAGCATCCTGCTGTCTCTACATATGTGTACCAAGTGACATATTGCTTTCAAGTTTTCTGACCGACGTTTATATAGCTCCCTATAAAGACACCAGAGTGACTCAGTAACTCTAAAACCTAATTGTAATATAAAACAACAAAATTAATGCTCTGAGCGTCTCCATTTGGCACTGTATGGTGAGGGCAGTCCGACAAACATAGTCCAAACTCCGCATTTAAGGGTCGTCACCTTACCAGGCTTAAATGAAGAGTAAAAATTGCATTCATCTAAACCTTTGCAATATGCTTATCATTTTTTTGAGCGAGGGCAGGGGGGAGAGAAAGAGGAAGGAAGCTATGAAATGGCAGCAACCGGCAGCAAGAAACGTTTTTTTAAACAAGCTGAAGACAGTCATCCCCCCGTGCCCTCTCCCCAAGACTGTTACTCTTATGTATTTACCTGGTGAATACCCCCAGAGGTTTGCAAGTCATGCATACAGTGAACTGTGTTTAGAAGCTCTTGGCTGACAGCTTCAATGGCTGATGTTAGCAGATTGTTACATTAAAGACACCCTGAATACTTCCACACATTGTTAATAGTTGACTAATTTTTTTTTTGCCTCAGCTGGTTGATTACCTCAGTGGAGAATTCCTAGATGAACAGTACAAGGGTCAGAAAGACCTTGCCAACAAGATCTCCAACCTGGGCAAGATGCTGGAGAACTACGGCATACTTGGAGAATTCCTCTTCGACAAGAAGCTCCTCAGTGGGGAACTGTTTTAAACAAGACAATGGATTTCATCATAGGCTGGGTAGCCAGTAGTTTGAAGTAGAGTTAGTAACTGTGATTACTTCCAGTTCATTCTTATATGCAATTTTTGCAGAGAAATTTAATATAGGTTGATTTCATAACTGATCTTGAACCAGAGAAAGTTTTAGGTGTATTTTGAGTCACTATTAAAAAATATCATACAATATTTTACTGTAACTGTGTGCGAGTTTCTGGTTAATTGCCATTTGATGGTACGTGCTAGTAATGCAGAAACAGCGTCACTGCCTGAAAGGCAAGTATTTACAGTTAAAACAGTGAAATATTTGTGTATGTGATTCATTATTTTTAATGTTATGGCATTTTGATGTATCAGTGTTCACTAATTGTATTTATGGAATAAAGAACGGTATGACATACTTAGGCCAATAGAATATCCATTCCATCACACAGAACACCTTTGATTTGTCAGTTGTTAATATGTATTTGGAACTTTAATGTATCTGTTAATGAAAAATAAAAAAAAAGAGAATATAGAATTTAAACTGTGAGTTAATGTATGATATTTATTATGAATGAAAAAACCCTTTGATTCCTGATTATTTGATACGTTTATGTATATTACATTCTTTCTGCATTGAGATCTGTTCAGGATAATGTAACAAATATTTTCCACCGGTTACCATTTTATTGAAGTTTTTAGGACTACACATAAATGAGTGTGCATTATGTGCCTACGGTATTATATCAACAGTTAATACAGAATTCATGAAACTTTAAGTATTTAGTATTAAATTGTGATTTAGCCAGCACCTTCTCTCTCTCTGTTTGCCATTAGCGCATTGTCCCTTCAGAAATTCTTAAGTTTCATCGGAAAAGTGACGGAAAAGCAAACGGTCCTGCAACCAGTAACATTATGCATTGAATATTGCAATTCAACAATTATGGGCATGGTGCAAGTGCCAAACTTTGAAGTTCTAACCAACAAATTTAACATATAATTTGTCTATGTAATAATACAAATGCTGTCGTGAATGCAAGAATTTATTTGGTTGTAGATCTCTGTCTTTTCTTCCTCTACACTACATGTTTCGGCCATAACTGGCCATCATCAGGTGTATTTTTCACTACGTAGCTGTCCCACTGCACACAGTCCAAAATCTAAAACATCAGCCTGTCAGTTTTGTTTTAAAATCTCGCCAACACACGCTCGTCAATTTGATTTTTAGAATTCCAGTTTAAAATTTAAAGTTTTAAATACCAGGGACAGCTGCTCTTGTCTACATGTGCTGCAGCGGCAATTTCTTGTTTTCAGCACCGTTCATGTATTATTCTGTGCAGGCTCCTTTGTGTATGTCGCTGCTCATCTTTAATATTTTTGTATTTTGACAAAATGAATACCAGCAATCTTATTGGTAGTAAAGGGGAGCTGGTGCGTAAGGCTGACCTCACTGCCACCTGTGAGCCAGTTGTTTTGACTGTGTGAACCTTGACATCACAACCCCATGGGCCTCCACAGCCTGTTCCTGGGATTGCTGTACTTTTACCTTTGTTTAAAATAAATCATCACTAAGAATATTTCATACTTTTAGAAACAGAAGAATTATATTAAAAGTTATTGAATTTAAAACTTTATTGCATATTTTCACTTGCCACTTGGCATACATCTTATGGGACAAATGCTCAATAAACACTGTAGCAAAGTAACAAAGTGGAGGAATTTCAGCTGATGTGCCTTCAAATGCACAAACGTGCTACTATATTCAGATAACCTAATTGATGCTCTGTTAAGCCGAGAGATTTTTAAAATGAGTATATTAACTGCTTTACCCAACCTCTGCTGTACTTTGCCTGTTTGTTAATGGATATTAGTCTACCTGAGATTTGAGGCTCTTGTGGTGCCGACTGTGAGGAGGGATTGCTATGTAGTCAGGTACACCTATACCAGGGTTTCCGGGAAACCTGTTGCTTCTATCCTCAGAATAAAAGTTAATGGCAGTCACACTCGTGGAGCTGAGCTATTCTTGAGAGGTTGCCAATTCTGCAGCTACTCAGGAACTTCCCAGCATTTTATGGAACCCAAAGGTTCATTACCGCGTTCACAAGAGCCATCCATTGGTCCCTACCCTGAGCCAGACCGATCCAGTCCATACCATCCCATCCTATCTCTAAGATCCTTTTTAATATTGTCCACCCACCTATGTCTTGATCTTCCAAGTGGCCGTTTTTCTTCTGGCTTTCCCACCATTATCCTATATGCATTCCTCTTCTCCCCCATTCACACTACATGCCCTGTCCATCTGATCCTCCTTGACTTGCTCATTCTAATTATACTTGGAGACGAGTACAAGTTTGAAGTTCCTCATTGTGCAGTTTTCTCCAACCTCCTGTCACTTCATCTCTCTTTGGTCCAAACATTCTCCTTACCCTGTTCCCAAACACCCTCGATATATGTTCTTTTCTTAATGTCAGAAACCAATTTTCACACCCATACAGAACCACAGGCAAAATTATAGTTTTGTATATTCTAATTGTTATGTTTTTGGACAGCAGACAAGAAGACAAAAGGTTCTGGACTGAATGGTAGCAAGCATTACCCGAGTTCAACCTCCTCTTTAATTTCCTCCTGAATCAGGTTTTGATTTGTTATCATCCTTTCCAAATATCTGAACTGTGCCACATATTCAAAACATCTGTTACCTATATTTATACCATGATTTTGCCCTGCATTTTGTTGAGGAGACAGCAACATATGCGAGTACTTAGTTTTCTCTGTGTTTACTTCTAGACCAACCTCCCTACATGTGTCGTTGTACTCCCATTTTTTCTCCAGTGTATGATGAATGCAAAAGATCTGATCAGTAGTTGATCTGCTACGTCAAAACCCACATTGATGTGGCAGTGGTCCTCCAAAATATTGGTAAACATGTACCAGACTACACGGTCATACATCAAACAGGTTGATCTACAGGTAATGCCCTAGACTTGTATTTGGTTAAGTGCTAGATTCAAATTTCAACCAGGACACCAACTATCCTGATTAAGGATTTGCATGGTTTTTGTGATTCCCTCCAGACAAATGCAGGGATAGTAGCTTCGCCATGTCCTCTGCCTTTCAGGAACAGTTATCCCATCACATGGCTTGTGGCCAGTCGTCCTCCTTAATGAAGAAAAGAATTTTCCAGAATGTACTTAAAGGTATCAGCTGCATGGGTATTATATTTGTACCATGGTAGAATCAATAAATATTATTGAAAATAATCTGTGTAAGCTCCATGAGTTGGTTTAAATCACCACGATTTAAGGAGAAAACAACTGCTCTTAATATCATAATATTATTTTTATTCCAAGGTGTTTGAACTTTGCTATATTTTCAAATGATATTGAACAGAAAGGCGAAGCTATCCCTGTAACAGGCCATGGTGGCCCCAAGGGTTTTGAGACGTCGAGGCTCCCACATTTTCTAGCTCACAGATGGAGTTATGCTTAATTAATTAAGCAGTTAAACACTGTGCCATGAAGACATGGAGAGTGGAGGTATAGCACCACCATTCTTGACCTCAGCATGAGATGGAGATAAATGGTCAGTTTCACGCCCTGGCTGCTTTACTCCCGGGGAAAGGGCCCATAGTAGCAATTGTACAGGAGGCTGGGTGGGCAACAGAGCCGGCCTTGGACACTGTGGGGTGGAGACAATCTCTTGCCACGGCCCTGCAGTCCACCGCCCATCGCTCTGCTGACTGAACAACCAATGTGTCCCTGGACCTGGCATTAAAATTGTGAACTTCATTAAACTGACTTAGGGCAGTGTCCAGTGGTTCAGCTCAGTATTCAAGGTGATGAACTGTCAGGTCTATGCGTACTGTCTGAAGAAGGGCAGAGCTTTCTTTTAAGTGTTTCCAGTCTGATGAGGTACGAAATAACAGCCCAATGGACACAGGGAACAAATACTAATTCTGATACAGTTCTCTCTCTTGGTGGGGGCGGATCACTGGCCTTGAGTGCTACCATGCACACATCCTAATCATACTAGCATTATTGATAAGCAGATCTGCCCTCTGAGACCATCTACAATATCACAGGACTAAATGCGTGCACACCATGCACTGGCTTCTGTAATTTCGTACCGTCTGTACCGTCAACACACAGTACTGGTCGGATTTATTCAGTCAGTCAGCCATGAAAACTGAAACTGTCACATGACAGCCTCATATTTGTGAATGATGAATTGGGAGACAAACACCACCATTATGTTCACCGAAGGGCCTCACGAAAACAAAATACCGTTCTTACCCGAATCACGCAGTAGATGCTTGCTAACTGAAGGAAAATGGAGTGTTACTGCATGGACAGTGTGTAAAATGCTTCGGCTAGTTAATTATTTTATTTTAATAATAATTTTATTTATGCTTTTATGTCATCGCGACTATAGACGCGAAGCTTCAACAGCACGCTGTCGTCTGCCATGTTGCCTGTTACTGATTGCGCAATCACTATAAAGTGGGCATTAAAACGTAAATTAAGAAGTGGTGTATGTTCTTCTGTTGCGTGAACTCCCGGTCTTGCGGTGAATATTGAGTCTTCAGGTCGCGTGGTTAGAGCGGAACAGGAAAGTTGGCTACGTCACTTTTTACGGCAAGGCACGAGGTGCAATAAAAGTGAGAAGACAGACTGAAAGACGTATAGGATGATTGACGAGGACTGCAAGTGAAATAATACGGAAGGTAGACTTCTTAATGTGTGCTGCTAGAACCAAGGAGTAGGCCAATCTTGTTTCAAATTTTCATTTTCCTTTCACACACTTCGGTAAGTCCAGCGGGGTGCACGTGATACGTGCCTAAGTCACTAGGAGAATTAAGCAGAATTGAATGCATTCTGTCCAAATTAATTGCAAAATTATTCTCGTATAGCCCGACGAGCGAGAGAAAGTAAATACCTACCCCTGGTTCATTAGCGTGCGAGTTCTAATCGTCTGTTAGATCAGTTATTGAATATATAATGATGCATTCGGATATCGACTCTGTTCAAAACTTAATAACTTCACGAAAATGGAGGTTAGTACAACCAAGCTAATTTCGTATATCAGAAACACAAATACGTTGAAATTGAATTACAGTCTATTTAACTCCATTATACAGCGTTCTAACTATAGTGAGACCTTGGGATCGGTGTAGCTTCCAGACTTCTGTTCCCTCAGCAGAGTGACAGAACACATTAGCAGGCCATGAAACTACTGGGCATAATTAGGCCTAATTATAGGCTTTCTGTTCGAGGTGGAAGGGACGACGCCTTATGTGGAGGTCACATCTGTCTGTCTGTCCGCCCATCTTTGACCTAACATCAGCATCTAAACTAATGCTGATAATTTTTTTATATGTTTAAATTCCACGACATCAGAGACGCCTGAATATCGAGACAAAGGTATACACTGAATATAGCAGGCGAATATTGTCCCGTAACAAGGCCCACTTCACCCACGATCATAAATAAACATTTTCTTTTAAGTCGAACGGAATTCATCAAATTTTGGTAAATTCTATATGAG